GGGTGCGCATGCTGTAGTCCAGCTATCGGAGTACGGAGGCATAAGGACTGTAGCTCACATGGAGGTACTGAGCCCCAGGCTGACCACGCACCACTCTACCCGGCACATTGGAATCGGCCTCAGAGTGCTAGGATTACAGGCGTGAGCCACCGCACCTGGCCTGTTCTGTTTTCTGTCGCTGCAGATTTGGCCACTCTAGATACCTCGTTATAGGTGGAATCATACAGTATTTGCCGTTTGGTGACTGGCTTATTTGATTAACAGAATGTCCTCAAGGTTCAGCCATGCTGTAGCATGCGTCAGAATCTCCTTCTTTTGTAAGACTAAATATCATCCCATCGTACGAGTACATCCCATTTTGTCACCCATCCATCGATCGAGGAACACCTGGGCTGCTTTCATCTCTGGGCTGCTGGGAATGTGGGTGCAAACGTCTTAGGCTCTGCTTCCCCGGCACAGCTTTGTAAAGTAGCAAAAATGAATTCCCTTATTAACATGTGTGAAGAAGTAGTAAAAAGACATAAACTTAAAATTATGCTTAGAATCAATGTTTCAGTATTACATTTTTCTTAAAAATTATCCAGGTAGCCAAAAATTATTTATTAATTAATGTAACAATATTAACTCAGGTTTTTAAAGTATCTAAGGATATTGGGAATTGTGTTTAAGGTGACACACTATAAAATATAATTACTGTTGATAGTTCTGGTGAGTTTGATCACTTTTTGGCCATAAGAAACAAATTTAAAAAAATGAGAAAAATAAAAATATAAATTAAAAAAAAATATATAATTACTGTTGATAGGAAATTTATTTGTTAGAATGATGAATCCATTTAATTGAACACAAATTGACATTTTTATAATCTCGAATGTATGCAAAGATAATGTTAACTTATTTGATCAGTAAGCCAAAGCGAGAAGTATAGAAAATTCAGATTAACTAATTTCCTCACAAAAAACAAATACAGATCTTATAAAAAATAGAATGTAAACTAATACTTAACATAAAACATAGATAGCTATTAAGTCATTAATTATGAAATGCCTGATTTTGAATCAAAAGTTTAGTTTATTATATCTCAAACAAGAAACAGTACAATCAATCAAAGTATGCACCTAAACTATGGACACAGTTTTGCCATTTTAATGGTAGCTTGCTTATGCCAGCAGCAAAGAAACTTGGAGAGCAAGTGGCGATGAAATCACGAAAGTCTTTTTCCACAGCTTGTTGAGAATTGAATATTTTCCTTGCAAGAAGTGGTCCAAAGCCTGGAAGAAGTGGTAGTTAGTTGGTGCAAGGTCTGCTGAATACGGTGGGTGACAGAGAGTTTCCCGGTCCAGCTTCTGCAGTTTGAACAGCATTGTTTGTGCGACGTGTGGTTGAGCATTGTCTTGCAAGAGGATTGGCCTGTATCTATTGACCAATCTCGGCTGCTTAATCACAAGTGTCCTCATCATTTTGTTCAGCTGATTGCAGCAGACATCTGCTGTCATTGATTGACCAGGTTTCATGGAGCTGTAGTGGATAATACCAGCACTGGACCACCAAACACACACCATTAGCTTTTTTTTTTTTTTTTTGATGAATATTTGGTTTTGGACTGTGTTTTGGCACTCCATCTTTGTCCAGCCATTGTGCCAAACGCTTGTGATTGTCAAAAAGAATCCATTTTTCATCATATAACAATACAGTGTAGAAATGGTTCACCTTTATGTCATGACAGCAAAGAAAGGCAAGATTCGAGACAATTTCCCTGCCGACACATTCGTTTAATTCATGTGGAACCCATCTATCCAGCTTCTGTATCTTGCCAATTTGTTTCAGATGCTCTAATATTGTTGGAATAGTAACGTCAAACCTCGCTGCTAATCCACATGTAGGTTGAGATGGATTCGCTTCCACTACAGCTCATCATTACCCACCTTGGTCTCTGGTTGACCGTGTAGCTCATTTTCAAGATTAAAATCACCAGAACAGAACTTCTCAAACCATCGAAGTACTGTGTGTTCATCAGCCACATCCTTCCCAAACACGTCATTGATATTTTGAGCTGTCTGCGCTGCTTGAAAATAACGTGAATTTTTGACTTAGCCGTGGTTTCACAAAAATTGATGTAAAAAAACATTTGAAAGGCCGGGCGCTGTGGCTCACGCCTGTAATCCTAGCTCTTGGGAGGCCGAGGCGGGCGGATTGCTCAAGGTCAGGAGTTCAAAACCAGCCTGAGCAAGAGCGAGACCCCGTCTCTACTACAAATAGAAAGAAATTAATTGGCCAACTGATATATATATAAAAAATTAGCCAGGCATGGTGGCGCATGCCTGTAGTCCCAGCTACTCGGGAGGCTGAGACAGGAGGATCACTTGAGCCCAGGAGTTTGAGGTTGCTGTGAGCTAGGCTGACGCCATGGCACTCACTCTAGCCTGGGCAACAAAGTGAGACTCTGTCTCAAAAAAAAAAAAAAAAAAGCTGGTTAATATCCAACAGGCTAATAATCTTTGTAGCTATCTGTTCCATCAGACAAAAATTATTTACATCTCTCCTAGACAAAATCTACAGGTTAACATGTGACTTCATTTAATCTGCAATCTTTATAGTCAGTCCCTTTATAGTCAGATGAGCTGAGTACATTCCTATTGTCTAGAAGATGCTTGGGTGGCCTTTGCCCCTGTATAACGCTGGATGGATGTGCTCTCCAACTTTTAGACTTATTTTCAAGTTTCAGATAATTTTTGGACACTGATGAACACATTGTGGGAAGGATTGGCTGCTGTCCTTTTATCAAAGTCCTAAAGGGAAGGGACCCAGGACAGATAAGTTTCGATTTTGGATGGAGAAAGGGAAAAGGTTTGGAGCCAGTTCAGGGCTCTGCCGACAGGGTTGCCTTGGGTGGGGTCGGGGAGCCTCAGGGTGGGCCCTGGGTCCAGTTACTGGGGGGACTCTGAAAGTGGGGAGAGGGGAGGTGGAGGTGGCTGAGAAGAAACATCTCTCCTTTTTGGAGGGTGGCCCAGAGTCTTCCCTGGTGGGAACAGCCACCCCTTTCGCCCCTTCCTTCCAGGTGGCCAAGTTCAGCTTCCTGGGCAGCGAGGAGGAGCCGGAGATGATCTTCAGCTGGGTGGATGTGGCGCAGAAGGGACGTCTCTCCCTGGAGGAGTTCAGCTCTGGACTCAGTATGTCTGTCCTGGGACGTCCGCACAGCCAGGTGGCCCTTGTGGTGTGCTCCGCATGGGCCAGGCCGGGTTGTCAGGAAAGGCGACCTCTTTCCCAGCCAGGGGACCTTCACAACATCCCCGAGAACAGTTCAGGGCACTCCCCTGAGCATCCGCCTCCTCCAGAGAGGCCTCCAGGCCTGTTTTCGGACTCTTCCCTTGTCTTCTCCCAACAAAGTCTTCTCCTAGGCGAGAGGTTGAACACCTCCCACTGGGCGGGCCCGTTCCAGCACGCGCCTCTCAACGCAGGCTGGCAGGGCACCATAGGCCGCGGGTCCCCACGAGGAAGGAAGGGCTTCTGGCCCAGGGGATGGAAGGTGCGGTGTCTTGCAGAGCTCCTGCCAGACACAGCTCAGCTTCCCACAAAGCCATCCTGGGTCTCGGGTCAGCTGAGTCCCTAGAAGTTTGGAGGATGGCAGAGAGGGAGGCCGGGGACCTGCATTTGCAGGTTGGGGCCACCCCAGGAGGTGGCCGCTCCAGTTCTGCTGATTGAGAGGCTGAGGGTGGGCAGGAGGAATCAGGGACCGGAGTGGCAGGTGGGGTGCAGAGGGAACATGGGTGTCCACGCAGCCCCAGAGGGCCACTTGGCTTCTGACTCCAATCACGCCCACCACGCCTGGGACTTCCCTGTGCCGGTGGGGCAAACTCTAACCCTCTTCCCGGGGCCTGCAGGGCCTGCACCCCCAGACCCGCCAACCTCGTGGGCTCCCACAGTGCCACTCACACCTCCCTCTTGCCAACTTGGCCCCTATGTCAGGGCCTTGGCACGTGCCGTTCTCTCTGCCTGCTCCGTACTCTCTGGAAATCCGTATGGCATGTTCCTTGTTGTTCACATCTCAGTTCCAGAGTCTCCTCCTTGGGGACCCCTGACCACCCTGTCTAGAGTGGACCCTCCCACCCTCTCAACGGAAACTTCCCTTTATTCCTTGATCACTTAGCAAATGTGCTTAAAAGAAAGAAAGAGAAAGAGAGAGAGAGAAAGAATGATCCTTTTCAACCCTCGCTAGAATGTCTGCTCCACAAGGACAGGGATTTGGGCTAATTTTGTCACCAGCACATAATAGATGCTCAATAAGTATCCCTTGAGTGCATGAGGACTCTGTTGACCACCATGTAGCTGCTGTGTGGCTTCCAGCAGTCTTTTGTCGTCTCTGGGCCTCAGATGCAACTGTGCAAAATGGGCGCCGTGTCTGCCTTGAGCAGACTCCTGAGGTTGGCAGTGAGCAGTGTGTGAAGGTGGCCCGTGTAACTGTGATGGGCACAGGCCCAACTGCTTCCCCAGTGGCTGGAGCAGAGCTGGGTGGGAGGTCAGAGGCCTGGGCCCCCCCACACTGTGCTCCCCTCTGCCCCACAGGAAACATCTTTGACTCCAGCTCGAGCACCCAGAGGCTCCGCAGAAGGAGGCCATTGCCCCCTAAGCGGGTGTCTGCCACCGCCAGCTTCCCAGCGCTGGACGAGGCTGACGCCGGGGAGAAGGAGGCATTCCTTGCCTTCGTGGAGCAGCTGGGGGCCAGCCCCCACCTTCCCGAGTAAGGCGGTGCGGTGTGTTGTGGGAATGTCTCTCCTGGACGTGGTGCCAAGGGGCAGGCCGCCAGGTAGAGCCAGGCACAAATCCTGGCTTGACCACTGGCTAGCTGCGTGACCTCTGACCTCTGTTTCCACGGCTGCAGAACGAGCATAAAAGCTGCCGTTGGGTTAAACCCCTGTGCAGAGGACACCTGCGTGCCGAGAGCCCTTCCAGCCCGCGCCCACCCCGCGTGTCCTGCCCTGTAGGGTGGCTCTCCAGAAGGATGGCCAAGCTGGGCTAGCAGCCTCCTGAGGGGACTCAAATTCTTAAAGCCACGAGGGTCCCTGAAGGCGCTGTTCTTAACTCAAAAAGAGGCTCCCACAGTGGGCTGATTTCAGGCATGGTGGTGCCCTGGGCTGAACAGGTTTGGAGACAGGAGGGCTCTGTCTCGGGCTCCGGGCTTATGGGGTTCGCTCATGCTTAGAGAAGGGAGCCCTGCCTGAAAAATGCCCCCTCCATGTCCCCAGCCCCACTGGGGTCTGCTAGAGCCAGCAAGGGAGTCACCCTGCCCCTGCGCCCAGGTTTGCCCGCCCCACCCCACGTGCTCTGTGAGGGCAAGATGCCTCACGTTTGGCTCTCTGAGGTGGGGCCAGGTGTGTGCGCAGGCAGGGCGGCACTTGGGTGTGGCCTGGTGGGGCGGGCGAGTGGGGAGCCATTTACCCTCTTGGCAGCTTGGCCTGGGCTCGGCCCTCTGGCATCTGTCTTCGTGACTTCATTACGCTCATGTGAAAGTGGCGTTGGCTGAGTGCCAGCCCTCACCGGCTGGAGCTGGTGCTGTCACAGGGCGCGTCTCTCATTCCCCGGTGACCTTGCCGGGTGGGTGTCGGCCTCCCCATCACACAGATAAGCCCAGAGAGGGCATGGGACTTGCCGAAGGTCGCGCAGCCTCAGAGTGGGAGAAGAGAGAAGGCAGGTGGAAAGTGCCCTCCGCACTGTTCATCACAGAACCGCAGGGGGACAACGTGGTGTGCGGGTTCCAGAAGGGGGAGGGCGCACCTGGGAACAGTTCCCGGAGGAGGTGGCGTTTGAGTTGCACCTCTTAGGGTCTCAGCAGATTTTGTGGCCCCGGTGCCAGCGTCTCCCGAGGGTTGCGGCTGAAACCGCGCAGCGGGCTCCCCTGCTTGCCGCTCCCACCTCCGTCTCATCTCAGCCCCCCCCCCCCAGGCGGACGGAGATCTGGCAGCTGTGGGGGAAGCTGCGGCAGGAGGAGCCCCAGCTGGCAGGCGACCTGGCGGGCTTCCTGGCCAGGATGAGCGGCCGCCTGCAGGAGGTGCGGGCCGACAAGGAGGCCCTGCAGCAGACCCTGCGGAAGTGAGTGGGGCCTTGCCCGGTGCGTGGCCCACAGCAGGTGCCCCTCACACTGCCGTGGAGTCTGACTCGGTTTCCCCAGCTCCTCCAGCTGCGGCAGGGCCTGGGAGATGGAGGGGCAGAGCCCAGCTGGAGAGAGAGGTGGTGGCTCAGGGGACCTGCCGGAGCGGACAGAGTTGGTCCTTTAGCGGGAGTCGAATGGCAAGTGTGCCCTGGTGCAGGGCCACCGCGGTGCCTAGCTCCAGGGGTGCCGCTCACGTAGATGCTAGATTGCAATGCGCGTGTGACCTGGAGTGGGCAGGGGCGCAGCCCCACCAGGGGGGCTGAGCCACGGGGGTAGGGCATGGTGGCAGAGGAAGTGGGGACAGAGAGATGAGGTGATGGAGACCGTGTGGCAGGGCCAAGGCAGGTGATGGTTACAGGAGTCAGCGCGGTGGGATAAGGGGACCAGTGTCAAAGTCAAGTGGGTCACGGGGTCGTTATTGGGATGGCAGTTTTCAGCGGGACAGGGCAGTGGCCGCTGGCAGGGTGAGGTGAGCTGTGGGATGGAACCCAAGCCCCATCACCCCTGCCAGCAGCAGAGTCCCGAGGTGCTAACGGGCTGCCTGGCCCGCCTCCCCCTTCCAGGCGGGACTCTGACCACCACCGCGAGGCCCAGCGGCTCTACGAGGAGATGGAGCAGCAGATCCGCTGGGAGCAGCAGCTGCTGCAGGCTGAGGTGGGCCCCCGGCAGCCTGGCTCTCCCCCAGCCCTGCCCGGGACCGCTCTGCCGGCTACGTCTCGGGACTGGGGACTGGCCGGTGTAGGACAGCAGGAGGCTGCTGGGGCGGACCTCTCCCTTCCCTGAGCAGCTCCTGTTGCCCGGGGAGACGGGTGGGCAGCGTCCAGCCTGGGCCCCTCCCATCTCTGCCAGTCTTGCCATCCCCCAGAGCTGGTCCTTCCACTCTCTGGGGCTCGGTGTCCTTGTTGCCACCATCGAGGCCCAGGCTGGGGTGGCCGTCCAGAGAACCTCCTTGCTGGGACTTCCTGGCCCCTGCACCCCGGGCCTGGGCGGAGGTGGAGCGTGGGAGAGCTGGCCAGACTGCAGGCAGGGCTGAGCCGTCTCCCCCACAGAGCGACTCCCGGGAACTGGCCCTCAGCTCTCGGATGCAGGAGGCGCTGGAGGCCAAGGAGCGCGAGGTGCAGCGGCTGGCAGAGGGCCAGACGGAGGTGAGCACTGGGGCTCCCGGGAGCCCCCTTCTGAGGCTGCCAGACTCTGCCGCCCCCCTCCCAGCACTGCGCCAGGCTCTCTGGTCCAGCTGGATAGTCAGCCTGAAGCCCCACCCAGCCCTCAGTGTTCCCTGGGCCGTCTGGGCTCCCACAGGGAGCGGCCCTCCGGGGAGAGAGGTGTCCTGGGCCCTTTTCTGAGATGAGGACAGGTAGCATGGCGCGAGCACTGGGCTGCGAGTCAGAAGGTCCAGGTGGAAATCCCTGATGCTCTGTTCAAGAGCCATTCGGACCTGAGGAAATAAGTTGGCTTGTCCCCGCCTCAGTTTCTCCATCTGTAAAATGGGGATGGTCACATCCTCTGCATCTCCCCGGTGGGTTGTGTCAAATGAGGTAGTAAATGGGAAAGCACTTCGAGACGGACAAACACGCAGTCCCCACATTGGACCGGCCTGGTGGCGGGGAAGTGGGTGTTCAGCTCTCATCTGCATTGTCGGCTGAGCAGCCTTGCACAGGTCTTTAACGTCTTTGAGCTTTGGTTTCCTCATGAGAGAAATGGAGATCGGAACTCTCTATTAGAAGGCTGCTGTGATAATTAGAGGGCCAAGACAGTGCCCGGCGCGTACGGTAGGTGCTATGTACAGCACAGTTGTTCTTGTCCCCAAATCTGACCTGGCGTCCGGCGTGGGGTCGGATTGCTGCTGCCCCGAGGCGGCAGGTCGCGTCGCCTGTGGTCACTTCTGGCTGGAACCGTGGCTGCGTCTTTGGGTGTGAGACCCGGCCCGCCGTCTCTTCCTGCCCCAACTTGCAGACGCCGACTTTGCTAAACCGCCCTCCGCTGTGACCAGGGCAGCCAGCACCCTTCTTCCCTGGACAAGGTCCCCAGCACCTTCCCCACCACCCCTTGGCTGGCCCTGCCACCAGGTCTCCCCTCCCCACCAGAGCTGTTTCCCAGGGGCCTCTGCAGCAGCGCCCCTTGGAAATTGAGGCAGGGCCCCTTCTGCCAAGAGAGGAGACCGGGCTTTCCACGGGGGCCATGTCGTCCGGTCCCCGTGGACGTGAAGCTCCTCCCCCCACGACAGCTCAGCAAGCCCCTACCCCGAGCCAGGCTCGCTCTGGATTCTGAGGGACGTGATAGACACTCCCCTGCCCAGTTACCGCCAGTCGGGGACATGGTGATGAAATGCATAAAATACCCAACATGAAAAAATAAATAATTGCATACATGCACACACACAGGCATCGTATGAGATGGTGACAAGTGCTGGGGAGAACACAGTGAAACAGCGAAGGGGAAGGAGGGGTTGGGCGGTTGGACGGTAGCTGACACAAGTTGATCAGGGAGTCCAGGGAGGCCTGGCTGAGGTGCCAGTGGAATAAAGACCGGGAGAGGTGGGAGGTGAGCCATGGCATGGCAGGGGCAAGGGCACTCCAGGCTGAGGGCACAGCAAGTGCGAAGGCCCTGGGGTGGGCGTGGGCCGTGACTGTTGGAGGAGCGACAAGCAGACCAGTGGCAGGAACAGACTGAGGGAAGGACAGCAGTGGGAAAGGAGGTCAGGGCCGCGGTGGGAGGCGCAAGACTCCGGGGAAGGCCGTGCACGGCCCTAGGGGCCATCTCGAGACTTGGCCTTCCGCTCCGCTTGTCACGCAGCTCTCCTGCTCTGGGTCAGGGGACTCGCTGTCTGATCAGGGGCTCCCTGCAGACCAGGGGGCTCGGGGACCTGCAGCCCTTGCGGGACTTTAGCGGGGGCGGGTGCGATCTGATTTACGTCTCTGGTGGGTGGTGCTGGCAGTTTATGTTTCTCGCACAATCTCCCTCCTCCCTGCCCCGGCATTTCCAATGTCCCTCCTGGGTGGGAGGTCACGGAGCCAGCTAGGCCAATGAGGGCGACCGCCCCTCCTAGTCCTGGCCTGACTGGGTCTGGGGGGGCCCAGGCGGGGAGCGGGTGTCTGTGTCCCACTGCGGCCGGGGAGGCTGCTCCCCGCCTCACCCCTACCCCTGCAGCTGGAGGCCCAGCTGCACCACCTCGGCAGCACACACCAGGAAGCCGCCTCGGAGAGCCAGCAGCTTTGGGAGGCCCAGCGCCACCTGGCTGGGCAGCTGGAGAAGGTGCAGGGACAGCTGCAGGTGACCAGGAAGCACCTAAATGCTGCCAGGGGCCGAGTGTCCTGGCAGATGGAGGAAGAGACCAGGCAAGTGGCTGCCAGCCCTGGACTGGCGTGGATACCGGGGCTTCCTGGGAGAGGGGCCTGGGGCTCTGGGTCCCCCAAGCCTCTGGTGAGCACGCAGCGCCCACACCTCCTCTCTCCTTAAACCTCACAACTACTCTGCCAAGCTGGTTATTGTGCCCATTTCTCAGATAGGAAACTGAGGCGCAGAAAAGGGAAAGACCTGGGTCCAGTACCACAGGGCTGGAGTTAGAACATGCACGTGTGCGTGCACATGTACACGTGTACACAGGGCCTAGCGCATCCCTGGCAGGGGCTCACTCTACTTGTTACAGCTCAGAGGAGTGGGGTGGGCCACAATGCTCAAGCAAGGCTTCCTGGAGGAGGTGAGGCTTCGTGTGGGCCTTAAGGACGAGCAGGATTGGATGAGGGGGAGCAGTGGGGTGTGCGTGCCAGGTGAGAGGACTGAGCACGGTCTGGTGGGGGGCGGGCCAGCTGTGGGGCCAGCATGGACAGTGAGGGATCCAGGTGGCACGGGTGTGACACCTCTACCTGCCTGTCCCCTGACTTCCCTGCTTCCTTTCTAGTGTCTCTGGAGCAGGCCAGCCGGCCCCAGACCTGCAGGCCATGTCCCCCGAGGAGGTTCCCCTGCCCACGCTGTTTGGGGACCACGAGGACTGGGGCCAGCTCCTGAGCGGCTTCCACAGCCCTCCGCGCGGAGCCCTGCAGCTCTCCTGGAGCCCGCCCCCCACCCCGACAGCGGCCTCGGGCCCCCAGACGCCCCGCGTGGTCAGGCAGATCTCCATCTCGGAGCCGCACGCCGTGCTGTTTGGTCAGGAGCCGTCTTCAGATCTGGATGCGGCTCCAGGGAGCCCCCCCGGGGTGCCTCCCAGCACCCGGGACGGGGAAGGAGTGGACCCAGAAGGACAGGACATCAACCCGGAGCAGCCTGTAGAGGCCCCTCGCAGCCCAGACCCCAGCACGGAGCCGGAGGGCCGCTTCCTCCGGGGTCTCCCGGAAGCCCCAGCAGGGGCGTCAGGAAGCCCGGGGGCGGCTGCCCTGAAAGTGCTTGTTCCTTTGGAGGATGAGCCCCCTCCCCATGTGAATGCGCCCCTTCACCAGGCCCGGGCCGGGCCCAGCACACAGTTCCAGGCCTCAGACACAGATGACAGGGGCCCCGGGCCTGGGCCTGCCCCAGCCAAGCTGCCCAGGCAGACAGAGACCCTCCACCACGACCTGCCTGCCCGCAGCTCTGAGCCACAACAGGGGGCCCTGGGGGCCAGAGCCCTCACACTGGAGCCAGCTGGGCCCTCCCGGGGCCTGGAGTCTGCGGCTCAGGGCCCCACTGAGGGGCTGGAGCGGGGAGAGCAGGGCCCCGCTGTGCAGGAGGCCCGTCCTGAGGGGCTGGGAGAAGCCCCTGGCCGGATCCTTGGGCCAGGTGGGCTGCCCGCCCGCCCCGACCACAGCCTGGCCCAGAAACCCAAGGCCAAGGCAGCAAAACGAGCAGATGGAGGTGGGCCGGACCTCAGTTCAGAACGGTCAGCTGAGGCTCGTGGCCTGGAGACTATGCATTCAGAGCTGCCCCAGCCAGACGCACGGCCCAGTCCTCTCCCGTCCAGCACGCCGCAGGCTCGGGCAGAACCAGGAGCCTCTGCTCCTGCGAAACCATCGCCTCCACGGGGCTCTCCTCCCCTCTCCCCTGCGGGGGCTCAGCCTGGGGCTGGAGCAGGACCCCGGGAGCCCACACAGGCCCTCCCCACTGTGGCCGAGCTGGAAGCCCAAGCCAGGCCGCCGCCCATGGCTGCTCACACAGAAGAACAAGGCCCTCCGCAGTCCGGGGAGCCAAGGGCAGAGAGCAGGCCTGAAGATCCAGGGACGGGCTCCGGGGAGGCTGGGCTGACCCCTTCCCTGGAGGACCCCATGGCCAGCAAGCCTCAGGCCGACCCTGATTACCTGTTCCATGTCATCTTCCTGGGAGACTCCAACGTGGGCAAGACCTCCTTCCTGCACCTGCTACACCAGAACTCCTTTGCCACTGGGCTGACAGCAACCGTGGGTAAGGGCCCCGCTGGGGAGGGCCACAGGGAGCAAGGGAGACCCGGGGCTGGGCTGACGAGCCGGAGCAGGCCCAGAGCAAGCCACCCCTGAGGAAGCTGCAGGTCCTGCCCGGGCCATGGGCCCCGCATTAGACATCATTTTATATGGGCATGATCTTACTATTTCACTAATCGTCTCTAATTACAGGTAATTTGCTTTTTCTGCATTGATCTGATTAGCTTATAATGTGCCTCATCAACAAAGCACCCTGCAATTTAGGTGCCCGTGCTAGTTGATGGTGAAAACAAGCAAGTCTCCACCCACGTGCCCGTGGGCAGGCCACTGCAGGGTCCCTCGGCTGGATTTGCTCATGACTAGCTCCAGGCGTGGCAGCCATGCTCTGGCGGGAAGTCACCTTGGGCAAGTTGCATATTTTCCACAGAATGTATCTGTAGAGTGTGGTAAGTTAGGAACCAAGTGCCTGAGTTCAAATCCCAGCTCTGCCACTTGGCAGGTGTATGGACTTGGGCAAATCATTTAACCCCTCTGAGTCCTCACTTCCTCATCCGTACACGGACAACAGCAGCACCGACTCTGAGAGTGGCTGTCAGGACTAGCTGAGTTGATACCTGTCGAGCTCTTAGAATAATATCCGGCACCTAGTGAGTGCTCGATAAATAGCAGTTGTTATTGTTATCATAAATGTAAATGTTTGATGATGTCTAACCCAGGGGCTCCTGACAGCAATGGCCTACAGCAGAAAGCCTGCCCTTCTAGGCGCAGCAGGGTAACTAGGCACTGAGCGTTGTGCGGAGCTACAGAGAAGCAGGCCAGAGAGGAGGAAGGGTAGACACCTTTAGGGGCAAACATGCAGCGACACATGTCTTTGTCAGGCCAGGGTACTGCTGACCGGGGACCAGGGGCCAAACGTCGGCTCTCGCACAGGAGAGGCCCAGGACAGAATCTCAGACTTTTCTCTGCCCAAGAATCCTCCCTCACCTGGGGAGCTAGTTTGAAATGCAGGGAGCTCTGGAGGGACAGCCCACGGCAGGCCTGGCCCGATGTTGAGTGGGGCCGCAGGGTCTACAGTCGCCATTACTGACTGCCTGCAACGCGCCAGGCGCCTTCCGCGCGTGCCGTATCCCTTACCGCAGCCCTCCGCGTCACTGGGCCTCCCCCTTATCATGCAGTAAGAAGGCCCCACAACATTGAGGAAAACACAGGCTGCATCGAAACAAAACCAACCCCCCCAGCAGGGCCAGCCTGCATGGTAGCCAGCTGAGAGTACCTGAGATCAGGTGCACGATCCCAGTCTGTCCCAGTCCCAGCTGCAGTGTACTGTCCCCTGGTGGCCGTCATCTATTCTGTCTTAAATATCACAGGGTGGCTTCATGGGCCAGTAGTTCCCCACCCAGCGTTACCCTCCCTCGGCTTCCACCCTCTCTCTCAGAGCAGTATGAACCATAGCCTACCTGCATTCCGGGGCAGGGCCAGGTAGAGAACTGGAGCCCACGGAGTCACATCTGAAAGTGCATTTTCCACACCTGCTCCAGTTTTACAGATGAGGAAAGCAGAACATTGAGGACCTGGTTAAGTGTCTTGCCCTAGCTGGGCTGCAAAGTTCATACCCAGGGCTACCTGCCTTCAAAGCCCTGCGCCCACATGAAAAGCTTTACCCTCTTTGGGGTTCCTCATTGCCCTCTCCCTGGGGCTGCTAGTTTAAAATAGCAGATTCCTTAGCCAGGTGTGGTGGTGCGCACCTGTAGTCCCAGCTACTCAGGAGGCTGAGGCAGGAGGATGACTTGAGCCTAGGAGTTCAAGGCTGCAGTGAGCTATGATGACACCACTGCACTCCAGCCTGGGCAACAGAGCCAGACCCTATCCCTTAATGAATGAACGAATAAGTAAATAAAACAACAGATTCCCTGAGAAGGAGAAAACATAATCCTAACAGTTTATGCGGTTAAGTTGTAGCACATTTGGGGGAGGGTGTGGGGACTCATGGGTGGATCAGCGAGGGGTGGGCAGGGTGAGAAAGCGGCCGTGCTGGGAGTTATCAGATGCCACGTGTAGGTATTTGAGCAGAGGATGCATGTTTATCACACGGAGGTTGGATCAGATGACCTCAGATGTCCCCGCAGACCTGGGGCTTCTTATGACCCTCAGGAAAGAGGGCAGTAAAGCCAAGCGGATCCAAGGACAAATTCTGCCTCACTGTCTTGCTGAGCTCGGGCCTCCAGAGACTGCCACTTCCCCCAGCTTCCTTGCGGAGAGTTGGGGGAGGGGAGGGAGGGGTGTCCGTGGTTTCAGCCACCACCAGGGGGCAGCAGCAGGTGCTTATGGGGGTCACCCTAGGAGACCTGCAGCTGGGTCTCCAGGCTCAGGCCTGAGCCTGGCATTGCTCATATATATCAGGAGATTCATCTTTTGCGGGCTGGCCTGGGGCCTGCAGTGGGCTCTGCAGCTCAGGACTCCACTAGGAAAGAGGGTGGGGACGGGGACAAAGCAGCCCTCCCCATCCGTCTCTGCCCCGCTCCATGCCACCTGCTTTCCTTGGAAAGTGGGGGTTGGCAGCAAGGTGCAGCCAAAGATTCCAAACCTCCCTGGCATTTCCCTGCGTTCCCAGGGACAGAAGGGTCCAGAACTATGACCACAGGGAAGGGAGGGGCTATGAAATGTGAGGGGCTGGGTTTCGGGGACAGGAGAAATGACCGTGATAATAAAAATGACCGCTTCTCCAGCACCCTCCAGAAACCAGGCTGAACCTTAGGTATAAGTCATTCAGTCCTCCCAGCCGCCCTGCAGTGTGGGTCTCCTTAAACTCCACCTTGCCGGTGAGGAAGGGAGGCTCAGAGAGCGGAAGTGACTTGCCCGAGGTTATGCAGCTGTGTAGACACTGGCCATCCCTGAAGCCAGCGCGCCTCCTGCCCTGGGCTGCCGGCCTGCCCTCCTGTCTAGCCGAGGGGGAAGATGCATGCCATAATTAGGGACTGAAGCAAGTCCTGTAAAAATAAAACAATGAAACGTGTTTTCTGGGTGGCCGGGGTAACAAACACTGCTGTGCAGTTGGCCAGACAGGGCACCTGGTGTTGGCACAGCCTCACGGCGCGGCGGTGGTCTGCGGAGGCTTCTCGGAGGAAGAGGGCCCTTGAGTACGGGTGGGGTTTGGAGAGCTGGTGGGAAGCCAGCAGCCTGGGGCTCCGTGCCACGGCGGCTGGTGTTGGGGGCAGGTGTATGCCAGGACAGGCTGGAAGTCCTGGACGGTGCCTTGACAGTAGGCCTTAACCCCTTCCGTGTGTCCTAGGAGTGGATTTTCGGGTCAAAAACCTGCTGGTGGACGACAGGTGCTTTGCGCTGCAGCTCTGGGACACGGCTGGCCAGGAGAGGTAACGGGCCTGTCCGTGTCAGTCGTGCCAAGGGCCCCGGCTGAGCCGGGGGTGGGGAAGGGGGAGGGCGGCCCTGAAACGCGGGCCGGAGGCCACCCGTGCAAGTGAGCCGCCCTCCCCCTGAGCGTTCAGGAGGCCAGGCAAGCTGAGGCGAGGCGAGCCCAGAGCGCAGACCCAGAGGCCCCCAAGGCTGGCGGGGCGGATGTCAGGGCCACCCGACACGGCCCTCGGGGATAGCCACCCAACCACCTATCCTGGAAACACCATAAAGCCAGGAAAAAGACCGAGGACTCTCTCTGTTTACCAGTCAGGGAATATCTCCAAGATATGTTGTTAACTGGAAAAAAACAAAGTGCAGAGTACTGAACATTGATGAGTACAAGGAATGTTTTCCGCTGTATTTGTATAGAGCGGGGGGAGGGGTGTTTGCGTGCGTGTATACACACAACAAAACGAGAACGGCTGCGCGGCTGGGTACTTTGCGGACAGCCCTCGTATGTACGCATACACATGCAATACCCCTGGAAAAAAAATATATATTATTGAGACAGAGTCTCGCTTGTTGCCCAGGCTAGAGTGAGTGCCGTGGCGTCAGCCCAGCTCACAGCAACCTCCAACTCCTGGGCTCAAGTGATCCTCCTGCCTCAGCCTCCTGACTAGCTGGGACTACAGGCATGCGCCACCATGCCCGGCTAATTGTTTCTATATATATTAGTTGGCCAATTAATTTCCTTCTATTTAAAGTGGAGACGGGGGTCTCGCTCTTGCTCAGGCTGGTTTTGAACTCCTGACCTCAAACGATCCGCCCGCCTCGGCCTCCCAGAGAGCTAGGATTACAGGCGTGAGCCACCGCGCCCGGCCTGGAAAAATATTTCATAGACTGGTAGCCCTGGCTGCCTCTGGGGAGGGGACCAAGTGGCTGCAGGATGGGGCAGGGGGATGGAGACTTTTCGCTGAGCGTCCTTTGGTCCTTTTGCGACGTGAGCCCTGAGAACTGTCACCTGACCAACAGTAACTATGGCATGGCAGGAAGGCCTGGGCACGCCCTCGGTGGGAAGCCACGGGAGTTGCAGACGGAGTGGCTGAGACAGTTGTGGCTGGGCCAGGCTGCCTGGCATGGCCTCACGCAGACTCTCTGGGCAGGTACCACAGCGTGACACAGCAGCTGCTCCGCAAGGCTGATGGGGTGGTGCTCATGTACGACGTCACCTCCCAGGAGAGCTTTGTCCACGTGCGCTACTGGCTGAGCTGTCTCCAGGTGAGCAGATGGCGGCTAGGGTGGGCCCCGGGTTTTGGACTCAAGAGGGAGCTTGTATCCTGCGCACTCCCCCTTTCTCCCAGGGTTACAAATGACACAACAGAACATATGGGTGACACCACCCACTGAAGTCATGTGGTTGGATGAGCTGGGAGCACAGTAGTACAAAGAAACAAACCACAACCACATGGTACAGCCTTCAAACCAAACTACTTCCTTTGTCCTGTGAACATTTCTTTCCTACATACAACAGCTCTGTTTGTGATGCCTTCCCACACCTGAGGATAATGCAGGTCTAGTGCCACTGCAGGTGATGATTCCTCTGTTCTTTCCCCCACTTACTCACTCAGTACGTGTCTACTGGAATTCTGCAGTGTGTACTAGCACGGCAGAGGGGTATGGAGTTAGTCATGGTGTCTTCTGTCCAGAAGCTTCTAGTCTAGTTGAAGAGATGCAAAAGAAGCAAAGTAAGGTAATGTGTGAGGAGGAGAGCTGGGCCCAGGGGTCTGAGAGGACCTGGGTTTGAATCCCACGATCCCATCCCGACTCTGTGACTTTGGACAAGTGGCTTAACCTCTCTGAACTTCAGTTTCCTGACTTCTCTGCTAGGGGAGTCGTGAGGGCTAACTGATACCATTGCCTTCAGCACAGCAATGGCGTATAGCAAATGGTAATCAGAAGCCGTTGTTATTATTCATGAAACAATTAGGAAACGTGCCGAGGCAGCCTGTGTAATCAAACACTGGACTGTCTATTCAACACACACAGGAAAAGAAGGGCATGGGCAGGAGCAATCCAGGAAGGCTTCCTGTAGGAAGGGCCATTGAGGCTGGCCTTGAATAGTAGGTGAGGTGCTTCCAGGCAGAGAGGAGGGGCAGGCCCGCTGCAGACGGGGGAAGTGTCCAGGTGAGAAGGGGGTGGATGACAGTGACCTGGGAGGGACACCTGTGCAGGGCGCACTGTCAGCTTCTGGGGCGGAGGCCGGATCCGCCCGGCCTGGCACACGGGGTGTGGCTGAGAGCGCGTGCTCCGTGTGCAGGACTCGGGTCCCGACGGGATGGTCATCCTTCTCCTGGGGAACAAGACGGACTGTGAGGAGGAGCGGCAGGTGCCCACGGAAGCGGGGCAGCAGCTGGCCCAGGTAAGCGCCGGGCACGGCCGCCCTGCCCGGCTGCACCGGCACACGCCTGCCTGGCAGAGGGAGAACGGGGCCTCCTGGAGTGGGCGGCCGAGAGGGCTCCGCCGGCCACCCCGCCCTGCCCCAGCCAAAGGCCTGGCCGCCTCTGCCGCCCGCCCACGGGTCAGCGGCTCGCAGACGCCCGCCTGGCTGTGGAGCTCGCGAAGCCCCGCGCGGTGTCCCAGCCTACGGAACACGCCTGCGGAGTGAAGGGGCTTTAAATAGCTCCACTTAAAGTCCCCAACCGAGCCTTAACTTTACCTCTGGTCTGTAATTAACATGTTCCCTTCTAGTTTACTCTGTCTTAAGACGCAAACTGTTCCTTGGGAAGATGACATCAAAAGCGCCCCTGCCAGGCGGTGGGGACCATTTACTTATGACTGGCACTTAGGCTCAGTCTGCAGATCTGGAGAGTGATAGAAAAGGGGGCGTCACTCTTCACCCCAGCCTCACACAGCCCTCGCGGCATTTCCACGGTGCGTTTCGTCCCGTTTCTCCTCTCGTGTCCCGTAATCGTGAGGTCATCGTGGCGGCGCCTGGTCGTGAGAATTTTGTTTTTGCTTGAAAGCGGCAGCTCACCCCTTTGACAGTCATTCTCCTCCAGCAATTCTCCCGAGGGGCACGATCGGAAGTGATAGTCCCTGCAGGAACACGTAGTGGATCCCCATGTACCACGTATGATCAGACATGTTTACATGAGGACGCTTTTACAGTAATGGCGGAGGTTCACATGAGAGGCCAGTATTTGCCGTGAGGAGTCCTGTTCTGGGAAGACACCTAAGGGAGTGGGGGAAGCGCTGGCGTCGCTACGCGGGTGGGAGCCGCAGCTGTGGATCCAGCTGTAGGCGGGCTGCCCCCAGGCAGTTGCTGCGGCTCGCGGGCCACCAGCGCAGCGATGCCGTGGGGGCTGACGCTTGGCGCCCCGGCCCCGCCGGTGACGGGCATGTGAAACAGAGAGGGAACACATGCCCGCATGCTAACATCAGTGGCTTGCATTTTGTACCTGCAATTTTTTATGCTGCATCTTCCATTATTTCCCCCAACGAAATATTCTTGAGATCCTAAGAGGTAAGTCACACTTGTGACATGTCCCCAGAGGCATTTCTCCAAGCCGGACTCGGGGTGTCCAGTGAAGGCAGCGAGTGTCTCTGGGCTGTGCCCTTGACTCCCTGGCCGGCCAGGCTGGAGGGCCCCGCCGCAGGCCACCGCCCGCTGAGCCCCACCTGTGGAGGAGGGCGTAGCGGGGCACTGGGCGGGGCTCCGGTGGCCAGGACGTTGGTGGCAGGGGCGGCACTGGCCTCTGGGCGGTCTCGCCCGAGGCACACATGCCCGTCTCTGTGTGCCCCGCAGGAGCTGGGGGTCTCCTTTGGGGAGTGCAGCGCTGCCTTGGGTCACAACATCCTGGAGCCCATGGTGAACCTGGCCAGGTGAGTGCCGCCCCACCCCACCTCTCGCCACCCAGAATCCTCCGGAACAGCCTCCAGCCCCACTCCTGACTCCCGTGTGGGAAGGCAAGGCCCTTTCTGAGGAAACGGGTCAAGGAAGCACCTAGTTTCCTGACAGGGAGGGAGAGAGCACTGCACAGAGAGCCGCCTGACACCAGCCTCAGCATTCCCATTGGCTGTATCGCTCCCCGGACCCCCTTTCCCCTCTCTGAGCCTCAGTTTTCTCATCTGTGAAGTGGACTGGGAAAGGGAGTGTCTGTCTCCTGCTCCCAACCTCCCGTGGATTTAGAATATGACCTGAGTGCCCGTGTCCTCTCTAGTGCCAGCTCCCCTGCCCCCCCACGCGCACGAGCACGCGAACGCGGACACACTGCCCGCTCAGCCACTCACAGGCGCCCTCCCAAGCCCATTTTAGATCACAGCTCCGTTTGTGTCCTTCATTGTCAAGTTGACATTTGTCAGTTCTTGACAAATCATAATTACATCTGCATCGGTCTGGTTCCTTGTCCAGGAGGGCAGGGCCATGTCTGTTTTGTCAGCCCCTCCCTCCATACCTAGGGCCTGGCATGTCCCAGGTGCTTGATAAATGAATACAGTGAGTGAGGGTGAGGGTGCCAGCTCAGATGAACCCATCTGCACGTGGTAAATATCCCGTGAATAAATGAATGGGCCCCTTTTGCTTCCCAGCCCCAAGCTCTCTCTCGACCCTGAACCTCGGCCCTCTGCCCAGAGCGCACCCCGCTTTCCGCCAGCAAACCCTGTCCACCCACGGCTCAGGTCTTGGCTCAGACACTACCTCCCTCCCCCTGAGTCCCCCTGGGCCCTGGCGTGTGGTCGTCTGTGTGTTCCCCGATCCGGTGTCACTCTGGGCTGCAGGGGTCCCTCGCTCGCTACTCGAGGCAGGGAACGGTGGCTCCTTGGTAGGAATCAGAGCCCCTGGCACGGTGCCGGCGCGGCAGGCCTGAAAGGGCGCCGGAAAGAGTCAGAAGGCCGAAGTCGCCGCGGCTCCCGTGTGGGATGCAGGGCGGGGGAGGGAATCTGGGGGGGTCGGAGTGCGGCCTCCCAGCCCCCCACCCAGCTGCACCCATGGGCCCTGCCACGCTGCTCCTGGGAGGTGACAGAGCACCCATGCCTGCGCATCCTCACGCAGGTCACTCAGGACGCAGGAGGACCGCCTGAAGGGCTCGCTGGTGGAGGTGGCCCCCAAAAGGCCGCCCAAGAGGGCCGGCTGCTGCTCCTGACCGCACATCCTGACCGGGGACAGCCACCCGCCTTGGTTTCCCTCCCTCAGCTCCCGGCCTGCCTTGTAGGACGCAGCAACGAGGGACAGGACCCGCGGAAGTTCAGGGATGTGCCCCTCAAATCAGAACTCGGTTTCCGAGGCGGAGGCTGTGCTACCTCTGCCCTCCAGAGAAGCACTCGCTTTGTAAATGAGGCTTGGGGCTGGGGGTATTCTTTGCAACTATTTAAAGAAAAAAAAAGTCTAGAAAATCAGCTTAAGGAAAACACACCAAAATATTGGCTACATGTCTGTGGGAGGGAAATTACAGGGTGATTGTGAGGGGGTGTTATTTCCTTCTTTATACATATTTGTATTTTCAGATTTTCTACAATGTCTGGGTATTCTACAGATAATCAGGGAAAAAAAGGTTGAGAAGGAGGAAAGCAGCTTTTCCAGGCGCTTGCTTTGGTGCCGATTCCTAACGGGCACAATCTGTCAATTACAAACTCCTCCGTCTAGAAAGCAGTTCTGATGCTGTCTGCCCGGCAGGGCGCTGCTCCCGCGCTGCGCCCGCCGCCGCTACGATCCCTGCAAGCGCGGAATCCGATGCCCGGGAGGAGCGACGTCTGATGGCCCCCAATACGCCCGGACGCCCTCGGGTCTCCCTGCGCCCCAACCTCACTCCCTTTCCCCATTATCCACCCCGAGGGGTCACATTCGGGAGCCCTGCCCCCTGCCCCAAGGCCACAGGGCCCCCAGGTGCAGCACTTTGCCTGCGGTGCCATCTCTGGATACGTGTGAGGCGCAGCTGGGGTGCGGCTGGCGGGGCCCGGGGGGCAGCGGGCGCGGGTTCAGACTCGCCGACAGGCTTCCCTTGGAGCTCTGGCAGGAGTTCCCAGAGCCCCACAACAGCCGCCTCCTGAGAGGGGCTTGTAGCCCAGGGCCGGAGCTCCTGGTGCCCCCAGGGAGCTTGCGCCGGGAGTCTTGGCGAGACAGCCTCTCTCCGTCGGCCTGTCCCCTGTTGTCTGTCTGTGGCCGATGTCTGTCACGTCTTGCCATCACCACCAACTGACTGTCCGACGCGTGCCGGGCACTGAGTTTGGGACTTTGTAACCATTCAGGCACTGGGGGAGTCCCTGGCTGAGTCGGAGGAGACCTCAGTTTCCCAGAGAGACCAGCGAAGACAGGTCCAGGGACAGAGCGACAGGGAGAGGATGTGGCAGAGAGAGGAGAGCAGGCGGTGGAGGGCAGAGCCTGTTGCCGCCGGTTAGAGCGAGGGGTTAGCTCCCGGCCCCGTCCCTACCTCGGTTCTACGAGGGGTGCCTCAGCAGCAGTGAGGCCCCGTCACTTGAGGCACACAGCTGGAGCCAGGTGACACTTGGCAGGAGGTGAGATGGAGAAGATTCTAGCGTCAGAAGCCAGCTAAGGTTGGGCTAGATGCCCTGAAGGGAGCCCATGCAGCCTCCAGGCCACATGCGGACAAGTCCCGTGATCCGGCCGGTGGATTCTCCTGCTGGGCCCCCCACTGGCTCTTCCCTGCCCCAGTCATTCCCCTCTCTGACCCTGTCCCCAGTCCACAAGCCCTGCGTGCATGGACCGGAGCGAGTGACCCCCGGCCCTGGCTGAGGGCGGGCAGGTCCTGCTGTTGCTAATGGCTCTCTCTGGGGTCCAGGGCCCTGGCAGGCACCGACATCTCTGTCCTGCAGGCCAGGGAGCTAATGAGGCAGGGAGGCAGGTGTGACTCCTGAGGGAGCCGGCAGAGCAGACAGAGCTGGGATAGGTCCTCTGGGGGGCCCAGTGCAGGAGTGGTCCCAGGCCCGCCCCGCCCAGCTCAGCTCTGCTGTGGCCTCAGGCAGCTCAGGCTCAGGCGCCCTGAGGTGGGGTGCTGGAGGAGACCGCCCAGAACTTCTGTTGCTGTCCTCTGGCTGGGTCCACCTTCTGCGCAGGGTCCGGCTGCACACGGGCCACCAGACTTTCCCAGTGTCAAAGGGCTCGCAAGTGGGCAAGCAGGACCCAGGAACCTCAGAGCAGCACGAGGTGGGTAAGGACAACAGCAGGAGGGACTCAAGGTAGACTTCAGAGTGAACTTTCAGGCAAGTGGCTCGTTCTCACAGCATGCCAGCCTAGGGGGCCTCTGGCTACAACTTAGCTTGAGGCGGATTGAGCAAATGAAGGTGGGCCTGGGCTGATGGGGCTCCTGGTGTGGACTGAGACGGGAGGGCGGGGAGCAGAATGGAGGCGGGGCAGGAGCTCCGGGAGAAGAGAGCTTTTAGGAACTGAGGGTGAGCAGGGGCAGAGCGACAGCCATCCTCTACGCAGCGGCCGCGGCGTGCCGGGCACTGTTCTGAGCACTTGACTCACGGAACCTCATTTCATCCCCTCGCCAACACCATGCGACGGCGTGTCGTCATCCCAATCGACAGACGGGAGTGGTGCATGGAGAGGCCGAGTGACTGCCGCACAGTCCCACAGCCAGTGAGAGCTGGCCTTAATGCGCTCCAGCTCCCGCGGGCTCCACCCTCAGCGTGCGGAACTTCGCACAGGAGGGCGTGGACCCTTGCGTGGAGCAGGGCGAGTCCCGCAGCCTCTTGCCCTGCCCGCCTCCCCCAGCAGAGCCCATGGCATGGCGGTGTGGGTCGGGGACAGGAGATGGAAAGGCAATGACAAATGCCAGGAAAGTGGCTGGACCACCGCATTCGCCCAGGGCAGTTGGGGTCTTTGGACAGGTCCCTCATTTCCTCCTTCCCCTGCAGTCCCTGGAACCAGAGTCTGGGCCCCCAGAGGGGCGTTGGCATCAAAATCACAGGGGTCCCCCCAGTCTCCGCTCAGCCGCGGGCGGGCACGTTGCTGCCCTCGGGGCCTCAGAGACCAAGCTAGTCCCACAGGCAGGGGCTCTGCAGGAGGAGGCCGGCGACTGCTCCACACCTGCCTTTGAGCTGCAAGAAAAAGGGTCTCTCCCCAGGCCCCAGTGCAGGAGACAGGGGAGGAAACTCCAGGCAGGGCCCCTCTGGGCTGCCTTGCGTGCTGCCGGCCCCCCAGTGCCTGGCGCAGAGAAACGCTCAGGAGGTACTACTGCGTTAGGGGACCAGCTAAGGCACCCGGTCCTTGCCAGAGTCCTCCCGAGTTGGGGGAGGGCTGCGGGGCGGCGGGGGGTGGGGGTGGGGCAGGAGGAAGGACCGACAGCTGGGCGCAGGCTCCCCTCGCTGGGCACAGGCTCCCTCGCCTTGCCAGGGACTCGCACAGCACAACCCAGAGGGAGCGGTGCCCACGCCCGTCTGCCCTGTGAATCAGCTGGGACCTTCCAAACATGCCAAGCCCCAGACCGATAAATCATGTTTCTGGGGTTTCTGTACTTTTGAAACTCCCTATGTGATCCCAAAGTGAAGACAAGCTCGGAACCCCTGGTCAGGGCTTTTTATACATTTTCAAAGCCCTTCCATATCCACTTTCTCATTCTAACTGCGAATTAAATTAAATCTGCCTATTTCATAGGTGTGTGTGTGTGTGTGTGTGTGAACTTTATCAGATTATAAAAGCGAGCTGTACTCCCTGCAGAAATTTGAGAAACAAAGCTATGACGAGGCCTTGCTGAGGCAGGGACACATTAAGTAACTCTCCCACGGTCCCGGAGCTACCAAGTGGCAGAGCCAGGATTTGAGCCCAGGGCAGGGATGGAGCCCTGCCGCCAGGTTGCGTGGGGGCTGGAGGGCCGAGGGTGCCCAGGGCAGGCGCGTGTCTGGGCCGCTGTGAGAGGAGGGCTCGGCAGGGGCCGGAGGGCTGTTTTCCATGCTGTCCCTGTGTCTGCCGCAGGAGAATGGCGCCCAACGCCACGTTCGCTCCCCGCCCGGCCGCCGCCGCGCCCGAGCGACTGCTCCGCCCCGTCTTTGCCGGGCTCTGCGGGGCCGTCCTGCTGGCGGGGCTGCTGGCCAACGGGCTCCTGCTGCTGGTGGTGGGCCGGGGCCCCGGCGCCCGCTCCCCGCTCCTCGCGCTGACCAACAGCCTCATGGTGAACGTCACACTGTCCGACCTGCTCTTCCTGGGCTGCGTGGTGCCCGTGCTGCTGCTGAGCTTCCTGCGGCACGACTGGTGGCTGGGCCCTGCCATCTGCACCACCAGCCAGGCCGCCAACACGGCCACCATGTTCTGCACCTTCTACAGCATGGTGGCCACAGCTCTTCTGCGCCACGTGGCTGTGGCCCGGCCTGACGTGGGCCTACCAGCCGGCCGGGGCACCCGCTTGCTGCTCTGTGGGGCCATGTGGGGCCTGGGCCTCGCCGCCTCCCTGCCCAACTGGCTGTTCCAGCGGGTGGCGGTGGAGGAGGGGACGGCGGGGGCCCCCACCACCCGGGCCTGCCTCCTGCTCCTGAGCCCCGCTCAGACCTCCTGCTACTTCGCCCTGCTGGGAGCGCTGGCCTTCCTGCCCTGCCTGCTGGGGCTGGGCTGCTCCTTCAGCCACGTGCGCTGGCTCCTGTGGACGCGGCCGCGAGGTCCCACGGGGGAGAGCGCCCGGGAGCACCAAGAGAACACAGGGCTCATCCTGGTGGTGCTGCTGGTGTTCGTGCTGATGTGGGGCCCCTGCTCCGTGCTGGGCTATGCGGCGGCCGTGGGCCTCCTGCCCGCCACGCCCCAGGCGTTTGTGGCCTCCAGCCTCTCCTCCATCCTGGCCGCCTCCAACTGTGCCGTCAGCCCCGTCCTCTGCTTCTGCCTCTCCCGCCCCTTCCGGGCAGGGCTCAGGGACCTCTTCTGCAGGCTGCTGACAGCCAGGCGTCCCAGAGGTGTGGGAGGGGCAGCCACGGGGCTGCAGAGCGTCCAGCCTGGCCAGGAGAGGGCCCCGGGAGGCCCACGGGGCCCGGTGGGCGTCTGAGAGGCCAGGGTGATGGGAGGGCTGAGTTTCCAGGGAGATGGAAAGACCCTCGGTGACCTTAGAGCCCCCCACCCTGTATTGTACCTATGGGGACACTGAGACCCACAGAGGGCAGACCGCCCCACAGCAATGGCACGGCTCAGCCAGGGCTCAATCTGCAGATAACCGGGTCCTCCCCCCACTCTACCCTGAGGGTCAGAGACCTTTAGGATCTACTGTTTTCTAGTTGTGTGATCTTGAGCAAAGCCCTTAACCTCTCTGTGCCTCAGTTTTCTCGTCTGGAAAATGGGACAATGGTTATATGCACCTTCTTCACACGGATGTTATAAATTCACTAAACACAAGTAGGGTGCTTAGAAGAGTGTCTGGTGCTCAGTACGTACATGGGCACGTTGGTCATAGCTACTGTTATTGTTTTTATTAATTCAGGGGCATTCGAGGTGAGTGGATGAGAGGGTGGTGGGGGGGCTTCCAAAGGCAGAGGAATGATCTGGGCGCTGCAGCCCGAGGCCCTCCCTTCCGAAGGCCAGGGCTGGGGGACAGCCGCAGCCCGGGCGGGGGCTCAGGGCCCAGGTGTGCCTTTCAGCGCTCTCCCTTCTCTGCCCGCCCTCCCAGCTCTGTCCGCACAGGCCTTGGCCCAAGATGGGAATGAAAATAAAAAGTCAGCTATGAAGCCATGAGTCTGTGCCTGTGAATGTCAGAATGTCTTCCCCGCGGTGTCTCTTCCCCAGGTGGCCGGGGCAGGGGTCCCTTTTAAGGCCTTCTCCTTCTCTCCAGAGCCCAGGCTGGGGGCTCCATCCTCCCCAGCCCCGGCCTCCCTGGAGCAGCCCCCAGGCTTCTGTGTGGGCCCGGGCACCAGGGACACTGTCTCTGCCGAAATCTCCAAACAGCACGTTCCACCTGGTAATGGCGTTACCAGCTACACACACTGCACACACATGCACACACACGTGTACACACACACACACACACACACACACACACACACACACGCGCGCCCTGACTGTGTGGTAAAAAGCTTGGGAAACGTTGTGTTGAACCAAGTCAAACTGGAATCTTTGCTGTAGGACTTATCAGAGGCTTGAAAATCCTACAGGCCATTTAGACTCTCTGAGAGGGGCTCACTCAGGCGGTTTCCCAAACTCATGCCAGGGAGCCAGCGTGCTGTGGCGCACAGCTAGGGAAGGAACCCGGGAGTGAAGCTACAGTGTCGGGCAAGAGACGCCCTCGGTATCCTGTCCTGTCCCGGAGCAGCAGCTGTGAGCCTCGGTCTGTCTGCCAGGCAGGCGTCTCCTCCCGACACGTTCCCACGGCGCCCACGCGGAGGTTATGGGAACTTCCCTTCTCCCGAGCTGCCACCCGCCCCGTTCCCGCTCAAAGCATATCGGAATGCAAGTCAGAGGGGCGTCTAATTATAGGGACAGCCGTGAATCAGCTCTAATTTACTATAAAATCATAAGAAGTAAACAAGTCCCAAACTTTGGTATAATTAGTACTGAATTCCTCGTGAGGTGCAGGTTGGGCATGGCTGCCTGGAGGGCCAATCTGAGAACAAACTTGCCTAGAAAAGGGACAAGTCCCCTTCTGCTGTGATCCTGGCCCCTGAGGACCACAGGCATTTACATGTGAAGAGGGACGGGGGTGGGGGGGAATGGGGTGGAAAAACATGTACCTAAAGCACGGTGGGTCCTGGCACGTGTCACAGGGTCTTGGGCACACACCTACCTGTCACTCCGGCCACACGATGGTCCTGCGAGGGGGAGCGATGGCCCCTTGCTTGGGGGCAGTAACTTGTCGTGGGCTCGTGGCCTGTGAGTCATCACGCCGGGCCAGGAGCCCCCTTTAGTGCCCACAGCCTCCAGCCCCTCCTGTCGGCTCGGCGTCGGTGCCCCACGATGGCAGCACTTCCTCGCTCGCTGCCCCAGCGCAGGGGACCCGAGCGCACGGCTCTGTGCGTGAGTCTCCGACGCCTGAGGGGGCCTGGCGCTGACAGTCAGTGAGGACTTGATGTGAGGCGAGTGATCACGTGCTAGGACGTGATGGTGTCGCCTCTCCACCCCCTGCTTCGCTCAGAGCAAACACCACAGGCCTCACCACGGACTGGACGGCCCCCAGCCCCCTCCCGCACCTCGGCGGGCCACCAGCGCAGCGAATGCGATGCGTGGGGGCCGCGCTTGCGCCCGCCGCCGGTGACGGCTGTGACCAGAGAGGGAACACATGCCCGCACGCTGACCGAGGTTTGATGTTTTGTACTGCACTTTTTTAATCGACTGTATCTTCCATTATATAATCCCAACGAAAATATCTACCGAGATCCCTAAAAGACGATAAGTCCCTGTGCATGGTCCCCAGAGCCTTCTCCAAGCGGACGGCGGGGTGGTCCAGTGAAGGCAGCGAGTGTCTCTGGCTGTGCCCTTGACTCCTGGCCGGCCAGGCCTGGAGGCCCCGCCGGGGCCACCGCCCGCTGAGCCCACCTGTGGAGGAGGGCGTAGCGGGGCCTGGGTGGCCAGGACGTTGTGGCAGGGTGGCATGGCCTCTGGGCGTCGCGCCGGAAGGCACAATGCCGTCTCCTGTGTAGGCCCGCATGGGGTCTCTTTGGGGAGTGCGCGCTTGCCCTTGGGTCACACCTCCTGGACCCATGGTGAACCTGGCAGAGTAGAGTGGCCGCCCCACCCACTTCGCCACCCAGAATTCCGGCCAGCCTCCAGCCCCACTCTGACTCCGTGTGGGAAGGCAAGGCCTTTCTGAGGACGCCAGGAGCACCTAGTTCTGACAGGGAGGAGAGAGCACTGCACAGAGAGCCGCTGACCCACTCGAGCATTCCATTGGCTGTATCCGCTCCTGGCCCTTTCCCTCTCTGGACTCAGTTTTCTCATCTGTGGAAGTGGACTGGGAAGGGAGTGGTCTGTCTCCTGCTCCAACTCCCGGTGGATTTAGAATATGACCCGAGTTGCCGTGCTCCCTCTAGTGCCAGCTCCCCTGCCCCCACACGCACCGCGCACACGCACAACAGGACACATCCCGCTTGGCCACTTCACAGGCGCCATCCCGAAGCCATTTTAGATCACAGCTCCGTTTGAGTCCTTCATTGTCAGTTGACATTTGTCAGATTCTTGACAATCATATTACTCTTGCATCGGTCTGGTTTCCTTGTCCAGGAGGCAGGGCATGTTCTGTTTTTGTCAGCCCCTCTCCGATACCTAGGCTGGCACGCTCCAGGTGCTTGATAAATGATACAGTGAGGGTGAGGGTGCCAGCTCAGATGAACCCATCTGCACGTGTAAATCCCGTGAATAATATGGCCCCTTTTGCTTCCAGCCAGCTTCTCTCTCGACCCTGACCTCGGCCTCTGCCCAGAGCGGCACCCCGCTTTCCGCCAGCAACCCTGGTCCACCCACGGCTCAGGTCTTGGCTCAGACACTACTCTCCTGAGTCCCCTGCCTGGCGTGTTGGTCGTCTGTGTGTTCCCGCGATACCGGTGTCACTCTGGGCTGCAGGGGTCCCACTCGCTCGCTCTACTCGAGGCGGGAACGGTGGCTCCTATGGCTAGGAATCAGAGCCCATGGCACGGTGCGGCGCGGCAGGCCTGAAGGGCGCGGACAAGCTAGTCAGAAAGGCGAAGTCCGCCGCGGCTCCGTGTGGGATGCAGGGCGGGGACGGATCTGGGGGGGGGGTCGAGTGCGCCGAGCTCGCCGCCCCCACCCAGATGCACCCATCGGGCCGCTGCCACCGCTGCTCCTGGGAGGTGACGAGCACCCATGCCATGCGCAGTCTCACGGAAGGTCATCAGGATGCAGGAGGAACCGCTGAAGGCTCGCTGGTGGAGGTGGCCCCCAAAGGCCGCCAGAGGGCCCGGCTGCTGCTCTGACCGCGACATCCTGCCCGGGGACAGCCACACCGCCTTGGTTTTCCTCCCGTCAGCTCCGGCCTGCTTGTAGGAGCAGCAACGAGGGCAGGACCGCGGAAGTTTCAGGGAGTGTGCCCCTCATCGAACTCGGTTTCCCGAGCGGAGGCTGTGCTACCTCTGCCCTCCAGAGAAGACTCGCTTTGGTAAATAAGCTTGGGGCATGGGGGTATTCTTTCAACTATTTAAAGAAAAAAAGATCTAGAAAATCAGCTTAAGGAAAACACACCAACTATTGGCTACATGTCTGTGGCGGGAAATTACAGGGTGATTGCTGAGAGGTGCTTATTTCCTTCGTTTATACATATTTGTATTTTCAGATTTCTACAACAATGTTGGGTATTCTACAGATAATCGGGAACAGAAAGGTTGAGAAGAGAGGAAAGGCACCTTCCAGGCGCTTGCTTTGGTGCGCGATTCTAAGCGGTGCACAATCTGTCAAGTTACCAAACTCCTCCGTCTAGAAAGAGCTCGATGCTGTTCTGCCGGCGGCGCTGCTCCGCGGCATGCGCCACCGCCGCTACGATCCCTGCAAAGCGGATCCGATGCCCGGGAGGAGCGACGTCTGATCGGCCCCCTACGCCGGCGGCCTCCGGTCTCCTGCGCCACACCTACTCCTTCTCCCATTATCACCGAAGGGTCCATTCGGGAGACCCTGCCCCTGCCCAAGGCACAGTGCACCAGTTGCAGCACTTTGCCTGCGGTGCCACTCTGGATACGTGTGAGGCGCAGCTGGGTGCGGCTGGCGGCGGCACGGCAGCAGGGACGGGCCAAGGGTTCGCTCGCCCGAAGGCCTTCCTTGGAGCTCTGGCAGGTTCCCAGAGCCCACAACAGCCGCCTCACTGAGAGGCTTTGTAGCCGGGCCGAGCTCCTGGTGCCCCCAGGGGAGCTTTGCGCCGGAGTCTTGGCGAGACAGCCCTCTCTCCGCTCCGGCCACTTGATCCCATGATTGTACATGTCTGTGGCGATGTCTGTCACGTCTTGCCATCACCACCAACTGACTGTCCGACCGTGCCGGCACTGGTTATTGGACTTTTACCATTCAGGCACGTGGGGAGTCCTGCTGAAGGTCGGAGGAGACTCAGTTTCCAGAGAGACCAGCGAAGACAGGTCCAGGGACGAGCGACAGGGGGATGTGGCAGAGAGAGGAGAGAAGGCGGTGCGGCAGAGCTGTCTTGCCAGCCGGATTAGAGCGAGGGTTAGCTGTCCGCCCCCGTCCCTGCGACTGTTCTACGAGGGTGCCTCCAGCGCGTGGGACCCGTCACTATGGGCACCAGCTGGAGCCAGGTGAATTGGCAGGAGGCTGAGATGGAGAAGATTCTAGCGTCAGAAGCCAGCTAAGGTATGGAGCTAGATCCTGAGGACCATTGCAGCTACAGGCCACATGCGGACAAGTCGCCGGTGATCCGGCCGGTGGTTCATCCTGTCGGGCCCCCAACTGGCTCTTCCCAATGCCCCGTTCATTCCCCTCTCTGACCCTGTCCCCAGTCCACAAGCCCTTGCGTGCATAAAGGACCAGGAGCGAGTGCCCCGGCCCTGGCTGAGGGCGGCGGATCCTGCTGTTGCTAATGGCTCTCTCTGGGCGTCCAGGGCCTGGCAGGCACCGGACATCTCTGATCCTGCAGGACCAGAGGAGCTAATGAGGACAGGGCAGGTGTGACTCCTGAGGGAGCCGGCAGGCAGACAGAGCTGGGATAGGTCCTCTGGGCGGGCCAGTGCAGGAAGTGGTCCAGGCCGCCCGCCCAGCTCAGCTCTGCTTGGCTCAGGCAGCTCAGGCTCCAGGCGCCTGAGGTGGGGTGCTGGAGAGACCGCAGAACTTCTTGTGTCTCTGGCTGGGTCCCACCTTTGCGCAGCGGCTGCATGCAACGGCCACCAGACGTTTCCAGGTGTCAAGGGCTCGCACTGGGCAAGCAGGACCCAGGAACCTCAGAGCAGCCGAGGTGGTAACGACAACAGCAGGAGGACTTCAGGTAGACTTCAGAGTGGAACTTTCAGCAGTGCTCGTTCTCACAGCATGCCAGCTAGGGGCGCCTCTTGGCTACCAACTTAGCCTTGAGCGGATTGAGCAATGAAGGTTGGGCTGGGCTGATGGGGCTCCTGGTGGTGGACTCGAGACGGGAGGGCGGGGACCAGAATGGAGGCGGCACGAGCTCGGGAGACAGAGAGCTTTTAGACTCGCGGGTGACAGGGCAGAGCGACAGCCATCCTCTAGACGCAGCGGCCGCGCGTGCGGCACTGTTTGGCACTTGATCCGGAACCTCATTTCATCCCGTCGCACGACATGCGACGGCGTGTCGTCATCCAATCGACAGACGGGGTGGTGCATGGAGAGGCCGAGTGACTGCGACGGTCCCACAGCCAGTGAGAGCTGGCTTAATCGCTCCAGCTCCCGCGGGCTCCACCGCTCGAGCCCCAGCGTGGGACTTCGCACAGGCGGGCGTGACCCTTTGCGTGGAGCAGGGCGAGTCCGCAGCCTCTTCGCCCTGCGCCATTCCCCCACAGAAGCCATGGCCATGGCGGTGTGGTCGGGAACGGAGGAGTGGAAAGGCAATGACCATGCGGAAAGTGGCTGACGCACCGCAATTCGCCCAGGGCAGTTGGGTCTTTGGCACAGTTCCCTCCATTCATCTCTTCCCCTGCAGTCCCTGAAGAGTCTGCCCAGAGGGCGTTGGCATCAAAATCCGGGGTCCCCCCGTCATGCCCGCTCAGCGCGGGCGGGCACGTTGCTGCCTCGGGCCTCAGAGCAAGATAGTGCACAAGGCAGGGGCTCTGCAGGAGGAGGCCGGCGACGCTCACACTGCCTTTGAGCTGCAAGAAAAGGGTCTCCTCCAGGCCAGGTGCAGGAACAGGGGAGGAAACTCCAGGCCAGCAGGCCCTCGGCTGCCTTGCGTGCCTGCCGCCCAGTGCTGGCGCAGAGAACCTCAGAGGTACAGACTCGCGTTAGGGGACCAGCTAAGGCACCCGTCGCTTGCAGAGTCCGCTCGCCGATGTTGGGGAAGGGCTGCGGGGCGGCGGGGGGCTGGGGTGGGCAGGAGGAAGGACGCAGACAGTGGGCGCAGGCTCTCGCTGGGCCACAGGCTCCTCGCCTGCAGCTCGCCAGCACAACCCAGAGGGAGCGGTGCCAGCCGTCTGCCCTGTGAAATCAGCTGGGACCCTTCAGAACATGCCAAGCCCAGACGAATAACTCACTTTTTCTGGGGTTCTGTACCTGTTTGAAACTCCCTATGCTGATCGCCAAATGAAGACAAGCTCGGAACCCCTGGGTCCAGGGCTTTATACTGTTTTCAAGCCTTCCATATCCACTTTCTCATTTTAACTTGGAATTAACTTAATCCTGCTATTTCATGAGGGGTGTGTGTGTGTGTGTGTGTGTGTGTGTGGAAGGCTCTTATCAGATTATACAAAGCGAGCTGTACTCCTGCAGAAATTTGCGAAACAAGCTATGACGAGGCCGTTGCTGAGGCAGGGGACACATTAAGTAACTCTCACGCCGGAGCTACCCAGTGGCAGAGCCAGGATTATGGCCCAGGGCGGATCGGAGCCCTGCGCCAGGGTTGCGTGGGCTGGAGCGAGGTGGCCAGGCGAGGCGCTTCTGGGCCCCTGTGAGGGAGGCTCGAGGCCGGAGGGCCTGTGTTTCCATGCTGTCCCTTGTCTGCCGCAGGACGATGCGCGCACGCCGTGCTCCGCCGGCCGCGCCCCAACGCCCCCGAGCGACTGCTCCGCCCGTCTTTGCCGGCTCCTGCCGGGGCCGTCTGCTGGCCGGGCTGCTTGGCCAACGGGCTCCTGCTCGCTGTGGTGGGCCGGGGCCCCGGCGCCCCCCGCTCCTCGGCCTGACCAAGCAGCCTCATGTGAGCTCACACACTGTCCGACCTGCTCTTCCTGGGCTGCAGTGGTGCCAGTGCTGATGCCTGAGCTTCCTGCGGCACGACTGGTGGCTGCGGCCCTGCCATCTGCACCACCAGCCAGGCCGCCACACGGCCCCATGTTCTTGCACTTCTACCGCATGGTGCGCCACAGCTTCTTTTGCGCCACGGGTGGCTGTGGCCGCCTGACGTGGGCCTACAGCCGGCCGGAGGCACCCGCTTGCTGCTCTGTGGGGCCATGATGGGGCCTGGCTTCGCAGCCTCCCTGCCAACTGGCTGTTCCAGCGGTGGCGGTGGGGAGGGACGGCGGGCGGCGCCCCACCACCCGGCCTGCTCCTGCTCCTGAGCCCCGCTCAGACTCCTGCTAACTTCGCCCTGCTGGAGCGCTGGCCTTCTGCCTGGCTGCTGGGGCTGGGCTGCTCCTTCAGCCACGTGCGCTGGCTCCTGTGGACGCGGCCGCGAGGTCCACGGGGGAGAGCGCCTCGGCCTCCCAGAGAGCTAGGATTACAGGCGTGAGCCACCGCGCCCGGCCTGGAAAAATATTTCATAGACTGGTAGCCCTGGCTGCCTCTGGGGAGGGGACCAAGTGGCTGCAGGATGGGGCAGGGGGATGGAGACTTTTCGCTGAGCGTCCTTTGGTCCTTTTGAGACGTGAGCCCTGAGAACTGTCACCTGGCCAACAGTAACTATGGCATGGCAGGAAGGCCTGGGCACGCCCTCGGTGGGAAGCCACGGGAGTTGCAGACGGAGTGGCTGAGACAGCTGTGGCTGGGCCAGGCTGCCTGGCATGGCCTCACGCAGACTCTCTGGGCAGGTACCACAGCGTGACACAGCAGCTGCTCCGCAAGGCTGATGGGGTGGTGCTCATGTACGACGTCACCTCCCAGGAGAGCTTTGTCCACGTGCGCTACTGGCTGAGCTGTCTCCAGGTGAGCAGATGGCGGCTAGGGTGGGCCCCGGGTTTTGGACTCAAGAGGGAGCTTGTATCCTGCGCACTCCCCCTTTCTCCCAGGGTTACAAATGACACAACAGAACATATGGGTGACACCACCCACGGAAGTCATGTGGTTGGATGAGCTGGGAGCACAGTAGTACAAAGAAACAAACCACAACCACATGGTACAGCCTTCAAACCAAACTACTTCCTTTGTCCTGTGAACATTTCTTTCCTACATACAACAGCTCTGTTTGTGATGCCTTCCCACACCTGAGGATAATGCAGGTCTAGTGCCACTGCAGGTGATCATTCCTCTGTTCTTTCCCCCACTTACTCACTCAGTACGTGTCTACTGGAATTCTGCAGTGTGTACTAGCACGGCAGAGGGGTATGGAGTTAGTCATGGTGTCTTCTGTCCAGAAGCTTCTAGTCTAGTTGAAGAGATGCAAAAGAAGCAAAGTAAGGTAATGTGTGAGGAGGAGAGCTGGGCCCAGGGGTCTGAGAGGACCTGGGTTTGAATCCCACGATCCCATCCCGACTCTGTGACTTTGGACAAGTGGCTTAACCTCTCTGAACTTCAGTTTCCTGACTTCTCTGCTAGGGGAGTCGTGAGGGCTAACTGATACCATTGCCTTCAGCACAGCAATGGCGTATAGCAAATGGTAATCAGAAGCCGTTGTTATTATTCATGAAACAATTAGGAAACGTGCCGAGGCAGCCTGTGTAATCAAACACTGGACTGTCTATTCAACACACACAGGAAAAGAAGGGCATGGGCAGGAGCAATCCAGGAAGGCTTCCTGTAGGAAGGGCCATTGAGGCTGGCCTTGAATAGTAGGTGAGGTGCTTCCAGGCAGAGAGGAGGGGCAGGCCCGCTGCAGACGGGGGAAGTGTCCAGGTGAGAAGGGGGTGGATGACAGTGACCTGGGAGGGACACCTGTGCAGGGCGCACTGTCAGCTTCTGGGGCGGAGGCCGGATCCGCCCGGCCTGGCACACGGGGTGTGGCTGAGAGCGCGTGCTCCGTGTGCAGGACTCGGGTCCCGACGGGATGGTCATCCTTCTCCTGGGGAACAAGACGGACTGTGAGGAGGAGCGGCAGGTGCCCACGGAAGCGGGGCAGCAGCTGGCCCAGGTAAGCGCCGGGCACGGCCGCCCTGCCCGGCTGCACCGGCACACGCCTGCCTGGCAGAGGGAGAACGGGGCCTCCTGGAGTGGGCGGCCGAGAGGGCTCCGCCGGCCACCCCGCCCTGCCCCAGCCAAAGGCCTGGCCGCCTCTGCCGCCCGCCCACGGGTCAGCGGCTCGCAGACGCCCGCCTGGCTGTGGAGCTCGCGAAGCCCCGCGCGGTGTCCCAGCCTACGGAACACGCCTGCGGAGTGAAGGGGCTTTAAATAGCTCCACTTAAAGTCCCCAACCGAGCCTTAACTTTACCTCTGGTCTGTAATTAACATGTTCCCTTCTAGTTTACTCTGTCTTAAGACGCAAACTGTTCCTTGGGAAGATGACATCAAAAGCGCCCCTGCCAGGCGGTGGGGACCATTTACTTATGACTGGCACTTAGGCTCAGTCTGCAGATCTGGAGAGTGATAGAAAAGGGGGCGTCACTCTTCCCCCCAGCCTCACACAGCCCTCGCGGCATTTCCACGGTGCGTTTCGTCCCGTTTCTCCTCTCGTGTCCCGTAATCGTGAGGTCATCGTGGCGGCGCCTGGTCGTGAGAATTTTGTTTTTGCTTGAAAGCGGCAGCTCACCCCTTTGACAGTCATTCTCCTCCAGCAATTCTCCCGAGGGGCACGATCGGAAGTGATAGTCCCTGCAGGAACACGTAGTGGATCCCCATGTACCACGTATGATCAGACATGTTTACATGAGGACGCTTTTACAGTAATGGCGGAGGTTCACATGAGAGGCCAGTATTTGCCGTGAGGAGTCCTGTTCTGGGAAGACACCTAAGGGAGTGGGGGAAGCGCTGGCGTCGCTACGCGGGTGGGAGCCGCAGCTGTGGATCCAGCTGTAGGCGGGCTGCCCCCAGGCAGTTGCTGCGGCTCGCGGGCCACCAGCGCAGCGATGCCGTGGGGGCTGACGCTTGGCGCCCCGGCCCCGCCGGTGACGGGCATGTGAAACAGAGAGGGAACACATGCCCGCATGCTAACATCAGTGGCTTGCATTTTGTACCTGCAATTTTTTATGCTGCATCTTCCATTATTTCCCCCAACGAAATATTCTTGAGATCCTAAGAGGTAAGTCACACTTGTGACATGTCCCCAGAGGCATTTCTCCAAGCCGGACTCGGGGTGTCCAGTGAAGGCAGCGAGTGTCTCTGGGCTGTGCCCTTGACTCCCTGGCCGGCCAGGCTGGAGGGCCCCGCCGCAGGCCACCGCCCGCTGAGCCCCACCTGTGGAGGAGGGCGTAGCGGGGCACTGGGCGGGGCTCCGGTGGCCAGGACGTTGGTGGCAGGGGCGGCACTGGCCTCTGGGCGGTCTCGCCCGAGGCACACATGCCCGTCTCTGTGTGCCCCGCAGGAGCTGGGGGTCTCCTTTGGGGAGTGCAGCGCTGCCTTGGGTCACAACATCCTGGAGCCCATGGTGAACCTGGCCAGGTGAGTGCCGCCCCACCCCACCTCTCGCCACCCAGAATCCTCCGGAACAGCCTCCAGCCCCACTCCTGACTCCCGTGTGGGAAGGCAAGGCCCTTTCTGAGGAAACGGGTCAAGGAAGCACCTAGTTTCCTAACAGGGAGGGAGAGAGCACTGCACAGAGAGCCGCCTGACACCAGCCTCAGCATTCCCATTGGCTGTATCGCTCCCCGGACCCCCTTTCCCCTCTCTGAGCCTCAGTTTTCTCATCTGTGAAGTGGACTGGGAAAGGGAGTGTCTGTCTCCTGCTCCCAACCTCCCGTGGATTTAGAATATGACCTGAGTGCCCGTGTCCTCTCTAGTGCCAGCTCCCCTGCCCCCCCACGCGCACGAGCACGCGAACGCGGACACACTGCCCGCTCAGCCACTCACAGGCGCCCTCCCAAGCCCATTTTAGATCACAGCTCCGTTTGTGTCCTTCATTGTCAAGTTGACATTTGTCAGTTCTTGACAAATCATAATTACATCTGCATCGGTCTGGTTCCTTGTCCAGGAGGGCAGGGCCATGTCTGTTTTGTCAGCCCCTCCCTCCATACCTAGGGCCTGGCATGTCCCAGGTGCTTGATAAATGAATACAGTGAGTGAGGGTGAGGGTGCCAGCTCAGATGAACCCATCTGCACGTGGTAAATATCCCGTGAATAAATGAATGGGCCCCTTTTGCTTCCCAGCCCCAAGCTCTCTCTCGACCCTGAACCTCGGCCCTCTGCCCAGAGCGCACCCCGCTTTCCGCCAGCAAACCCTGTCCACCCACGGCTCAGGTCTTGGCTCAGACACTACCTCCCTCCCCCTGAGTCCCCCCGGGCCCTGGCGTGCGGTCGTCTGTGTGCTCCCCGATCCGATGTCACTCTGGGCTGCAGGGGTCCCTCGCTCGCTACTCGAGGCAGGGAACGGTGGCTCCTTGGTAGGAATCAGAGCCCCTGGCACGGTGCCGGCGCGGCAGGCCTGAAAGGGCGCCGGAAAGAGTCAGAAGGCCGAAGTCGCCGCGGCTCCCGTGTGGGATGCAGGGCGGGGGAGGGAATCTGGGGGGGTCGGAGTGCGGCCTCTCAGCCCCCCACCCAGCTGCACCCATGGGCCCTGCCACGCTGCTCCTGGGAGGTGACAGAGCACCCATGCCTGCGCATCCTCACGCAGGTCACTCAGGACGCAGGAGGACCGCCTGAAGGGCTCGCTGGTGGAGGTGGCCCCCAAAAGGCCGCCCAAGAGGGCCGGCTGCTGCTCCTGACCGCACATCCTGCCCGGGGACAGCCACCCGCCTTGGTTTCCCTCCCTCAGCTCCCGGCCTGCCTTGTAGGACGCAGCAACGAGGGACAGGACCCGCGGAAGTTCAGGGATGTGCCCCTCAAATCAGAACTCGGTTTCCGAGGCGGAGGCTGTGCTACCTCTGCCCTCCAGAGAAGCACTCGCTTTGTAAATAAGGCTTGGGGCTGGGGGTATTCTTTGCAACTATTTAAAGAAAAAAAAAGTCTAGAAAATCAGCTTAAGGAAAACACACCAAAATATTGGCTACATGTCTGTGGGAGGGAAATTACAGGGTGATTGTGAGGGGGTGTTATTTCCTTCTTTATACATATTTGTATTTTCAGATTTTCTACAATGTCTGGGTATTCTACAGATAATCAGGGAAAAAAAGGTTGAGAAGGAGGAAAGCAGCTTTTCCAGGCGCTTGCTTTGGTGCCGATTCCTAACGGGCACAATCTGTCAATTACAAACTCCTCCGTCTAGAAAGCAGTTCCGATGCTGTCTGCCCGGCAGGGCGCTGCTCCCGCGCTGCGCCCACCGCCGCTACGATCCCTGCAAGCGCGGAATCCGATGCCCGGGAGGAGCGACGTCTGATGGCCCCCAATACGCCCGGACGCCCTCGGGTCTCCCTGCGCCCCAACCTCACTCCCTTTCCCCATTATCCACCCCGAGGGGTCACATTCGGGAGCCCTGCCCCCTGCCCCAAGGCCACAGGGCCCCCAGGTGCAGCACTTTGCCTGCGGTGCCATCTCTGGATACGTGTGAGGCGCAGCTGGGGTGCGGCTGGCGGGGCCCGGGGGGCAGCGGGCGCGGGTTCAGACTCGCCGACAGGCTTCCCTTGGAGCTCTGGCAGGAGTTCCCAGAGCCCCACAACAGCCGCCTCCTGAGAGGGGCTTGTAGCCCAGGGCCGGAGCTCCTGGTGCCCCCAGGGAGCTTGCGCCGGGAGTCTTGGCGAGACAGCCTCTCTCCGTCGGCCTGTCCCCTGTTGTCTGTCTGTGGCCGATGTCTGTCACGTCTTGCCATCACCACCAACTGACTGTCCGACGCGTGCCGGGCACTGAGTTTGGGACTTTGTAACCATTCAGGCACTGGGGGAGTCCCTGGCTGAGTCGGAGGAGACCTCAGTTTCCCAGAGAGACCAGCGAAGACAGGTCCAGGGACAGAGCGACAGGGAGAGGATGTGGCAGGGAGAGGATGTGGCAGAGAGAGGAGAGCAGGCGGTGGAGGGCAGAGCCTGTTGCCGCCGGTTAGAGCGAGGGGTTAGCTCCCGGCCCCGTCCCTACCTCGGTTCTACGAGGGGTGCCTCAGCAGCAGTGAGGCCCCGTCACTTGAGGCACACAGCTGGAGCCAGGTGACACTTGGCAGGAGGTGAGATGGAGAAGATTCTAGCGTCAGAAGCCAGCTAAGGTTGGGCTAGATGCCCTGAAGGGAGCCCATGCAGCCTCCAGGCCACATGCGGACAAGTCCCGTGATCCGGCCGGTGGATTCTCCTGCTGGGCCCCCCACTGGCTCTTCCCTGCCCCAGTCATTCCCCTCTCTGACCCTGTCCCCAGTCCACAAGCCCTGCGTGCATGGACCGGAGCGAGTGACCCCCGGCCCTGGCTGAGGGCGGGCAGGTCCTGCTGTTGCTAATGGCTCTCTCTGGGGTCCAGGGCCCTGGCAGGCACCGACATCTCTGTCCTGCAGGCCAGGGAGCTAATGAGGCAGGGAGGCAGGTGTGACTCCTGAGGGAGCCGGCAGAGCAGACAGAGCTGGGATAGGTCCTCTGGGGGGCCCAGTGCAGGAGTGGTCCCAGGCCCGCCCCGCCCAGCTCAGCTCTGCTGTGGCCTCAGGCAGCTCAGGCTCAGGCGCCCTGAGGTGGGGTGCTGGAGGAGACCGCCCAGAACTTCTGTTGCTGTCCTCTGGCTGGGTCCACCTTCTGCGCAGGGTCCGGCTGCACACGGGCCACCAGACTTTCCCAGTGTCAAAGGGCTCGCAAGTGGGCAAGCAGGACCCAGGAACCTCAGAGCAGCACGAGGTGGGTAAGGACAACAGCAGGAGGGACTCAAGGTAGACTTCAGAGTGAACTTTCAGGCAAGTGGCTCGTTCTCACAGCATGCCAGCCTAGGGGGCCTCTGGCTACAACTTAGCTTGAGGCGGATTGAGCAAATGAAGGTGGGCCTGGGCTGATGGGGCTCCTGGTGTGGACTGAGACGGGAGGGCGGGGAGCAGAATGGAGGCGGGGCAGGAGCTCCGGGAGAAGAGAGCTTTTAGGAACTGAGGGTGAGCAGGGGCAGAGCGACAGCCATCCTCTACGCAGCGGCCGCGGCGTGCCGGGCACTGTTCTGAGCACTTGACTCACGGAACCTCATTTCATCCCCTCGCCAACACCATGCGACGGCGTGTCGTCATCCCAATCGACAGACGGGAGTGGTGCATGGAGAGGCCGAGTGACTGCCGCACAGTCCCACAGCCAGTGAGAGCTGGCCTTAATGCGCTCCAGCTCCCGCGGGCTCCACCCTCAGCGTGCGGAACTTCGCACAGGAGGGCGTGGACCCTTGCGTGGAGCAGGGCGAGTCCCGCAGCCTCTTGCCCTGCCCGCCTCCCCCAGCAGAGCCCATGGCATGGCGGTGTGGGTCGGGGACAGGAGATGGAAAGGCAATGACAAATGCCAGGAAAGTGGCTGGACCACCGCATTCGCCCAGGGCAGTTGGGGTCTTTGGACAGGTCCCTCATTTCCTCCTTCCCCTGCAGTCCCTGGAACCAGAGTCTGGGCCCCCAGAGGGGCGTTGGCATCAAAATCACAGGGGTCCCCCCAGTCTCCGCTCAGCCGCGGGCGGGCACGTTGCTGCCCTCGGGGCCTCAGAGACCAAGCTAGTCCCACAGGCAGGGGCTCTGCAGGAGGAGGCCGGCGACTGCTCCACACCTGCCTTTGAGCTGCAAGAAAAAGGGTCTCTCCCCAGGCCCCAGTGCAGGAGACAGGGGAGGAAACTCCAGGCAGGGCCCCTCTGGGCTGCCTTGCGTGCTGCCGGCCCCCCAGTGCCTGGCGCAGAGAAACGCTCAGGAGGTACTACTGCGTTAGGGGACCAGCTAAGGCACCCGGTCCTTGCCAGAGTCCTCCCGAGTTGGGGGAGGGCTGCGGGGCGGCGGGGGGTGGGGGTGGGGCAGGAGGAAGGACCGACAGACAGCTGGGCGCAGGCTCCCCTCGCTGGGCACAGGCTCCCTCGCCTTGCCAGGGACTCGCACAGCACAACCCAGAGGGAGCGGTGCCCACGCCCGTCTGCCCTGTGAATCAGCTGGGACCTTCCAAACATGCCAAGCCCCAGACCGATAAATCATGTTTCTGGGGTTTCTGTACTTTTGAAACTCCCTATGTGATCCCAAAGTGAAGACAAGCTCGGAACCCCTGGTCAGGGCTTTTTATACTTTTTCAAAGCCCTTCCATATCCACTTTCTCATTTTAACTGCGAATTAAATTAAATCTGCCTATTTCATAGGGGTGTGTGTGTGTGTGTGTGTGTGTGTGTGAACTTTATCAGATTATAAAAGCGAGCTGTACTCCCTGCAGAAATTTGAGAAACAAAGCTATGACGAGGCCTTGCTGAGGCAGGGACACATTAAGTAACTCTCCCACGGTCCCGGAGCTACCAAGTGGCAGAGCCAGGATTTGAGCCCAGGGCAGGGATGGAGCCCTGCCGCCAGGTTGCGTGGGGGCTGGAGGGCCGAGGGTGCCCAGGGCGGGCGCGTGTCTGGGCCGCTGTGAGAGGAGGGCTCGGCAGGGGCCGGAGGGCTGTTTTCCATGCTGTCCCTGTGTCTGCCGCAGGAGAATGGCGCCCAACGCCACGTTCGCTCCCCGCCCGGCCGCCGCCGCGCCCGAGCGACTGCTCCGCCCCGTCTTTGCCGGGCTCTGCGGGGCCGTCCTGCTGGCGGGGCTGCTGGCCAACGGGCTCCTGCTGCTGGTGGTGGGCCGGGGCCCCGGCGCCCGCTCCCCGCTCCTCGCGCTGACCAACAGCCTCATGGTGAACGTCACACTGTCCGACCTGCTCTTCCTGGGCTGCGTGGTGCCCGTGCTGCTGCTGAGCTTCCTGCGGCACGACTGGTGGCTGGGCCCTGCCATCTGCACCACCAGCCAGGCCGCCAACACGGCCACCATGTTCTGCACCTTCTACAGCATGGTGGCCACAGCTCTTCTGCGCCACGTGGCTGTGGCCCGGCCTGACGTGGGCCTACCAGCCGGCCGGGGCACCCGCTTGCTGCTCTGTGGGGCCATGTGGGGCCTGGGCCTCGCCGCCTCCCTGCCCAACTGGCTGTTCCAGCGGGTGGCGGTGGAGGAGGGGACGGCGGGGGCCCCCACCACCCGGGCCTGCCTCCTGCTCCTGAGCCCCGCTCAGACCTCCTGCTACTTCGCCCTGCTGGGAGCGCTGGCCTTCCTGCCCTGCCTGCTGGGGCTGGGCTGCTCCTTCAGCCACGTGCGCTGGCTCCTGTGGACGCGGCCGCGAGGTCCCACGGGGGAGAGCGCCCGGGAGCACCAAGAGAACACAGGGCTCATCCTGGTGGTGCTGCTGGTGTTCTTGCTGATGTGGGGCCCCTGCTCCGTGCTGGGCTATGCGGCGGCCGTGGGCCTCCTGCCCGCCACGCCCCAGGCGTTTGTGGCCTCCAGCCTCTCCTCCATCCTGGCCGCCTCCAACTGTGCCGTCAGCCCCGTCCTCTGCTTCTGCCTCTCCCGCCCCTTCCGGGCAGGGCTCAGGGACCTCTTCTGCAGGCTGCTGACAGCCAGGCGTCCCAGAGGTGTGGGAGGGGCAGCCACGGGGCTGCAGAGCGTCCAGCCTGGCCAGGAGAGGGCCCCGGGAGGCCCACGGGGCCTGGTGGGCGTCTGAGAGGCCAGGGTGATGGGAGGGCTGAGTTTCCAGGGAGATGGAAAGACCCTCGGTGACCTTAGAGCCCCCCACCCTGTATTGTACCTATGGGGACACTGAGACCCACAGAGGGCAGACCGCCCCACAGCAATGGCACGGCTCAGCCAGGGCTCAATCTGCAGATAACCGGGTCCTCCCCCCACTCTACCCTGAGGGTCAGAGACCTTTAGGATCTACTGTTTTCTAGTTGTGTGATCTTGAGCAAAGCCCTTAACCTCTCTGTGCCTCAGTTTTCTCGTCTGGAAAATGGGACAATGGTTATATGCACCTTCTTCACACGGATGTTATAAATTCACTAAACACAAGTAGGGTGCTTAGAAGAGTGTCTGGTGCTCAGTACGTACATGGGCACGTTGGTCATAGCTACTGTTATTGTTTTTATTAATTCAGGGGCATTCGAGGTGAGTGGATGAGAGGGTGGTGGGGGGGCTTCCAAAGGCAGAGGAATGATCTGGGCGCTGCAGCCCGAGGCCCTCCCTTCCGAAGGCCAGGGCTGGGGGACAGCCGCAGCCCGGGCGGGGGCTCAGGGCCCAGGTGTGCCTTTCAGCGCTCTCCCTTCTCTGCCTGCCCTCCCAGCTCTGTCCGCACAGGCCTTGGCCCAAGATGGGAATGAAAATAAAAAGTCAGCTATGAAGCCATGAGTCTGTGCCTGTGAATGTCAGAATGTCTTCCCCGCGGTGTCTCTTCCCCAGGTGGCCGGGGCAGGGGTCCCTTTTAAGGCCTTCTCCTTCTCTCCAGAGCCCAGGCTGGGGGCTCCATCCTCCCCAGCCCCGGCCTCCCTGGAGCAGCCCCCAGGCTTCTGTGTGGGCCCGGGCACCAGGGACACTGTCTCTGCCGAAATCTCCAAACAGCACGTTCCACCTGGTAATGGCGTTACCAGCTACACACACTGCACACACATGCACACACACGTGTACACACACACACACACACACACACACACACACACACACGCGCGCCCTGACTGTGTGGTAAAAAGCTTGGGAAACGTTGTGTTGAACCAAGTCAAACTGGAATCTTTGCTGTAGGACTTATCAGAGGCTTGAAAATCCTACAGGCCATTTAGACTCTCTGAGAGGGGCTCACTCAGGCGGTTTCCCAAACTCATGCCAGGGAGCCAGCGTGCTGTGGCGCACAGCTAGGGAAGGAACCCGGGAGTGAAGCTACAGTGTCGGGCAAGAGACGCCCTCGGTATCCTGTCCTGTCCCGGAGCAGCAGCTGTGAGCCTCGGTCTGTCTGCCAGGCAGGCGTCTCCTCCCGACACGTTCCCACGGCGCCCACGCGGAGGTTATGGGAACTTCCCTTCTCCCGAGCTGCCACCCGCCCCGTTCCCGCTCAAAGCATATCGGAATGCAAGTCAGAGGGGCGTCTAATTATAGGGACAGCCGTGAATCAGCTCTAATTTACTATAAAATCATAAGAAGTAAACAAGTCCCAAACTTTGGTATAATTAGTACTGAATTCCTCGTGAGGTGCAGGTTGGGCATGGCTGCCTGGAGGGCCAATCTGAGAACAAACTTGCCTAGAAAAGGGACAAGTCCCCTTCTGCTGTGATCCTGGCCCCTGAGGACCACAGGCATTTACATGTGAAGAGGGACGGGGGTGGGGGGGAATGGGGTGGAAAAACATGTACCTAAAGCACAGTGGGTCCTGGCAGGTGTCACAGGGTCCAGGGCACACACCTACCTGTCACTCCGGCCACACGATGGTCCTGCGAGGGGGAGCGATGGCTCCTTGCTTGGGGGCAGTAACTTGTCGTGGGCTCGTGGCCTGTGAGTCATCACGCTGGGCCAGGAGCCCCCTTTGGTGCCCACAGCCTCCGGCCCCTCCTGTCGGCTCGGCGTCGGTGCCCCATGATGGCAGCACTTCCTCGCTCACTGCCCCAGCGCAGGGGACCCGAGCGCACGGCTCTGTGCGTGAGTCTCCGATGCCCAAGGGGGCCTGGCGCTGACAGTCAGTGAGGACTTGATGTGAGGCGAGTGATCACGTGCTAGGACGTGATGGTGTCGCCTCTCCACCCCCTGCTTCGCTCAGAGCAAACACCACAGGCCTCACCACGGACTGGACGGCCCCCAGCCCCCTCCCGCACTTGCCTTCCTCACGCAGCTGCGGCCCCTGCGCCTGCAAACGCCCTCTTCCTCGATGGGCATCAGCGCGGCCCCTGGTCTCATTTCTGTGGGCTGTCCTCCCTGCCACCTCCCCAGAGAGGCCCTCCCTGAGCCCTCACCTAGAACATCCCCCGCCACTGCCCAGCCCCATCGTCTCTGCTCTTCCTCGCCACACCCGGAACGGCACGATTAGCCCATTTGTTTGCACGTTTGCTGTTTGTCCCTAGCTCACTGCGCGCTTGCTGCAGGCCCGCGGGGGCACGGGCCGCCCCAGTGCCCGGCAGAGCCCGGCGCGGCGCCCACCCAGGGAGCCCTGCTGGACAAGAGCACGAAGGGCGAGAGGGCAGAGCACCCGGACCCGCAGCGCAGCGACATCTGCACTGCGTTTGTCGGAGGAGAAAGAAAAGCAAGGGACTTTACTAAAAGAACCAAATTTACTTCAGATTAAGGCAAAGTCCACACAGAGATTGTCTCAGAGACGGCACAGGACCAGACACCGTGGAAACACCACCGTCATGCATGACAGGGAGGTGGGGCCGGGCGGCGGATGGGGCCTGTTGCCACCCAGCACAGGGACCAGTGGGCTGAGGAGCCCCATGCACAAGAGGGACCGGCATGCGTGGCCCGCCCCGGGTGGGCCCAGCGCGACAGCCGCCTTCCCGCCCGCCCGCGGCAGGGGCAAGGGCTGGGCTCAGCGCCGAGCCCACGGAAGAAGGGCCAGGGTGTGTCTGGGGCGGTGAGTGAGACGGGGAGACCCTAGAGCCAAGACGGCCTGGGTGAGCGGTCACATCTGTTAGAGTGGGTGGCGGGGACTGGGCGTGGGATGGATGGACCCTCAGGACGTCAGAGCCAGAGGAAAGCTGGGACTGTCTGGCCAACCCTCTACCACACCTGTGGAAACTGAGGCCCCAGAGCAGAAGGGCCGTGCGTGGGCTCCCACAGCAGGCAGGGACGTGGAAGTCTCGTGCCCAGGGCAGAGGGCAAAGAGCGGGGCACTCGGGCACTGGGGCAGGGCTGCTCCTTGCTGGGGCCCCAGGCGGGCAGAGCAGAGGGCGCCAGGGGCCCGGAGCTGCCTGTGGACCTGCCAGTCTAGAACTGATGCCACCCTGGGCTTGAGAGGCACCGCCAAGGACTCCGCTGAAACCCCATTTCAGGCCCACCCTGTGGCCCAGGGTCCACCATCACAGCCCCCCACGCTCCCCGGGGCTCTCATTGCACAGTGTCCCTGGGAAGGGTCACGAGAAACAGGGCACAGGATAGATAATGGGCGGGGGCCAGGGACAGGAGTGGACACCACTGGAGGATGGGGGAGGAGGCCAAGCCCAGGCTTCAGGGACAGGTGAGCAATGTAGAGATGTCTGGGGTGTGGGGGACCCCAGTTGTTTTTCACACCTCTGGCTGGGCTAGAGCCAAGTGTTGGGGAAGAAGAGAAGAGCTGGGATCCAGACCTGTGCCCCCACCACGACCTGTACCCCCCAACTTCCCAGGCTTGGGCAGTAAGTGGGGCAGGAAATTGAACAGGGGTCTCCAGTGGTCCCCTGCCGGCCTCCCAGCACACGGATGTCCCAAAGGCCAGGCGGGCCGTCTGAGGGGGTCTGGGGACTCTGCCTACCATTCTACTGGCCTCCCCCAGGCCCCGGCCAGCTGCCTGCTGTGGACTGGGCTCAGATGTGCGTGTGCAGGGGGGAGGCGGGGGGCGTGCGGGCTGGGGACTGCGGGGGGGAGTGTGCTGGTGCCGCGGGCGGGGGCCGAGGGCGGATGCCCTGTGCCTTCATGTAGGACACCAGCTGGTCGGGGATCTCGGCCAGCACGTCCCGGGCCAGGCGGGCCATGCTCAGCACATGGTTGCCTGTGCGGTCCACGTAGTCCCGGAAGGGCACGAACTGGCGAGGGAGAAGGCGGGGTCAGGCGGGAAAGCAGAGCCAGGCAATGCCTCCCGCTGCACCCCCAGATCGCCAGGCCTGGGGTCATGTCCCCACCCCACCCCCAGCCTCTGCTCTCTTTACTTAACCCCCCCCCCTTGGTGAGTTCCCTGACTGTGTCACAGTCACTTTTCCTTCATTCACCCAACAAATAGTCACTGAGCACCTGTTCCACGCCACGACACACCACGGAACGAGATTCCCTGGTGGCTGAGGTCTCAGCAGCAGGCGGGGCACCCGGCAGGTGCTCAGGCAACACGGACCCAGACCCCTGAGCTCTGTGGCACGAGCCTCCCTTCTCCGCAGAGCCCTCTCTGTCCCTGGCCTCTCTTCTCCCCTTGTCTCTCTGGGGCTAATCTGGCGACACCTGAAGCCAGGCCGCCCTGGCCTCCTCCCTCACGGCCACCGCCACCACCGCCGGGACCTGGCGTGGGGCTGGGCCCCCTCCCAGACTACTGGCTCTGGCTCCCAGCCCCGTCTTTGGCACCCAACCTAGGATACTCTCTTTAAACCCAGGAGGGTTTGGAGAATGCCAGTTTTTCATTCCCCGTGTCCTAAGCTCTAGGCCCGTCCTCAGGAGACCCCGAGGGATGTGCTCGCTGAGGGGCGCCTGCCCGGCTGGCTGGGAGCGCCCCGAGGACGGAGACCCTTGTGCTCATCACTTTGCACCCTACGTGGGGATGTGAAGACATCGATTCAGTTAACCGAGGGCCCCTGCTCTTGCAGAGGGCCACTGCACTAAAGACACCCCTCCACCTTCAAGGGGTTTGGCAGCTCACTGTGAAGCCTGCCAGGCGGGAACGACAGAAAGCGCGTGACCCCGAGGCCTGGGGGCTCAGGGAGGGCTGGCAGAGTGTTCTGGGTCATGTTCGGGCTGAGTCTTGGACCTGGCAGGGAGGGGTCCAGCCCAGAGAGAAGTGCGGCCTGAGGACTGAGTCCTGTTCCCTTCTGCGGTGGCCAGGCCACTTTAAGCTTCCAGTGCCTCCCTGCAGGGCCCTTCCCCAGGGAAGCCCTTCTGGGGGCGTGAGGCCAGCCCGGCTAGATGGGCTCCTGGGTTTCCCACGTGGCAGGCGGGGTCTGGGCTTCACCTGGACGATGTCCCGTTCGGCCAGCTTCCCCCGGGAGGAGATCCGTACGTCGTCACCGTCTAGCTCCACCATGGCTGTGGGGGGAGGGGCAGCAAGGGGGAGGGGCATTAGGGTGGACAGCTGGGCCTGGCGGGACTTGTCCTCCAATCCCAGCCCAATCCAGGGCAGGGACCACTGGCCCACAGCCCCATGTTGGAGATGAGGAAACTGAGGCTGGGAGACAGGAGGAGCCCAGCCAGGTGAGCCTCAGACTCCTGGCTCAGTGCTCCAGCTCCCCACCCTCCCAGGCTCCCAGGGCTGGGGGACAAGGCTGACTCAGGCCTCCTCCCCGCAGCTTGGGGCCAGGGCGTGGGCACACACCCCGACCTGACACGCCCCTCCCGCACAAACAAACACACCCCACGCCTGCACACTCACCCAGACAGTCGCACACGCCCAGGCGTGAGCGCTGGCTCTTTGGGAAGGGCCCTCTCCAGGGGCCTGGGCCGCTGGGGAAGCCCCGGGTGGGGCTGGTGGTGGGGACAGAGAGTGGGGAGCGGGCGGGACTCACCGTCGAACTCTGCCTGGCCCACGCCGACGATGATGATGGACATGGGCAGTTTGGCAGCCTGGGAGACGGCAGGGCATGGGAAGGTTGGGCCCAACGAGGGGCCAGTTGAAAGAAAGGAGAGGTCACAGGTCAAAACAAGAGAGGCCAGGACAGGGAAGAAATTGGGGCGGGGACATGGAGAGACAGAGAAGCACAGGAAAGGGGTGGGGTCAGGGAGGGGTCAGAGAGAAAGACCAAGGGATACCAAGGTGGGCCGGAAGAGGAGAGGGAAGGAGGGGGAGGATTTGGGTCCCAGGTCTGCTTCTGCGAGCCACCCGTCCCCTCCTCTGCCACGTAGGGCCCTCTTTTACGTGGTTCTGAGGACGGCCAGCGCTGCTGCAGCGGGCGCCTTCCACAGGGAGGCGGGCAGTGAGCCGTGTCCCCGGGCTCCCCGCCCCGGCCGCCCACCTGCTCTGCCTGACCAGGCCAGTGGGGCCCTGGCGCAGCAGACGGCTGGGGAGGGAGCCGCCTGCGGTGGTAGAGAGGTGGGCACAGGGCTCACCAGCCAGGTCCCCCGCCCGGCCTTCCCGCGAGTCCCCGGAGACTCCAGCCAGAGCCAGGAGCTGGGCGAGGGCAGCAGGTCCCAAGGGGTGGGGGGGAGAAGCCACCCCCCAATCCACCCCCCAGTGTATCCCTAAGGTGGGAGGAAGAGACCCCTCAAACTGCGCCCGGCCACGCCTCCCCCCGGCCTGCCGTCCTCGCTCACGTTGACGATGGCCTCCTTGGTCTGCGCCATGTCGGAGATGACACCGTCCGTGATGATGAGCAGCACCGAGTACTGGGAGCCGTCCTGCACGGCCGCCGCGTTCCTGCGCAGGGCGGGCGCGGCCGAGGTCTGCCGGGCGCTCGGGCAGGCTCCCCCCCAGCACCCAGAACACTATGGGGAACAGCTCCTGGGGAGGGGCTCTTCGGGTCAGGGCTCCTTGGAAAGCAAGTCCACAGGGAGAGGCCGGGTGGAAACGGAGGCCTGTGAGCTGCCGGGAGGGAGCCCGGGCCGGCACTCACCTGGCCACGTGGGTGACCACGGGGGCGAAGTTGGTGGGGCCATAGAGCTGCACGGTGCGCAGGCTGCGGTGGTACGCCTCCAGGATGCCGTCGATGCCGCAGCACGAGGGGTTCTCCTGGTTGCCGTTCTGGGGGCACAGCGGGGGCGGGGAGGTGGGGGGTGCCGGGACAGAGCCGGCCGGGAGGCCTGTGGCCCGGGTGGTGGGCAGGGCAGGGGCGCCCAGGGCCCCCTGAGGGCAGCGATGCTTCGGGTGAGCACGTCCAAGCCCCTCTTTGCCCCCCTCCCTCACCTGCTCAAAAACGCCCCGAGAGCCACCACGCCCTAAAATGACCGCTGGGTCTGCGCGACTCAGGAAAGACCTGCCGCTGATGTGGCCTCGGGTGTCCTGTGCCCGGCTTAGGGCCTGGCGCTCCCGGACACGCCGGGACCATCCGCTGCGACTTAGGGCCTCCAGCTCACACGGACGAGGGAGGGGCTGAGCAGTTATCTCCCAGGGCCGGGACCCCCACATTCTGCGTCACCCCAGGGAGCCCACCTCACCCCACCTCAGCACCAGCTCGGGAGCTGCTGGAATACCTGTGCTTGCTCACCCCAGCCCACACCCCTTGTCCTCTTTCTGGGCCCGGGGCATGGGCCGGCCACAGCTCCCCTCCACCTGCCCCTGCCTCAGGAACAAGGAGGCCAGAGCCAGCTGGGTGGCCTCAGGCCTAGACGGGAGGCGTTTGCGAGGGGCGGGGAGTGGGTTTCTGGAGGCCTCACTAGGAGACCCCTACGCGCCGCAGGTGGCCCACCCACAGGGGCTGCGCCCACGTCCGGGCTCAGAGAGTGGGACATCTTCCCCGCACCCCGCCTGGCCGGCCCTCAGCCCCTCCCACCAGCAGGGCCTCCTACCAGCGGGAACTCATGGGACACCCTGCCATCGGGGGGCAGCTTGGCCCCGAAGCCCAGGGCGGGGAACATCTTGTCGCTGTCGTAGTGCTGGATGATCTCCCCGACGGCGGTCAGCGCCAGCGCGTAGGCGTTCAGCTGGTAGGGGCTCATGTAGTGCAGGGACGTGGACTGCGAGGGGTTTCCTGCGGCAAGGACGCGGGACGGCTGCGGCCTGGACGCTCCGAGCACCCCAGGTTCAGCATGCAGAAGCAGGTGTCCAGGGCACCCCACTTTCATCATCCCGGACTCCTCTTTCTTGCCCCGCACTCTCCCCTTCAGCAAATCCTGGCTGCCGAGCCTTCGGAGCAGACCCAGAACGCCACCGCCTCCCCCCTCGGTACCCCCACCCTGCCTGCTCTCCCTGCCCCCGCCGCCCACACCCAGCACGCCGGCCAGTGGGCTGGCAGACCTGCCAGGCCGCCGTGCCCCTCTCTGCTCTTGTCACCAACGCTCCCATCTCACCCAGGACAAAACCCGGAGTCCTTGTGGGAGCCCCCAAGGCCCTGTAGCACCTGGCCCCAGTCACCTCTCATCTCCTGCCACCCTCCCTGTCCCTCCCTCAGTCCCAGCCTCACGCCCTTCCTGCCTCAGGACCTTGGCAATGGCTGTTCCCTCTGCCCGGGACACTTTTCCCCAGGTGAGGTCTCTGCTCAAGGGTCATCTGCTCACTGTGGTCTTCCCCGAGCAGCCTGTTAAAAGCTACAGCCTTCCCAATCCTCCCCATCCCTCTTCCTGCCTTGATTTTCCCCCTTGTCACCACTAATATAGTCCATATTTACTTTTTTGTTCACTAATAAGATGCAGTTCGGCAAACTGCCCAGGTACCAAGCCTATGGCTATGTTCTACTGGCTGTGTGATCCTGCATAAGTACTTTAACTTCTCAGCCTCAGTCTCCTCATCTGTAAATGGGAATGATAGTTCCCACCTCATAGGACTGATGTGAGGATTAAACAGGAGTTATAATTATAACTATCATCATTGCTATTGTTACTAAGGTCCCTCCCAGCTCTGACGGCCCAACACAATACGATGCTGGGCCCTGCACCCATAAGAGGTTCCTGACACAGCTGGGCAGGGCGAGGCCTGGGCATTTCCGATTGGCGAAGAAACGAGCACTTAGCACCCTACCGGGGGGCCAGCAGCCAAGGAAGGCGGTGGTCCCGCTAACCGTGCACATTTTGGCGCCGTGCTCACTCCTAGAGACTTGGCCCCAGCCTCGCACTGGGAGGGAGGGAAGCCAGGGCAAGGCGAGGATGGGTCCCTGGGCTGGGTCCTGCCTCCCTGCGGACCAGACAGCTCGGTGTGGCTGCAGTTCTCCCCTCTGGCCCAGGGGCTGGACGGCGAGGAGGAGGTGGGGTTTGATCCCGGTGGGCAACGGCCCTCATCCAGGGCTTTGCACAGGCCCGGAGCTCAGTGTCCCGCCCCCCGGGAGACTGGCCGCTCCTCCAGGGCAAGGCTGTGTTCAAGGCATAAGCCCCAGAGCCCAGAGTCCTTAGTGTCGGGGTCCCACCCGGGGATGCCGTTGCCACCTTGGTTGTGTCTTTGGTCCTCCAGGCCTAGGTACTGCCTCTTCAGTGAGGAAGAGGCCAGAGTCCCAGGGACACGGCTGCCAGCCGCCACACAGCCCGGAGAAGCCCTCCCCTCCGCCACCCGCCACCCGCCACTCACCATTGGAGGCAGTGAAATCGATGGCCACGGTGAAGTTGATCTGAGTCCTGGAAGGGGGAGGAGAGCAGGAGAGTCACCGGACAGACGCAGGGCTGGGGGCTGCACAGTGCGGGCGGGGAGGGAGAGACCTGCCTGCCACCTGGCCCCTGCCCTTCCAGTTCGGGGACACTGGGACCGGAGCGCCAGCTCTGCCCTCCTCGGAAGGACCGCCGCGGGCGCCACACGCGTGAGGCAGCGGGAAAGCCCTTTAGGACGAATTCGTTCTGCGTGGGCGCGTGGCTGTGATGTGTGTGTCCCCCCCAGACCTGTCCCCTGGGCCACCCGTGTGTGCTGGGGGGGTTTGGGTCTCCCTGGATTTCTGGGTCAAATTTGGAGTCAGATTCAGGGTTAAAGCTCATTGACAAAACAGAGAGTCAAAGCGACATTAGGCATCTCCGGAGGAAAGAAGGAAACACCACCAGGAAGTTGTCCTGTCAAAACACCGAGCCTGAACTGACGGAGCCTCCACAGCTATCTTCCCGTCATTCGCGGAAACACGGGGCTGGGGGCATGTGAAATGGCACCACAGGAGTGCAGCCAGCACAATCCAGTCCATGGGAATCGCCATGGGATCAGTGCCAGAGCCTCCCACTGGCTGGGCTGCTCAGGTCGGTCTGGACCGAGGGAATCAGGACCTCCCGGGGCTCTGCCTCGGCAACGTTCCCGCGCGGAGGAGCTGATCGATAAAAAGAGATTTAAGAGACGAATCCACCAATCGCAATATGGACCTTGCCTGGATTTCTGATTCCAAAAAAATCAATTAAGGCCGGGCGCGGTGGCTCATACCTGTAATCCTAGCACTCTGGGGGGCCGAGGCGGGTGGATCGTTTGAGCTCAGGAGTTCAAGACCAGCCTGAGCAAGAGCAAGACCCCGTAATAGAAAGAAATGACTGGGACAACTAACAATATATAGAAAAAATTAGCCGGGCATGGTGGCACATGCCTGTAGTCCCAGCTACTCGGGAGGCTGAGGCAGGAGGATTGCTTGAGCCCAGGAGTTTGAGGTTGCTGTGAGCTAGGCTGATGCCACGGCACTTTAGCCTGGGTAACAGAGTGAGACTCTGTCTCAAAAAAAAAAATTCAGTTCCGTTCCATGCTGGAAAAGGAGAATAAAAAAAAGAAGTAAAAACTTTTAAATGACCGGGGCGCCCGTGCCAATCCTAGCTCTCTGGGAGGCGAGGCGGGGATTTGCTCGAGGTCAGGAGTTCGAAACCAGCCTGAGCAAAGAGCGAGCACCCGTCTCTACTATAAATAGAAAGAAATTAATTGGCAACTAATATTATATATACAAAAATTAGCCCGGCATGGTGGCGAATGCCTGTAGTCCCAGCTCTGGAGGCTGAGGCAGAGGATTGTTGAGCCAGGAGTTTAGGGTTGCTGTGAGCTAGATGACGCCATGGCACTCACTCTAGCCTGGGCAATAAAGTGAAACTCTGTCTCAAAAAAAAAAACAAAAAAAAACAAAAAAAACTTTTTAAATAAAAATAAATAAATAAAAACAATTAAAAACTTTATAAGACAATTAAGGAAATTTGAACACTAACTAGATATTTGGTATTAATGAACTGTTCATGCTTTAGGTGTGGCTATGGTATTGCAATTATATTTTAGAAAGAAAGCATTATATTTTAGGGACACATCGTGAAGTATTTGGGGACGATATGTGATGGCTGGGATTTGCTTCAAAATAACTGGATGTTGGGAGGCTGGGGTGGGAAGACTGCTTGAGCCCAGGAGTTCAAGGCCAGCCCGGGCAATGTACTAAGACCCTATCTCAAAACAATAAATAAAATAAAATACTTAAAATAACTGGGTGAAGGGGAGAGTGCATGGAGCAAGACTAGCCCTGAGTGGTAATTATTGAAGCTGGAGGAAGAGTACTTGGGATTGATTACACCTTTTCTCTACTTTTGCACATGTTTGAAATAAATTTTCCATAATAAAAAGTTAGATTTGGCAGATCCAAATTCAGGGTTGAAATTCTCCGCGGGCTTTGCTGTTCTAGGTTCTGCACCAGGTGCAGACAGAGCAAAGCTGACAGACATGAGTCCCTGATAAAGTCTAGTCCTGTGGTTCTCAGTGTAGAATTGCAAGGGGAGATTGTTTAAAAAGAAGATTCCAGGCTCCACCCCAGAGATGCCAATTCAGCTGGTCTGGAGTGGGGCCCCAGAACCTGCCTCTTTCACAAACATCCCCTGTCCTCATCCAGGGCTTCTGAGGAGGGGGTGCTGGGAATCACACTTGGGGAAACTCTGTTCTAGCGGTTCTCAGTGGAGGCCGTGGATGGTGTAAGCTGAGGCAGGCCTTCACTTTCCCTGCATGTAGCAGAAGGGCCTTCCCAGAAACCACAGCTCTCTCTCCACCTGACCACGGCTGAGCTGCTGCGTATGGGCCCCTCGGCCTCCAGGAAAGGTCAAGGACATGGTTAGCAGGAGACCCAAACCAGAGTCTGCTGGCCACGGACAGTCCTCCCCACACTCTTTCCCATCTTCTGCTGGCTGGGGGCAGAGCATCCAGTGGAGTCCAGCCTCTAGGGGGAAAGGAGCCACAAGATAGCAAGAGCCTGGGTCCCTGAATGACTGTATGGATCCTCTCTCCACCCAACCCTGACATCCCACAGATGAAAAATAAACCTTTGTTTGCCTTAAGCCTTGAGGTTAGGGAATTAGGTGTTACAGCAGTTAGCCTAGTATATTCATCCGCTATTTGCTGTCATCTCTCAGTCTGGGATATAGAAGATAAGTCTTTGGTAGAGGAAGGGAGACATCTGGCCTGTGGGACTACAGCTGAGGGGCTCTTCCAAATACAGGGCGGGAGGAAAGGCAGGCCTTACTCCTTAACTGGTCTTCCCTGCTCTAGGTTCTGAAAAAGATCAGTGAAGAAAGCCACTAGAAAGCAGGTAGTTTGTGGGAAAATTACTCCCTGCAGCCTAGTCTCTGATGCCTAAGGGCAGAACACAGGCTGCCGAGCAACCAGCTCCTTCTCTGACGGGGAGGGGCAGAGGTGTTCATCCCTTTCCTCCTGGGTCCAGCTGGGCAGGAGAGGGAGGCCGGGGTCTCTAGGCAAAAGCCTCCATCGGCTTCGTGCCTGGACACGCATGCGGGGCTCTCCCTCCCTGGAGCCAGCTGACTCAGGCTCTCCCGAGAGTTTAAAGAGAGGGCTGGCTCTGGGGCTCTAACCTGCCCAGCAAGGATTGCACCAGCTTTGCCAGTAGCCAAGCCTCGGATGGCTCCTTTTATTTGTTTATTTTTCTGAGACAGGGTTTTGCTCTGTTGCCCGGGCTGGAGTGGCAGTGGTGTCATCATAGCTCACTGCAACCTTGAATGCCTGGGCTTAAGTGATCCTTCTGCCTCAGCCTTCTGAGTAGCTGAGACTACAGGTGTGCACCACCATGACAGGCTAATTTTTAAATTTTTCTTGTAGAGATGGGGCAGTGGGGAAGCTGGTCTTGAACTCTTGGCCTCAAGCAATCCTCCCACCTTGGCCTCCTAAAGTCCTGGGATTACATGTGTGAGCCACTGTGCCCGGCAGGGCTCCTTCTCGGTGAGACCTCACAGCATCCAGCCTTTGCTTCCTCCGTCCTCATCTCCATCCCACCCACCGCACCCCAGGGGCGTGCAGGGCTCTGGGCGAGTTGCAAGGCGGCAGGGCCAGGCTGCACCCAGGGCGTGCAGGGCTCTGGGCGAGTTGCAAGGCGGCAGGGCCAGGCTTGTTCATTACTATGGAATGGAAGGCAGCATGTTATGGTACAAGGAGCCTTGCCACCATCTAGGCGTGTGGCTTTGGGCAAGTTATGTGCAATGGAGATAACTGTCCCGGCCCTGCCCACTGTGTTCTATGAGTTGGAGGCACTATGCAAATGAGAAGGATAAACAGGAGGAGGGCCGTTGAAAATTCCCACGTGCTATGGAATGTAAGGGGTGGCTGCTTCATGGGACAGAGAAGAGAGCAAGGGCAGGGTCTGAAGTGGGCTCACAGGAAGGACAAGAAGGGGCAGAGGAGCCCCTTGGGTACTCGGAGGGAGGGCGTGTGCTCAGTGGGGAGAAGGAGAGCTTGCAACCTTGAGACTGTGAAGTCAAAGCTGCAGGGAGCAGAGTCATGGGAAAGTGCGCATGGCTTCCCCGGGCCTGCCTTCTCCCTCCGCCCTGGAGAGCCAGGGAGCCAGGTGCCTGCTTGGCTGTGATGAGCCTTTGGCAGCCGCCCCTGCCTGTCTCCTTTCCAGACAGGTGCAGTCACTCACCTGCCTGCACCTGTGGGCCCTTGGCTGCCCACACCCTGACCTGGCACCTGTCCTGGCAGGGAGCAAGCCAGGCAGGCCCTCATCTTGTGTCAGGCTCTTTCCGTGAGCTGTTGGCCAGCGCCTTCTAGCCTCCCCGCCTGTCTGGGTCTGGACACTGTCCCCTCTGTTTCTTCCTGCTCCTTAAACTCATGTTTGACCTCCTGGTCCTGGCCCCAGGACCATCCCCTGGCTCATCCCCCAATCCCACTGCCCCGTACAGGTCCCTGATAACAGTGAGCAAGTTAATCACTGCCCCCATACCCCAACAGATCAGCGGTATCAGCAGCTGGAGCTGGGAGGACCCTTAAAACTTGCCTACTCCAATCTCTTTGTGTACAGAGGAGGAAATTGATACCCAGGGAGGGAAATGACCAGCCCAAAGTAATCCACCAAATTCATGGCAAAAATGGGCGAGAGCCTGAGCCCTCTCTCGCCTAACTCAGGGCTCTTTCCACCTCCCCAGGCCCTTGGCTATCTTTGCCATGGAGCCCCTACCACCTCCAGGTCCTATCTCTGCATGGGGACCTGCAGTGACCCAGGCCAGCCTCCTTGGCTTGGGAGTTCCCTCTGCAGCTGCTCGGGAGCCGGGGGTGTGCAGGGCTCTGGCGAGTTGTCTCAGCCCAGAATCCAGGTCTGCTCAGAGCCCAGCGTCACGGGCTTCGGCCAGGGCTTCAAAGACGAAGGGTGTGGGGCCCCTTCCTCCCCCCACCCCCAGGCCGATGAAACCGGCTTCGTCTCTCCTCACCCTCCTTTGATGTAGTCAAGGAAGGTACACTCTGACTCCACAGCAAAGGAAAGCAGGGTGACCTTGAAAACAAAAGGGAACTTGGTCAGCAGGGAACATGGGGTCAGGGGATGGTTATGATGCAAGAGCTGACGTTTACAGAACTCGACACGCGCCAGTTTTGCAGGCATTATTGCGTGCCGTGCCCACAACCAGCCTGTGCAGTACCATTCCTACCCCATTTCATAGCCAAGGAGACTGACGCTCAAAGAGGTGACACAGCATGCCCAAGGACACTGCCAGGACACAGTGGGATCTGTTTGATTCCAGAGCCTGCACTCTTGACCTCAACAGAGGGGTCCGATCTCTGTCACTGGAGCACAGGGGCCCAAGCCCAGGGCACTGGCTGTGCAGCCCCAGGGCCCTGCGGTGGGGTATGGAGGGCAGGGGCCTTCCCGACACAGGAATGCTGACACGCCCCACACTTCCACGTGCCGCTACTATTAGTCCTGAAACATGACGCTTCTGTCTGTGCTTATGTTAAACCCTGCTGGTCCCACCTCAACCCTGTGGCGTCTCTCTACCTCCACCCTCTGAGACCCAAGACCCTCATGAGCAGCGTGTCCTTTCCCCGGAGGGAACTGACCACCCCAGACCCCTCTCCCAGGCAGAGGCCTCTAGACCCACGGACACTGACATTGGCTTTGCTGAGACAGGCAGCTACCTGCAGCTCATTACAGTAGCGACTTAGGATCACGGAGACAAGTAAAAGCCTGGCATCCCCAACCAATTCAATGAGGCCAGACTGGGGCAGAGGACTGTTCCCCTGCGTAAGAGAACACGCTCCCTCTAGCAGTTGGGCAGCCCCCGCTAGAGCAGATGCAGCCATTCCTGCAGGCTCGAGGGGTGGGCCCGGCAGGACCTGGGGACGGGGAGGGTGTGTGAGTGCTGGGGCGGGCGAGACCCCTGCCACTGCGGTTGCAGCATCAGGCAGCAGCAAGGACCACAGAGCCTCCCTCCAAGCATGGCGGCGCAGACTTACTGGGATCGGCCTGCAGCACTGGGTTCCACCCTGACACGACAGTCCCGGGGGAGCTCCTAAAACTTCCCGCAGCCCAGACCGACCATGCTTCTGGGGCCACATCAGAGTTTCAGAAATCTTATTTTATTTTATTTTTTTTTTTAGTGCTTCACGTGAGTCTAACCTGCAGTCAGGCCTGACCGCCACCTCCCCACCGCTATGAGGAAGCACTTCCCTAACTTGCCCAGCCACACGGACTCACCCAGGGACCTGCAGGGCAAACGCAGACTTCACCTGCTCAAAGTGTGGCTCTTACACCAGCAGCGCCACCTCCACGCTGGTTAGAGATGCAGACATGCAGATTCTTGGCATTTTAACAGGATGCCTGGGGGGGTTCTGCACTAGTAAGCTTTGAGAAGCACTGAATGCAGATTCCAGGGCCCCAGCCTGGGCCTCCTAAAGTGGAACCCCAGGGAACTGGCCCAGGCACCTGTTTTGTAACAAGCGTCTTGGATCCTGGGTGGTTTTCATGGTGAATGAAGACTGGGCAATGTTGGGGTAGAGGGAAGTCAGGAGACCTGCGCCTAGACCTGCTCTGTCCCTACCTCGCGGTGTGATCTGGGGCAGATCACATTACTTGCATCCCCTCTGAAGTAAGAAGGCCGGGCGAGATCAGTGGGTTGTAGAACCTTTTTATTTTTAGCTGTACATCCAAGAGTTCCCGGCTGGAGAAGGTACTGCCTCCCTGGCAGCATTTGGGAATGGGGGGGAGAGTTTGGGGAGCTCTCATAATGACTGGGGCCCTACTGGTAACTATGGGCAGAGGCCAGGGGTGCCAGACATGCTACAGTGTATGGGGAAGTCCTCTGAGCTGAAAACTTATCCTGCCCAAGCGCCGACAGCACCCCCACTGAGACACACCGCAGCTTTGGACAAAGGAAATACCGCTCCAAGCCCCCAGCTGCAATCAGAGAAGCGGTGGCCGGTCCTCTTTGAACGCACAGAGTACTTTACAGCTTACAAGGCTGCGTCTCCACGTGCCTGTCTGCCTGTCGCAGCACCTTGTGCAGCAAGCAGGGAGGGGTGATTTATTAGCCTCATTTTACAGATGGAGAAAACGAGGTTCCTCAAAGGAAGCCTAGAGCTCCCTAAGAGCTCCCCTGGGTCTAGAGCTGCCACGTGCCTGACCTGAGGGACGGAGCTTGGCCGCGCTAGCTGATGGGGCCAGGGTGAGGAGGGGACACGCAGAGGATGGACTTGGGCGTGTTTGTGCTGTGGGCTCCCCCTCTGTGCCTTGGCGAGCGCTGTTCCCTACAGCTGGGACCCCCTTTCCCCAGTATCCTCCATACTTGGCCAGCCCTGTCCCTTCACCTTATTCTGCCCTTTTCCACAGCAGTCATAACCACGTGGCACACACAGGCGTGTGCGTGTGCACACACCAGGGGAGGAGTGCCGGGAATCTGGGTCTGTCCCGTTCCCGCTGATCCCCTGTGCCTAGCACAGTGCCTGGCATGGCAGTACTCGGTAAATACCCGAAGACCCGCCCAGCAGCTGCTGGGCCAGCATGTGGCCCCAGGGTGGCCGCGCCCGGGCAGAGGCAATGTCCTCAGCCACGGGGCACTGCCCCCGTGACCCAGCCTGGGGCCGCCCCGGGGCTCGGGGGTCCCTCTCCACTGCCACCGCCTTCACTTGGCGGCGAGGCCCTCACTGTCCTTCACCGTGAGCTTCCACTTCCAAGCCAGCCTGCGTCCGGGCAGCAAATCACACGGTGCTCGTAGTGGAGTCAGAGGCAGCGCTGACTCCCACCCCGCCACTCTCTAGCTGCGTGACCGTGGTTGAGTCACTTCCCTGCCTGCGGCCTCGGTTTCCTCTTTCATGACAAGGGGATGATAGTATCTGCCCCTCAGGGAAACAGCCCCTGAAAAACTCCTAAGTGGGGAATTTCCTAGAGGAGGGGCCAGATAAACCGACTTCCTTTCCTCTTCCTTCCCGCAGGAAGGCCGTGGGCGCTTCTGCGATTCCCCACTCGTGCTCAGCGCCTGCCGTGGGTGGGGCGCTGGCTGCCTGGGCTGCTGCTCCCTCTGCCCCCCGCCCCGCCCCGCCTGAGCCCCACACTCTGCACACACAGACGCACGCGGCTCCCCGTGCCAGGCCGGGCTCGGGGCTCAGGCTACGCCTGGCTGCAGGGAGGGGGCGGTTACTCACTGTGCCAGAATTCACGTATTTCTTTTTCTTCATTTTCTTTTTTGGGTTTACCACCTGCAGGAAAAACCGGTTACCGGATAAGAAAGAGTGTTCCCAAGCAGTCAGAGCTGGGTCTGGGGCCTCCACCGACCTGGGTGTGGTCCCCGCCCCAGCAGAGTGTGGGGTGCAAGCACCATAGGGGCCAGGGGAGTGGAGTTTAGGGAGGTTTTGTGGGAGGCTGGCATTCAGTTACGCAACTGGGCTCCGGCTCAGACCCACTGTCCCACGATCGGCCAGGAATATTTATTTAACCCTTTTTCCCACTGCTCCTGGGAACATGCCCTCCACCCTGTACAGCCAAAGAAGGCCCGATGTCGCAAAGTGGCCCTGTCTGTACCTGTCCCTTGTGTTGGTTCAGGCTGCTCCCCTTAACCCAAATGCCCCCCCTCCCTCAGCCAGTTCCAGTCTTCCCAGCTGGGATCCAGCCCACGGCCGCCCCAGGGCTCATGGGTGCCTCTCCGCCACCACCGCCTTCACTTGGCGGTGAGCCCCGTCACTGTCCTTCACTGTGAGCTTCCACTTCCAGGCCAGAGAGTGCTTGTGGGTGGGCGAACCCAGTGGTCTCGACCAGGGGCCACTTTGCCCCCAGGGGCCATTTGGTAATGTCTGGTGATACATGACAAGTGTCCCAGCTGGGGGAGGAGGAAGAAACGAAGGATACTGCTGAGCATCCTACACGCACAGGACAGCCCCCCACAACAAAGAACACCCCAGTCCCAAATGGTCAGCAGTGCCAACGCTGAGAAACCCGGGGCTGGGGGACAAGGGCACCTTGCCCTGAGAGTCCCCACAGGACTTTCAAAGTGACTGTATCTATGCTCTCATCTGAGCCTCGCCAGCTGTTTCTCTGTTTTCGTTTCTACTAGGGGAAGTCTAAGCACAACCTTTCCCTGTCCCATCAAAGCAAGGCGATCTCACGCCCGCTCTGCCGCTGTTGGTTTCTGGTGAATTCCTTTTCCCTCTCCCACACCTGTTCCTCCCGCAAGTGCCGTCAGCTGCACCTTTAGCCTGTATCTTTAGCTGGGTCTCTTCTGTGTGAATGAGTATTGACATCTACTTCTGGAAATAAGGAAACTAAGGCACAGAGACACCAAGTGATTTGCCTAAGGTCACATAGCCATCTGGGTAGTGACAGGATTAGAAACCAGATTCCTTTTTTTCTTGAGACAGTCTGACTCCACTGCCCAGGCTAGAGTGCCGTGGTGTCAGCCTAGCTCACAGCAACCTCAAACTCCTGGGCTTAAGCGATCCTCTTGCCTCAGCCTCCTGAGTAGCTGGGACTACAGGCATGCGCCACCATGCCCGGCTAAGTTTTCTATTTTTAGTAGAGACAAGGATCTCACTCTTGCTCAGGCTGGTCTTGAACTCCTGACCTCAAGTGATCCTCCTGCCACAGCCTCCCAGAGTGCTGGGATTACAGTCATGAGCCACCACACCCGGCCAAAAACCAGGTTTCCTGCCCTCGGACCACTAGTGTATATATTGTGGCCACCTTGATAACCAATATAAACACATCCTTCCTTCAACAGGTGTTTATGGGGTGGGGGTACCATTTCTTCTCCCCTAGAGTCATCACTCCTGTCAGAAAGAAGAAAGGTCCTCAGGGTGGGAAGTGACAAAGGCCACCAAAAAGGTGGAATCAGAGCAGTGTCAGGGGAGTCGGAGGGAGGAAAGACGGTTCTGGGTGGGAGCATCGGCACAGGCTCTCCAGAGCAGGCGGTCTGCGGGCTGGGAGGGACAGGAGCGCTCTGGGCAGGGAGAGACGGTGTCAGAGGAAACGCCATGGGGGAGAAGCACAGGACCGGGGGCCACTGGGATTGTAGAACCACAGGGTGGAAGAGAAAGTGGGCTGGCTGGACGAGAGCCAAGAACGCCAAGTGAAATGACTGAATGTCACCCAGCAGCCTGCAGGGAACTCTGATGACCTCCAAGCTTACAGGGGACAAGATTACTGCAGGCTCTAGGATGCTGGGACCTGGTGGAGGTGAGTAAGAGGGGAGAGGAAGGGACATCCAGGGATTGTTTGCCTGGTTCTGCCACCTAATAGCTGTGTGACCTTAGGCAAGTTACTTAACCTCAGTGTGCCTCAGTTTCCTCATCTGCAAAATGGGAAAAAAAATATGTGCATCAAAGAAAGGTATGGGAATTAAATAGGTCAATATAAGTAAGTGCTATGGAAAGTACTAAGTACTATGTAAGTGTCAGTTACTTTTCAAAATTACTGCTACGACTGTTACTGCCTCCACTAGTCCGGGTGAGGGGGACGAGGACCTGGCCGGTGTGCGACAGGTGCTGAGCTATGGCAAGAACAGCCTGTCAAGAAGTGACCACACATCCTGGGCCCTGCAGGTGGCTGTAGAGGTATGGGGGAGGGAGGGGTCGGGGTGACCGGGCAGAAGGGAGGAGGACCTACTGGGGTCGCAGGTGGGGAGTTCAGGTGGGAGGCTGCAGGCTGCACGGGTGGAAACTGAGGGCCTGGCCGGGGGTGGGGGAGGGGCGAGAAGCCCAGAACAAGCTCAGAGGGCCCCCTCAGTACTGGAGGACCCGGATGAGGTGCTCACAGACACGCTCACGGGCAAACAGCTTATTCAGCAAGCTGTTGAGGTGGGGCGAGACTGCAGCCCACCCAGTCTGTGCCATGAGGTGTTGGACTATTAGAGTGAAACACACACGTCTCAGACTTTTCCTCCAAACAGCCCTCCCAGCTGAGGGGAACGAAACCGGACTCCTGGGGCTCTGGGTGTGCCCAGAGACAGGGCCACAAGCACATTTCTTTGAAGTCTTCTGTGTTATCCTTAAATCAGCCTGTGTGCCGCATTTCCACTCTCCAATATAATTGTTTTAATGGTAAAGCCACGCTCTGTTCTCAGACCTTCGTGTAAAGCGGCACTGCAGACATGCCCTACGCCCTGAGGTTTCCTGTGCTCCTCAGCCCACTCCCCTGCCCCGGGGACCAGCCCCTCCCCCAGGGACCAGCCCCTCCCCCAGGGACCAGCCCCTCCCAGGACCACCTCCCCAGCGCACCCAGCCCCTGCCAGGGACCAGCCTCCCACAGGACCAGCCCTGCCCCAGCGACCAGGCCCCTGCCCCAGGGACCAGCCCTCCCCCAGGACCCAGCCCTCCCCAGGGACCAAAGCGTTGCCCAGACAGCCCCTCTCCCAGGACCACCCCTGCCCCAGCGGACCCACCCGCTCCCCAGGGATCAGCCTCCCCCAGCGGACCAGCCTGCCCAGGGACCAGCCCCTCCCCAGGGCACCACCCTCCTCCACCAGACCAGCCTCCCCCAGGACCTAGCCCCCTCCCCTCAGGGACCCAGCCCCTGCCCCAGGGATCAGCCCCTGCCCAGGGACCAGCCTCCCCCAGGACCAGCCTCCCCCAGGGACCAGCCCCTCCCCCGGGACCAGCTCTCCCCCAGGGACCATACCTGCCCCAGGGGCAGCCCTCTCCAGGGACCAGCCTCTCCCCAGGACAGCCTGCCCCAGGGACCAAGCCCCCTCTCCCAGGGACCAGCTCTCCCCCAGGGAACCAGCCCCTCCCCCAGGGACCAAGCCTCTCCCCAGGACCAGCCTCCCAGGACCAGCCTCCCCCCAGGACCAGCCCTCCCCAGGTCAGACCTCACCCCAGGATCAGCCCCTGCCCAGGGACCAAGCCCTCTCCCAGGGACCAGCCCTCCCCCCAGTCCCACCCCTCCCAGGGATCCAGCCCTGCCCCAGGGACCAGCCCTCTCCAGGGAACCAGCCCTCCCCCCAGTGGACCAGCCCCTCTCCCATGGACCAGCCCTCTCCCAGGGGTCCAGCCTCCCCCAGGCAGCCCCTGCCCAGGACGCAGCCCTCTCCCAGGACCCAGCCCCTCCCCAGGGACCCAGCCCTGCCCCAGGACCAGCCCTCCCCAGGGCAGTCTCCAGGGACCAGCCCCTGCCCCAGGGACCAGCCCCTGCCCCAGGGACCAGCCCCTCCCCCAGGGACCAGCCCCTCCCCTACAGCCCCTCCCCCAGGGACCAGCTCCTGCCCCAGGGACCAGCCTCTCCCCCAGGGACCAGCCCCTCTCCCAGGGACCAGCCCCTCCCCCAGGGACCAGCCCCTCCCCCAGGGACCAGCCCCTCCCCCACAGCCCCTCCCCCAGGGACCAGCCCCTCCCGCCCCAAGTGGCTGCTGGTGAAGTTCCACACAGGGGACAAGCACCACCTAGGGGCCAGCCCAGGAACCTCCCCAGTCCACTAAGCCTCAAGCCCGGATGACCTTTCGCTCTCCTGACGTCCCCAGGACCCCAGGACAGGTCTGGGGTCTGGCTTCCCGTGCACGGGGGCGCTGAGGGGCTCTCAGGGGCGGGGGCTGTGCTGGCTCTGGGGATCCAGCAGGGAGGGAGCCCCCACCCATGGTTTCGGAGGGGCGGTTAGCATCACAAACAGGTAACAGCCACAAGGGACCCCAGGAGCACCTAGGAGAGGTGTCGGCCCCAGACTGTGGGGGGTGGGGATGCAGGTGGAGACAGGTCCTGGAGGAGAAACATCCACAGGGAGTCTCCCAGGACCTGCAGACCCTAACCAGGAGAAGACGACAGAAGGGAGGCCCAGGTGGAGGCTGAGACAGCATGGAGGTTCAGAGAGCCTCAGATGGTGGATGGAGCTGCAAATGGGAGACGGGCAGAGGGAAGGGCAGGGGACAGCTCCCAGGGGGCTCTAAAGGTGTGTCTCTAGGCTCATCCACACACACAGAGTGCAGGTGGCTGGCTGGGGGCAGTGTCCTGTACGAAGGAGCCCGGACTTTTCCCTGTAGGTCAGTGGGTCTCAGCGGGGTGGGAGCACCTTTTGGAATCTCCTCCCACCTCCCCTGTGGAGCCAGGCTGAGCTGGGGGCGGGAGGCCCTGGGCAGGTGGCCCTGGGCAGGTGTTGAGCAGGGGAGGCGTGGCCAGATGACCATCTTGGTGGAGCACCTGGTTACCATGTGGAGGACGGAAGGAGGCAGGAAGGCTATGAAGAGGCTGTTGCGAAGCCCCGTGCAGGCAGGTGACAGGGACAGTGGTGGCAGACTGAGACGAAGGGAACGAATGTTAGAAAATTTGGGTGGTGGAAGGGCAACGTTGAGTCATGGACCAGATGTGGAGCGAGGGTGGGGATGTTAAGGGTGACTCCCAAGGCCCCTGGGCCCTGGGGCGGGCACTGGCTGGCCGGGAGCAGGGGAGCTCTGCGGGGGGCCCAGCCAACGCATGCAGGTTTGGAAGGCTGAGTCCAAGGAGGGACCAGCAGAAACTGGACACAGGAGTCTGACACCCAGGCCATGCCAGGGCCCGAGATGTGGGTCTTTATTAGCCGAAGCCTGTTCCCTCTGCAGGCACGGCCTTCCTGAGCCCAGGGTGGCCTCCTGCAGAGGCTGGCAGGGTGGGACTCCTTGTCTACCTGATGGCATTTAAGTGTGTGAGGCTGGTGCCCTGCCTCCCCAGACGGCAGCTTCTCTCGTCCGTTGCAAAGAAGCAGAGATCAACAATCGGGAGAACAAGTCAATCCAATGTTTTCTGCTGTTAGCCCAAGAGATCATGGCTGCTTCTGGGCCTGTCAAGCACCTTTAGAAGCCAAACCCAAGAGATCTGACCTCTTCCCTTCACCTCTCTGAAAATCTCCTCAAAGGAGGCCACTGCCTAGGTTGGGGGGAAAAGACAGCCCCTCTCTTTACAGATGCAGAAAACAAAGCAATTACTGGACCAGAGCCCTTTCAAACAAACCCACCCACACTCCACCTTCACAATAGCCACATTCAATTTAACTCGGCAATTCGGCTGTGGATGGATAACAAGCACCTACTGTGTGCCCGGCAGCCCAGAGGGGAGGTAACAGAGAGGGCTGTCACCTTCCTGTCCTTGGGATGTCTAGAACACAAGACTGGCTCACTTGGAGCAGAGGTACAGGGCAGGGGAGTGGAAGTATTAAGAGATTCGGATTCAGCGAAGGAACTCAAAGCCAACCTGTCACCTGACTTGGCCAGCTGAGTGTCTGCTGGTGCGAGGACAGCGCAGTAAGGTGGGACAGGTATGAAATGTGAGTGTCCTGGCACAGTGACGCTCAGCAGACGCCAATGGAAGACAGTGCTGACCCCTGGGCTAGGCTGTTCCAGTAACTTATTTAACTCCCAGGTTGCACGGCACGGAGGGGTCAGGGACTTAGCCAAAGTCACGTAGCTAGTAGGCGGTAGAGTCGGGTAAGAACCCAAGCGGTCGTTAGGGCAGAAGTATCTGCCAGTAAGCAGGCTGGCATGAACCATGACGTCGGTGGCGGCTCGACGAGGGAGAACACACCGGAGGCCAGAGTGGCTGGAGGGACCCGCGCTAGACGGGGGGTGGGGAGCCCTGCGCGGGGACAGCACACACAAGCAAAGGCCCGGGGGCGGAAACTGTCCTTTGAGGGCCAATGCTATCGTCCCTGGAGAGATCAGGCCCCTTGTCCAGGCTCTCCAGCTCCCGGGCCAGATCCAGGAAGGTGTCCCGGCCCAGTTCCCCGACTCTTTCTTTCTGGGGAGGGCAAGATACTCGGCAGGCCCTGACACTGTTCCGACTGGACGCAGAGGGCCACCTTGAACTCAGGGCCTCAGGACGCAAGCCCAGAGCCTTCCCATACTGCCCCCACCCTCTGCCCCAACCCCATAGGGGGCGCCATAACTCAGCGATTTGGGGTCAGACGCGTCGCGGTTTCCGAGTCTTGCTTCTGCCACTCGCGGAACCGCGTGCTTTGGGCAAGTTGTCACACTTCTCTGAGACTGTAGGGTGGGACAGGAACACGCACCTCACAGGAAACACGCAAAGCCCCCGGCCCAGCACACGCTCACTGTAGTCTTCAGTGGCTGGGAGCCATTCATGGTCAGTGCGAACCCAGACTTGGGGCGCCCGCCTCACCTCATAGATGTTAAACTGGCTCTGCCCTCGGGCCAGCTCCCGGTAGCTGGTGGTGAACTCCCCGATGAAGTCGTGGCTGCAAGGGAAGACCGCTGCTGAGTCCCCGCCCCGCCTCCCACGCACCCGCCCTGGCCCCCAGTTCCCAGCCCTGGCTCCCAGTTCCCCGCCCTGGCTCCCAGTTCCCCGCCCTGGCCCCCAGTTCCCCGCCCTGGCTCCCAGTTCCCCGCCCTGGCTCCCAGTTCCCCGCCCTGGCCCCCAGTTCCCCGCCCTGGCTCCCAGTTCCCCACCCTGGCCCCCAGTTCCTGGACCAAGGCTGGGCCCTGGGAAAAGAGCCCAGTGTCACCCAAGGAGCAATCAACCCCAAGCCACTAGCAAAGGGCAGGGCCTGGGAGCAATGGCACCCACCCTACTTCGGTTCTTACTTGAACCAGCCCGTAATAAAAAGTCTTCAGGGGACAATTGAGGAAATTTAAATGCAAAATGAATATTGGGTGGCATTTCAGAACTATTGTCCAATGTGTCATGTGTGATAATGGCATTTGTAGTTATGTGGGAAAATGCCATTATTTTTTAGACATTCCCTGTGAAATATTTAGAGGCAAAATGTCATGATATCTATAACTTACATTTTTATTTGTTTTTTTTAGAGACAGGGTCTGCCTTTGTTGCCCAGGCAGGAGGAGTGCACTGGTGCGATCATAAATCACCATAACCTTGAACTCCTGGGCTCAAGCAATCCTACCGCCTCAGCCTCCCAAGTAGCTGTGACTACAGCTGCACACCACTATACCGGGCTAGTTTTTAAAAAATTTCTTTGTAGAGATGGGGTCTTGCTATGTTGTCCAGGCCGGCCTAGAACTCCTGGCCTCAAATGATCCTCCCACCTGGGCCTCCCAAAGTGCTAGGATTACAGGTGTGAGCCATTGCACTCAGTATATAATTTATTTAAACTACATTAGCATAAAACATAGATAAAGTAAATATGGCAAAATTTAACAATTGTTAAATTCAAGTGATGGGCTTAAAAGTGTTCATTAAATTCCCCTCCAATAAACATTTTTTAACAAGACAATTAGCACTACGTGCAGTCAGGCAGCTGGGGGTGTTTTCTGCAGTGCCCACTCTGTGTGTTTGTGGGTACGTGCAGCAAAAACGTGCACAAAGCAGAACTCCCAGTGACCTGTGGTTGGCGCCCTTTAACCCTCGCTGTCCCTACCAGAGGACAGTGGTGCACGTGCTGCCTGGGGCGTGCAGCTGCAAGGTGGCGCCCCACCGCGACCCCGAGTGTATTTCAATGTGTTTTATAGCTCTCAGCCTCTGACTATGAGTAACGTGATGGTGGGACGCAGTGGCACCTGGTGGCTGTCCCCAGCTGCCATGGAAGAGGAGAATATTCCAGAAGTATGGGAACGCCAGAGGAAGATGAGGCATAGGACAGTGAAAACATGGAGCTGACTGTCTGGCTGTGAGGTCGCTGAAGAGGTGGCACTGGCCCTGGGTCTCTCAGGGGAGGGCGGCTCCGTGGAAGGGGCTCGGGCCTCACTGAGAGCGGCATGTGCACAGCACTTGGCTAAGACAGACGATACCCCCCAGCCACCGGCACAGACTGGGGAGGTGCCAATGGAGATCAGGGGACTTTGAAGTCCCCTACATCATTCCTTGGCAGTGCCACAGAATGGAGAGGCCATAAAAGTCAGGAGGACATACGTGGATTGGGCTCAACAGACAAGGAGCCAGAGAGGGTTCTGGACTAAAGCTTCAAGAGGCCCACTCTTGTCCTTGTCTCTGAATTCCCAGCAGCACTGGCTCCTTGGGGGCACTGAGGTCTGCAGAAGGGACAGTGCTGGCCTCCCCAAGACCCGCCCGCCAGCCACAGTCCCACCCAGGCACTGCCTGGTGCCCGAGTGAGTCCACTCACACACACCAGAGCTCACCCTTCCCGCGGCCCGCTCCCCAGTCCCGGCTCTCTGCAAACAGCTACTCCGTGAGCCAAGGGCTACATATGGCCTGTCAGCTCCCCACTAGATTTCGGGGAGTCTCTGAGGGCTGAGCTCATCTTTTGCACCTCAGTCACAATGCTGAGCCCAAGGCCTCACGCAGAGAACGCGCCCATGTATGCTCATGGGGTCACTAGTATGTGAGCCCCAGAACATTCATACTTCAGAAAATCCTAAACTCTGCCCAACACAGTGAGATGGCAGGCACTAGCCAGCCACTGGGCAGCTGTCTGGGGAAAAGAGGCCTCGTGTGCCTCTCACGCCACATCCTGCAGGACAGAGGTCCCCTGGTGCCTCAGTGCAGCTGGGTGGGATGGCAGCAGGCCCCTCCCACGGGAAAACCCAGGCTCCCTCAGCCCCAGAGCTGCCACAGGTGGGGGCCCGGGCAGAGCCCTCTCCACGCCAGGGCAGGGCTCAACCCTCCCAGCGGCCACCCCATCCCCACCCACCTTCTCCCCTCCTGCCCTCCTGCCGCTCACCTGCCGTCCCGGTCCCAGTCGTACACCTCCACCTTGATGGTCCTGTAAGACAAAGGGCCCGGGGTTGGAGGGGCCTGAGGATGGAGCCCCCCTCCTGCTCCTGCACCAGAAGGGGACACAAGGACACCCTCCAGCCTCCATGGCCCTGGCTGGGGAGGTAGCAGCCCAAGAAAGAAAGCAAGTACCTTTAGCAAAGGTCTTAGGAACAGAGGCAGCCCAGAGCCAGCCCAGAGCCATGTAGGGACTTCTTAGAATTTTGAGGAGGATGTGGAAAAAAACAGCCCTAGACTTCAGTTCACCCCACCTTCTTGGCCACCCAGGCGGGGCGCAGCCCCAGCACGAAGCCGTACCGTGGACTTCCCAGGGAGGACCGCTGAGATGGGAGTGCGCTGCTCCCTGGGTCTCAGGCCCAAGCAGGGTGGGCTCTTCCCGGGAGGGGCAGCAAGGCTGTGCGGTGGGACCTGGCTCTGAGGGGCAGGAGTGTGGCAGCCAGCCCTGCACGCCAGGGACGGCCCGGGGCCCGACTCTGGCGGCCTGCTGAGGTTTTCCATCCCCACGACTGGCTCCTGAGTGAGGGTGTAATTATCTTCACATTTTAGCCTGGCTGCTTTAATTAGTTTGTTTTGACTCCTATGCATGGGGCTGGGCTTTGAGAGCCCATTTTATTTTTAGCCATGTTCCCATGGTAACAGGCTAGCGGACCAGAGCTGGGAGGAGGGAGGTGGAGGGCTGCGGTTAACCCTTGGTGCCAGCTGCTCGGTCTTTGGGGGAGGCCCAGGGACAGGGGTGCTGCCAGGGTCCCCCGGCAAGGTCAGGGCTGAGGAGGTGAGCGGAGCCTGGGGAGCCGGGGCCTCAGCCTTCAGCTCTAAACGGGGTGCACAGAGGCAGCTGCCTGGGCCTGTCTTCTGTCAACATCCTGTCATCTCGCCCATGGCCATGGCCCATGCCGGCTCCGCAAGGATTGGGCCTTCGGGTTCCGTGGTCCCCAGAAGGAGGCGCTGTCTCCCTTCCGATGAGCCTCGCCGGGACAGGCGGGGCAGGGGACAGATTTACCCACAGCAAGGCAGGGACTGTTCTGGAATGAAGGAGTGCCCCGCAGGCCGGTCACACACTGGATTTTGTAAACTAGGACTCCTGTAAAACGGGCAGGCTCAGAAGCCCACCATTTAAAAGAATCCCTTAAAATTCTTGTGAAGAATAAAACACTATGTCTCTTTGATGTGAATTATTGTGGAAAGAAAAAAAATCTAAGCCCCTGCAGGGGGGCCGGTAGGCTGGAAGGAGGGGATGAGGCTGGGATGTGGAGCTGGACGGCCCTCAGCCTAGATGCGGGCCCTCGCCGGGGGACCTGGGGTGTCATTTACCTCACTGAGCCACGAGCCACCATCTTAAGGTGGGATGATGATGGCCTTGCAGAATAGCTGCAAAGACACGTCAGCTCACCCGCCCGCCGCACGGGAGGGTGTCTACAAAGACGCCTCCTTCTTGCCATCGTTTGGCCGCGCTCAGGGACTTTTCCATATGAAACTTGCTCAAATCAGGGGACACCTGAGCCTGAGTACCTGGGCTCAGCAGCTCCCAGTTCCTGGGATGACAAGGCTGGAGGTGACATCTAAGCCCGGCCGTGTGGCAGAATCACCAGGGCTTTCCAGGCACACTCCCAGGCCCAGTCCTCGCAGCTCTGGGGCAGGGCCCGGGATCTGTTTTCCAGGATTCCCTAGTGACTGTGCTGTGTCTGTCTGGAGTGATGACCTCGACCCTTCACTGTCAGCCGGGGAGACTGAGCCCTAAAGGCCTTCGGTGACTTGCCCAGAGTCACACAGCTGGAGGTCTGAGACAGGACAGGACCACGTCCCTGATTACAACCCAGGGCTCCGGCCACAATCCCACAAAGCGACGTCTCTCCATCCCTGTTTGCCAGCCTCCCAGCCCTTCCCCAGAGCCCTCTCACCCTGCAGGGAACCTTCAGAGACCCCACGAGGGTCCCCTCTCCTCCGACCACCACACCAGCCCCTCCGGTGACTAGATCGTTGACCACCACGTGCTCAGAGGCTGTAGGAGCACCCAAGTCATGACAACAGCCCTGGATAGCCACACAATCACTGGGGGGATTTTTGTTAACCCCATAGCCGGAGGGCCTGATTTAACTGGCTTGGAGAGGACTCAGGCACGGGTGGTTTTGAAAAGGTCCCTGACCAATTCTAATGTACAGCCAGAGCCACTGACTAGACTAGAGCACTAGTTTTCAAACTTGGTTGCATTTTGGAACCCCCTGGGGAGCTTTAGAAACATTGATGCTGATGCCTCACCCAGAGATTCAGAATCGGTTGGTCCGGGGTATAACCTGGGCCCAGGAGGTGTTCAAAGCTCCCCAGGGATCTGAACTTGCAGCCCAGGTTGAGACCACGGAGTGTGAGACTGCTGCGCAAACTCACCGGGGCTCATTCAAGACCCCAGGGACGGCTGCAACCTGGGGCCAGCTTAGCTCAGACGCTGCAACCTACAGCCCTCAGGGAGAAGGAGGTGACAGAAGTGGCACCCAGAGAGAGGGGAAGGCAGGGGGGAGAAGCCAGGCACAGCTCTGACTCTTCTGTTTACAGTCCTGCTGCGTCAGCCCTGGCTGGGCGGCCCAGCTCACCACTTGGGGCCTGTAGCCTTGGCGCCCAAGCCCTCAGCACAGGCCCAACAAAGGCTGTGTCGGGCTGGCTGTGACTTCTGGGGACAGCCCCTAAGAGAATGGGCTCCTGGGTGTGGGACAATGAAATAGGCCTCTGCAGCCCACAAAACGAACATCTTATGTGGCATAAAAAGGCTCTGATCTGGGAGACAGCGAGGTAGGCAGGGAGGACGCCAGGCCCTGGTGAGCAGCCAGGTGGCAGCCGGGCTCTTCCAGGCACTGGGTGTGGCCCCGAGCAACGCGCTTAGCACTCGACTCTACCCCTCTCTAGAACAGGACAGCCACACCCACTTGGGGGTCACTGTGGAAGCAAACCATACCTCCCCATTCGCACGGCCAGTATTTGACACGTGTTCTCCGTTCTGTCTACAACATGCAACTCTGGGAAAGCTGGTACTGAAGGCGGAAACAATTTCAAAAATAAAATAAACACTCGACTCCTTTTCCCAAGCGCCTGTCTCCCAAACACTTCCCATGAAAACGGCAGCTCCGTGAGGCCAGGGATTTCTCTTTGTCCAGTTTACTGCTGTGTCTTCGGCTCCTAGAACAATGCCTAGCAATATCAGGTGCTGCATAAATATTCCTTGGCTCCCCGAGGTCTCCTGACACCTTTGTGAAACGGGCTGCAGGTAACAGTAACCTGGCTCCACAAAATCACAAAAGGAGGCCCAGAGTACGCGGCTTTCCCCGAATCACACAGCCGCTCCGTGGTTCAGTGGCGACGCCAGTAGCCAGTGTCCTAGGCCTCTGGACAGCTAGGGCCGGAATGACAGAGCCAGGCGTGTGTGAGCCTCGGCAGGCGAGCAGGGGTGAGGGACGCGGGCAGAGACGCAGGCTGCCCCCCTGCACACCGCCCAGCGCTATCTATAGCCTCCTCTGAGCCGGAGCTGCCAGGTCTGCCTCCTAATGAGCTGCTCCCAGGCAAGGGAAGGGACATCTCCCTGCCGCCTACGAGTCCTGAAGGAGCAGGCCCCGAGGGGTTTGCCCTGAACTGAGTCAGCCCCACGCTCTGAGAGGCGTCCGTGTCAGGCCTCCCCCGGCAGGCAGCGAGCCTGGCATCCCAGCCCCCGCTTGCGCCGTGCGCCTCGGGCTGTACTGCAGCGACTCTGCCGGAGTCTCGGCTTCTGCAAGTGCACACCGGGAATGACGTGACACCCTCCTCGGGTCATACGTGTGGACGTGCCTGGCCCTCCCGGGTGCTCCGCGTGGGCGGGACGCAGAGGAGAGGCGGATCGTGCACCCAGCGTGCCAGACAGAGGCGTGAGGCCGTGGCGAGTCCTGTCCCCGCTCCAGGGGAGGACTCTGTACCCTCAACACTCTCTTAAAACCTACTCGTTCAACACTGAGCTGTGAGTGAGCCGCAGCGGCCCGACCCAGACAACTGCGGTTTAACAGGGACGCGATGTCCAAGAACGGGGTAGGCGGAATTCTGGGAAGGCAGTGGAAGGGCTTCTTGTCGCCACCCCCACTTCACCCCACTGGAGGGCTGGACTGGCTCTGATCCTGACGCCATTTCCTCCGACTCCAGCTCTGCTCTGCTGGGTCCCTCGGCTTTGGCCTCGTGTGGACTGGAGACCCAGCAAAGGCAGGGGGACCCAGCCCGGGGGCCACTTCTGCAGAGGGAGATGCACCTTCTCCTTGCTCTGGCAAGTTATATAATCTCTGCTTCTCCATTTCCCCATCTGTAAAATGGGCACAGCACTAGTACCCACCTCCTAAGGTGGCTGTGAAATTTAAGTTCACAAAGTTAGATAATGCATTTCAACTGACGGGGACACAACTTGGCCCATGTCCTAAATACTCAATAATTTTAATAGGACTGACTGGTTTCTACACCCGTCATTCCAACAGAACCACCCTTTCTCAGCAGGTCCCTGGTTCTCACCCTCCCGGACCTCTTCTCACAACAGGAGTCGACACTTCTGCCTGGCTTCTCCTCTCTTGGGTCCCTTCCTCTCTCTCCCCACCATGTCATTTTCCCTCTTGCCCCGACCTGTGGCATCCTGACCTCTGCCTGCCCCTCCTGGGGACTCCCAGACCTCCGTCCTCCTCTGGCTCCGGCTGTGCCTGGCCCGGCCACCTGCTCCAGCGTGGCTATAACCACGTTCACCTCTTCCTCCCCAACCCTCCCAACAGCAGCAGCCCATTTGCAAACAACAGACATAATTGTTATAATTTAAGAAGGGTAATTTTTAAAAAATGGGCTGCACGTAGACTGTGACAGAAAACTACATGACACAAATCTGAAAGACTCTGGCTCCCGGCCGCATTTCCCTCCCTGTTGGTGGCACCACCTCCTCACGCCCCCCAAGCCCCAAGCCACTCTCTGTCTCTTTCACTCCCATATCTAGGCAGATAGCAAGGTCTTTTGGGTCTTCCTTCCCGCAGTTCCCCCTCCCCTGCTCTCTGAATCGCTGGGGGTTAAAGCCAGAAGGATTTTTAGGGCTTTCAGGACTAAAACCAACTCCAAGAGGCCTCCCCACCTCCAACCCCAAAGCAGATTCACCCCAAGCCCTGAGCAAGGTGCTCCCCAAATGCACCCCAGCCACGGCCCTGCCATGTCACATCTTGGCTATTTGGCAACAGGGCAAAGGGGTTAGAAACATAGAATCTCGAGCCGGCCTGCCCAGGTCCAAATCCTGGTTCTACCATCAGCTGGCGGTAAGATGCTGGGTAAATTATCTACTCTCTCTGGGCCTCAGTTTCCTTGCCTGTACTATGTGGAAGGCATTAGTACCTCCTTCCAAGGAGCTGATGGTTGGGAGGATTAAGTTAGTTCCTGTACATAAAGCACTTAGAGCAGGGCCACGTGCTGCTGTTATGACCGTCTGCCTCCCCACTGGCCCGGGTGCAACCTGGGGGGAGGGCCTGATCACCCAACGTGCCCCCACGGCGCCCAACGTGGTGCCCAGTGCCTGGCTGGCTTAGAAGACAGGGCGCTGGGCTGCACTGAGAGTGTGCTGTGAGGCTCCCAGACGTGTCTGGGAAGGAGAGGGACAGTGGCCTCATTTTCCTGCACACGGTCCTCCCCCTCCTGCCCTGGAGGCCTCGGGACGCTGGCACCTCCCGAGTGGCTGTCGGGTGCGTGGGTTGTACTAGGGCTGGGGCGGGGTGCAGGCCTGCTGCTCGCGGAGCCAGCATGACACGCCTGGCCCCTCAATTAACACCACTGTCAGTCATGTCACAGTCTATCTGCTCCCGGCCCTGGCAGAGGCCGAGCCGCCGGCATCCTGGGGGGAGAGGGCGCTGGGCTCTGCCTCAGAGAGGAGCCTGCTGGGCGTTCCCTGCCACCTGCACCCCTCCCCCACATACCCGCCTCCTCTGGTGGCCCCGTGCAGGGCCAGGCCTCTGAGCCCCACCGCCCCTTTTCACCGTCCCTGACAACGCTAGGTTCTGAGGACCTGGGGCCCCTCCAGAGATGCAGCATGTGGGGTGTCAGCTGGGCCCCGGCAACCTCAGGGCAGCGGTTGCAGGGATCCCCAATTCCTTCCACCCCGTGAGACTTTAACTGCCAAGATCTGCCATGCCCTCCCTCCAGTTTCCTCCCGCCTCCTCTCGTCACTCCTTCCCAACCCTCCCCCCAGGCCCTGCCCCAGGAGCCCCTCCCCTGGACACTACGGCTCCCACCGGACTGTCCTCCTGCCCCTCACCCCCCGGAAGCCCCAGGACCAGCTGGGCATGTAGCAGGGGCTGTTTGACTGGAGGCCCATTTGCGTCCCCAGCCGGGTCCTGCACGTGATTTAGCTATCTAAGACACGCGTGAACACCTGAGCTCCCTGCGGTCAGGCTACAAGCTCCCTGAGGACGGAAGTGCGCCCCGTTCCCTCGCACGCTGCACGGGCAGCGGCACAGGGCTGGGCACACGGCAGGCACCCGTGGCCACCGTGGAACAGACTGCAGCTTCTCCATCCCAGCCAAGAGGCGGGAAAAGCGGCCACCTCACGTCTCAGACTGGCAGCCTGAGGGTTCCGTGGAGGGAAACGGGTGACTGAGGCCATGCATCCGCTCATCTCCCCCCATGGCCTGTCACCGTGAGCAGGCTCCCAGGCACCCCGGGGTGTCTGTTCTGACGCCCCAGTGCTCCTGTCAGAGCGGCCAGCACAGGCCCAGCCTCCTCAAGGCCGCCCGACGGCCCTGCCGGGGAGCCCCTGCCAGCTCAGGCCGCAGCGCGGAGCACTTGCCAGGGAGCCGGGACGGGTGCCCGCGGCTTAGCGCAGGCCACACACTGCGCGCTCCTACCTCACACAGCCACTCTCCCGCAGCACGCACACAGAGTGTGACTGTATGTTTCTCCGTGTGATTACTGCATTAATGTCTGCCTCCCCTGCTGGCACATAAACTCCACGGTCGGGCGAAGGGTGCAGACTGCGAGCGTGTTCCCGGCTGACTCCCCAGCGCCTAGCGCAGTGCCTGGCACACGGCAGGGTCAGTGCACGCTCCTGCCCAAGACGCCGAGTTTCGTGTTTCATGCGTACCAGAGCCTCCTGTGTAGGCTGAGTCACGTGAGCGTCAAGGCAGCCCTATGAGGTAGGCAGGTGTGTCAATGCCCATTTGACAGGTAAGGAAACCAAGGGTCAGACAAGTCAAAGCTTGCCCAGGGTGACAGCGCTTTTTAGCTACAAAGCCAGGGCTAGAAACCAGGTACCTGGTATCTACGCTCAACAATCTACACGCCAATGACGACGCTGATGATGATGGCTCACCCGTAGTAAGAGTAGGCTCTTTGCACCCACGCCCCCCTCACTGGTGGCAGCTCGGCTGGCGCGAGTACCCTGGGACCCCCAGGCCCCAGAGGCCACTGGCCGGGAGTGGGCTGGTGGGGACTGGCTGCCTCTGCTGTGTCACCCCGCCCCACCAGTGCCATCTGCCCCGCACGGGAACAACGACAAGACAAGCTGCTGCGCTCCACGCCCGGCACCCCGACACCCATCTGGTTTCCCTGGAATCCCAGGTACACCCACCCCCTCAGCCTTGGGAGTTTCCCACCACCCGGGATGCCCGGGAGGAAAGAGGGGGCAGGAGGGGAGGCCTCGCGCTGTGAGGAGGTGGCCGCTGCCCGTGCGGGGGGGGGGGCTCCCCAAGCCCCACCCGCGCAGGGCACCCGCTCGCGCTGGCGGCACGGACCGCGTGGACGTGGACGGGCCTCCCTCGGCCCGCGTGGGGAGGGCACGGGCGTGGAAGGCAAACAGGGAGGATCTCCCGTCTCACCGATCGTAGTCCCCGTTGCAGAGGGCCCGCACGGGGATGGAGAAGGTCAGCCAGACGGGGTTCAGGGTGTTCTTCACCACCTCGGTCTTGTGGCAGATGGTGAACCTGGGAGGAGACGGGAGAGAAAGCCTGTCAGCTGTGAGCCCGAGGCGGGCGGAACCCGGGTCACAGAGGAGGCAGCTGGGTGACATCCCTGCTCGCCGGACGATGGCAACTGTGGCTTCCAAAGGGGAAGAGCTGCCCGTCACTAGCAGCAGCCGGGCTGGACTACACAGCCGTTCCCTAGTGACGCTGCAGAAAGGGCTCCGGTACGGGGCACCTCCACAGCACGGACGGGTCCTGGGTGTCGGGAGACCTGGATTCCAGCCCCTGCCCGGGGGCAGCTCTCTGTGTGACCCTGAGTAAGCCCTTCCCTCTCTCGGCCTCCACTTCCTCCCCTGTAAACCCTGGGAGTCAGCCTCTACCACGGATTCTTCATCGAGGCCGTGGAAGGGTGTGTGGATGCGCTTAGGGGGCTGTGAACCCCTGAAACCGCAGGTGGAATTGGGCGTATGGGTTGTATGCGCCTCACTATTCCCTCCCTCATTTCCAGGACTTCAAGGGTCACCCCTCACGACCTTCAGGTCAAATGTCATCTCCAAGTAACCTCCCTTGACTATCAAATCTGAAAGTCACAGCCCGCTGGTCCCGACTCTCCCGTCTCCTAGTCTCCGTGCATACTTTTTTTTCCATTTTCATTTGTCACCATTTGACATTTTGACACAGACTATATTTTTCCTTATTTATTCTGCCTATGATCAGTCACTAAAACGTAAGCTCCGAAAAAGCAAGGATTTTTGTCCGTCACTGGCATGTTCCTAGTGCCCAGAACGGCGCCTGGAACTTAGGTACTCGATGATTTTGTTTAAATGAACCAATGAATGAATGTGTTCCTCAGGGGAGAGTTCCCACAGCTTCACTGGCATCTTGATCCAATGAAGTTAAAGCCCCTGGCTTACAGGGTCTCAAAGAGCCTTTCAGCTTTTCCAGTCTGAGTCCATGAGCCTGCTTTGCAAACTAAGAGTATGGCATTGGCTTGTCCCAGCCGGGCCCCAGTCCCGCGTCCCTGCCCACTCCCGACGCCAGGCCGGGCGGCCATCCTGGAAGCCAGGCCTGCCACATGGAGCAGGAACGGGCTGGGGGCAGGGCCTCGGTCTGAGATTTCCCAGCACCCGCCCAGCTACAGCCTGGCTGGGAAAGGTCACCGAGTAAGTGCCTGGGCCCCGCCCAAGCCTACACAGCCGGTGCCATTTCTTCTCTGGCAATTTTCAAGTCAAAATGTCATTCCTGTCACCATGGCTCAGCGTTTCTCTGCTCTGCTCCTTCCCGCCCACCCACTGGAGTGTGAGATGCACGTGGGAGACCTCCCCGCACGCCCCAGAGCCGGTGGCGAGGACGGGAGCGGGGTGGGGCAGGAGGGGCCACAGCTGCCCATGCCGGCGCAGGAGGAGGAGGCTGGGGTGGATGGCCGGAGGGATACAGGAGCAGGACCTGGTGGCAGAGGAGAGGGGATCGTATTGCACAGGAGCTGTGCTGGGTGCCCCGTCTTGAACCCCTGACTTCCCCCTCTCTCTGCTCTCCCTTGATAGCTAGGCTTCCTGACCAGGTCTTCTGAGCTAATAGGCGCAGCTCCAGGAGCACGGTGGGAGCTCTGCGGATGCCCTTTCCTTGTCCCTCCTTGCGTGGCTGGTGTGTCAGTTCACTCTCCTGGTTCCCTCGCTGACCTTCCTCCTGTCACCCTCCTAAACCCTCCATTCTTCTCCCTCAAACCTTCAGCGACCCTGTTCTCACTGGTCAGCCCATGCCCCTTGGCAGGTGCCTGCACACCAGCCCACCTCCTGGGGGTTCCCGGTCAGTTTCCCCAGTGCCCGTGGGATCCCCTGGGGGCCAGTGCACCCCCTGGAGAGCTCCAGCCCACACTTCATGGGGAACTTGCGCCCAAATAAGCTCCCATGGCCTCCCCCTCTGACCAGCTCTTTTGCCACTTCCGACGCTCTGGGTTCCCCTGGCTCTGCTGCCAGGGAAGGGGCTAGGACTTCCATCCCCACGCAAGTCCCGCCCGGTGCGGTCCTCACGCTGTCCTTTTGCCCCAGGCCCCCTCCCGGTTTCCTGCCCCTGCTTCTCCACGGCACAGCTCGGTGCTCACGGCGCCTCCCACCTGCTCGCCGTGTCAGTCACGAGGCTCTCCCTCTCCCCGCCCCCTCCCCAGCCATCCCACACAGCACTCTGCCGGAGCAGTCTCTGGCGAACGCCCTCCGCAGCGCCCCTCGGGCTCCCGATCCCCTCCTCCTCCTGGCCAGTCGACGCGCCCGGCCCGCCCGCCCCCCCGGGGGCCGCCGGGCCCCCCAAAACCCCAACGGGCCCTTCCCCCCCCCAACCCAAAGCAAAGCAAAAGCAAAAAAAAATAATTAAAAAAAACCCGCCGGGAAGCCCTTTGGTGAGACAAAGAATCCTTTTGTCATGCAAATGATTCTACCTAATTTCCCTTGTTTTGTACGTTCAGGTTTAAAAATCGTTTTTTCTTTGAACTGAAACACACCCCCTCCCTGCCGCTCCCCTGCCCCCTCACACACACACACACACACACACACACACACACAGAATCTCACAACCAGGAGGATCTGGTGGAGCCCTTGCCTTCTGGGCACCCACATTCTCCAGCCTGTCACCCTCCCTGCGCCCGCCCCACCCCATGGACCCATTTTCTTCCTCTCCGTCAAAATCTGCTTCCAAGTTCCCCTCTGGGCAGCGTTTCTCTGATTAACCTCCCTGCCCCATGGCTTCCTCACTCCTGCAAATCCCAGCCTCTGAGTGGCCACAGCCTCCCAGACCTGCGATGCTTACAGAGCCTTGGGGACCACCTAATCCCACCGGTTCATTTGGTGGATGAGAAAACAGGCCCAGAGAGGGGCATGACTTGCCCAGGGTCACACAGCAGGCCAGCAGGGAGGACCTAGGTGTCTAGACCTTCACCCCCAATCTCTCTGTATACACTGCTGACCTACATTTGCCAACGTGTTGTGTACGTTTCCGTCACGTGGGTGGCTTCTGGACTGGGGGAAGAGAGGAGGAAATGGGCTTCAGAGGCTGGAGTTGTAAATGAAGCCTATGGCAGCGTGGAGGGCAGGCGGGGAAGGGTCCAGACTGGCCATGCGCAGTAGGCGGTAGTCGGGACATGACAGTGCTCAGAGCGCTGTGGACAGAGGGCACTGGGCTGGGGACAGGGGCTGATCTGAGAAGAAGGAAGGGCCCCTCAGTCCCGCCCTAGCCTTGTTTTTGCCCACTCCCCCACCCTTGACATCCCCAGCACCCACCACTCGGTACCGTTGCTGAGACCCCCAGAATGACGGTGCCAGCTCATGAGGCTGCCACACCCCCACTGTCCCCATCTAGGTGGCCAGGGCACTGCCCCGAAGCCTGGACTGCAGCCCTAGCCCCTGCCCTCTCTGGAGCAGGAGACGGGCCCGGGCCCCTGCCTGGCAGGTCACCACAAGCCGTCCATGCCCGGCCCGGAGCGGGCGGGAAGGCGCAGTGCGCACGTGTTGCCAGAACACTCACGTTCCGTCCTCGTTGCTTCTGTAGAACACCAAGAAAGGGTCGGATTTCCCGAAGAAATCCTTCTTGTCCAGCTTGTTGGCACAGAACTGCATGGTGGCGACGTCCTGGTGGGAGGGGGAAAGCCGTGTGAGGCGGGACAGGGCAGACACAGCCCCAGGCCCTGGCGCACACGGGGCCGGGCACCGCCCTGGTCAGGAAGGGCAGCGTGCTGCATCCGCCCGGCGCTGACCGCTGCCAGGCCCCGGGCCAGCACTTTGGAGGGTCCCAGTCCGGCCTCAGCCCCGCCCAGCAGGTCTGTCGGAGCTGTTGGGCGAAGCAGGTCGATTCAGGAGTTGTCCCAGCGTGAATCCTAGCTCTGCCACTTTCTCGTTGTGTGACCTCGGGCAAGTAGGGGACCTCTCAGAGCCTCAGTTTCCCCTCTGTAATACGGGGCTGATTATAGTAACAGCATAGCTCTCTCAGGGTTGCCACGGGGACTACACGAGGTCGAGGGTGTGGCGTGCTGAGCAGCGCACAGGCATGCAGCAGCTTAAAGCACGGAGCTCCCTCGCGGACATTAACACGCCGGAGTTCGCTGCAGTCTTACTGAGTGGCTCAGAAAGGTGAGCTGGCCCGTGTGCCCAAAGCCCTGGTCCTGTCCGCGTCACCTCCCTCTCGCGTTCGTGTGGTTCCTGAGGACGTGCCAGGGGGAGCACACTTTCCCGGCCGCTAACGCACGGGAGGCCCTCCGCACGCCCATTTTACAGCCAAGAGGCCGGAGGCTCCGTGCAGGGAGAAGCTCCCAAGTCCCCCAAGCAGTGCCTGGTGTCTGCCTCCCCAGACCAGCCCTGCGCAGCTGTCCCCCCACACTCCCCAAGAGCTCAAAGAAGGTGTCCGGCGCCAGTGAGGACTGCCGCACCTCTCCGTTCTCGTGGCTCCAGGCCCTCAGCCTGCTGGGCCCACAGGGCACGGGTGGAGCCGCCGGGTCCCCTCGCCCAGCCCAGAGTGGCCTCGGCAATCTGAAAGCTCTGCCTCCTGACAAATCAGCTGCCAAGCGGCTGCAGCTCTGCTCCACAGACCCCGGGCCTGCCAGGCTCGTGAGGGACAGGGCCTGTGGGGAAGCCACTCAGCTCCCTCACACCAGCCCCTTGCTCTTGGGGGGAGGGGGCGTCTGAGATTAGCGACGCACGGCCCAGCGAGGACCCAAATGGTGGCAGGGATGACCATGCAACCGCTCAGGAGGCTGAGGGACACGGCCGAGGCTGAGAGGTGGGTTGTGGTGGGATGATGGGTAGGAACAGGGCTTCAGCCCCAGCCTCATCAGCTGTGCGACACGGGTGAGTTTCGTGCCCGCTTCGTGCTCAGCCTCCTCGTCTGTAATAGGTGTGATGGCCCGCCTCACGGCCTTGAGGATAAAATAGAAATATGTATAAAAGTAGGAGTACAGGCCGGGCGTGGTGGCTCATGCCTGCAATCCTAGCACTTTGGAGGCTAAAGTGAGAGGATCACTTGAGCTCAGGAGTTCGAGACCAGCCTGAGAAAGAGCGAGACCTCGTCGATACAAAAAAGAGAAAAAATTAGCCGGGCATGGTGGCACGTGCCTGTAGTACCAGCTACTCGGGAGGCTGAGGCAGGAGGATTGCTTGAGCCCAGGAGTTTGAGGTTGCTGTGAGCTAGGCTGACTCCACGGCTCTCTAGCCCGGGCAACAGAGTGAGACTCTGTCTCAAAAAAACAAAAACAGTGTATAACACACACTAAGTGCTGTGTGCAAGTGAGCTACCGTGTTTCCCTGAAAATAAGACAGGGTCTTATATTTATTTTTCCTCAAGAAGACACCCTAGGGCTTATTTTCATGGGATGTGTTATTTTTTTAAAGTACAGTACAACAATCTACATTTATTCAAATAGAGTTAAGTCGTCTTCTGGAACATCATCATAACTCTCCAAACCCCGAATTCCATCCTGAATTTCTTGCGACTCTATTTCCTTTAGAACCATTGGCCCCAGTCTCTGATGTCAAGCATAGAGCTGTCATGGGGCAGATAAGAAGGGCTGCTCGTGTTCTTTCCCACTCCGCGACGAAATGCACGGGTTGTGTAGACACACTGTGTAGCCACGCCCATCACTAGGTCTTATTTTCGGGGTAGGGCTCATATCGAGCAAACACTTAGAAATCCTGCTAGGGCTTATTTTATGGGTAGGTCTTATTTTCGAGGAAACACAGTATTATTATTACTATCCGAACACCTCTCCCCACCCCCACTCACAGTGTGTGTGGCCTTTGTCCCTGTCCTACTCCTACCTCTATCACTTCACATGTCACTCAAGCTCTGAGCCTCAGTTTCCTCATCTGTGAAGTGACGTGCTGAGTGGGATGACCACCACGGTCCTTTTAAAGCTGGACAGTTTAGGATTTGGTGTGGAAGCCTCACGGAGAACCCTGGGGCAGGACAGCAGCTGGGGACACTGAAACAGCGTGTCCTTGGGGGGCGCTGGCACTCCTGGAAAGCCAGGGTCATTTGTTGTAGCCTCCCCAGGACATGGCTCAGGTGTGGTCACAGTGACCTCTCACGTGTCTGAGGCCAACCGTGTGACACTCTCACCCGAATGAACACAGGTGAGCCACACGTGACATGTTCAGCGTGCGTTGGTTGACTATAAAATATACGCTTGAAGCAACCGAAACAGATGCCATAAAATCTGTCTGCCTCCTAGACAAACCCTTCAAGATCAGGAAGGGACTAGAAATATTAGAAAAAAATAAACGCAGGAACTCGATAGACCATCAGGACTCCCAGGGCTATGAGTGCTGTGCTGAGAGGGCGGCCGTCCGGCTCAGCGCCTGGCGGACAGGACAGAACAGAACACAGCAGCCAAGGACCCCCTGGCCGGTCACCTCCCCGCTCGGCAGCTTGGGGCAAGCCACTCGGCCTCTCTGAGGCTTGGCAAAATGGGATCGTGATGCCCCCTTGGGAGCCTGTTGGGAAGACCAAAGGAGATGACGTAAGTTTGGGTCCACGGTGCCGTGCAGGGCAGGGGCTAACACTTGCAGAGTGCCACCTACTCCTAGAGCCACGTGGAACCACCAACAGTCAACTGTGGCTGGCCTATGAAAATGGCAACATATCAGTAATATGGTTCTACATAATACGTGCTAGGCTACTATTTTTATATTGATTCATTCACGTAATTCTCTCAACAACCCTATGAGGTAGGGACTGCCATTATTCCTGCTTTGAGGACGAGGAACTGAGGCACAGAGAGGTTAGCACCCTTGCTCGAAGCCACACAGCTCGTAAGAAGGGCTGGGACTGGAACAAGACAGTCTGGCTGCAAAGAGTAATAACTGAGATTCCAAATGATGACCTCCAATCATCAAGATAAGTTTAATTATGTTCTGTTTGCCTCAGTTTGAGAAGTCAGAGAAGTGTGAAATCCATTTCAGAGAGGACTCTGTGCAAACTAGTTCAAATTAAAAAAGAAAGAAAACAGACGGGCTCTGACCGTCAGCTAACTGGAAAGCCCGCCAGTGCGCGCCAGTCCTTCCCCACCGACGGCAGATAAGCGCGGTGGGGCTGGGGCTGGGGCTTATCTGTGCTCAGCCTGCTCTTCCCCCAGCATAATCTAGACCCGGGAACATGTGCCGAAAGCCCGCTACGATCATCTGTATTGTTGTGCCATTGTAGAACCCATGGGGGACAAGACAGACCTGCAGAGAAATTTCCAGGCTGTCACCAAGGCAAGCTTCCTTCCTAACGGGCACCGCGCCATAGGGAAGTTCCTGAGCGGAGGACTGCGTGGCCGTCTGGGGCCTGCGCTTTGGGAGGTGGACCTGAGCTCCGTCTACAGCCCTGGGACGAGGCTGCCGCTGCTCCCCTCAAATGTGGGTCAGGGACAGGAGCAACCCCTTCGCATATGCGGGAACCCGAGAAGAGGCTGGGGAGAGTACAACAAGATGGACAGGTCCCAAAGGACAGCAGAGCAGCGAATTCTGGCCAAGGGTCAGAGGTTCGGCTGTCTGATGGCCTCAGCTTGAGGGTGGGGCTCTCTGAGCACATGAAGTGCTGTTCCCAAACCGGAGGCATCGCTGGAATCAACTGCGGAGAAGATAAAGCAGCTCCTGCAATATATAATTTCCTGCAATTTCTGCCTTTCACCCTATCTTTTAAAAAAACATATTAAGTTCTAAAACAGCAGGATTGCCTCAATTTGCATCTCTCTGCATGCTAATGGGTGGCTTGGAGACTACAGCAAACAGCCTTGCTCTTGGGGGGGGGGTCTGGCCTGCTCTCTCACTTTAGCCCTCTCTGCCCCAGGAGAGGGTGATGGAGGTCAGAGGTCAGGCCCAGCGGTCAGCTGGTGGGCTGTAGGCTGGGGACAGGGTGGCAACACCCAGGAGGGGAGAACTGAAAGCTGCCTGGGTCTTGCTGACAGCCCCCAGAGTCAGAACAAGAATGAGGTGAGTGCAAAATGTAAGGGGCACCCACACCCAAAATCTCAGTAATCAAATAATATTTTTAATGTGATATTTAAAAAAATTAAAATCCATGCAAAAATCTACAATAAAAAATATCAAAATTTTTAATAAAGACATTTTACAAATGAAGCAACTGAAGCACAGGGACATTAAGTAACTTGCCCAGGGTCACACAGCTGATAAGCAATGGCATTTGGTCTGGATCCACTGTTAAGAACTCACACACCATGCCCTAAGAAACACTTTTAAACAGATGGTGAGATCATGGTGACCCTTATTGTCTTCTCCTTAAAATTTGATGGATTCTCCAAATTTCCTAGAATTAGTATACTGTATTATTATTTTTTTTTTGAGACACAATCTTGCTCCGTCACCCCTGGTAGAGTGCAGTGGCGTCCCCATAGCTCACAGCAACCTCAAACTCCTGGGCTCAAGCGATCCTCCCGCCTCGGCCTCCCAGAGTGCTAGGATTACAGGTGTGAGCCACCCCTCCCCGCCAGTAACATTGTCTTTTTAAGTCAGAAAAAAGAAGACATCAATTAAAAAGAAAAGGAATCATTAACTACAACTCTGAAATTCAGCGCCTCAGCAGGAGGAATGACAACCTGGAGCTGGGGTGACTCCGTGAATAGGGACCACTGGGAGAAGGAGGCCGGAGCCCAGGCTGCCTGGATGAGACTGCAAAAGCAGGTGACCCGGGACTCAGCGAAGACCCCACCGGCAAGAGTCTATTCAAACACAGATGGTGGGCACAGAAGTTGGTCTGGGAGATGGGGCCAGTCTTTATGTACTAACCATAATAACCACGTGGAGGTCAAGCTGGCATTTCATTGTTGTCTTAATGACCAACTTCCCAAACAATCCAATCAGTGGTGCATCTGTTGATTTGGTCATTCAGAAGCTGAAAACCCCAGATTGACCATTTTCCTCCCACTCATTGAGCCTGTGTGTCTGGGATACTAACCAAAATCCATCAACTAAAGGTCAAAAAAACACCCCAGAACAATTTGGATATGAGGATGTTCACTGCATTATTGTTTACATTGTTTCCCATAAAAGAATAGGCTTCAATAAACTATGGCCCATCTATATAATAGATAATATGCAGTTATTTAATACATGTTTTCTAAAAATATCTAATGACATGGGACAATGCAGGGTACAAAACTGGATCCCATATTATGCCAATTATAAGAAAAAATTATATACATGTATAATCAGGAAAGAAGCCTTGGAGGAAACACATCAAAATGTCAACAACAATGACTATCTCTGTGTGATTTTTCTATTCCATTTATATTTTTATGGCTTTTTTTTGGCTCTCCCTGAAGCTTGTCTTTAGAACAACAAAAGTTTCGACTTTGTCAGGATTCAAGACTGCCAAGCTCCCCTGCAACAAGGTTCCACACACAATCTGGCTCCTACTCCCACCATCCCCACCTATACCCTCATCCACCATCACTCTCCCCTACCCCAGGGCCTTTGCACAGGCTGTTCTCTCTGCCTGGACCAATCTTTCCCACATAGCTGCATGGGTGCATTCTCTCACCTTTATATGTGTGTGTGTGTGTGTGTGTGTGTGTGTGTTACATATATATGTGTGTGTGTGTATATATATATGTACATTATATAGTATCCATGAATCTTCCTTCAGGATAATAGAGTGCTATAAAATGTCTGTTATAAAAAGAGGCAGTGGGTCTGCAGGGTTGAGGGCCCCTGCTGTACTGGAATTGCTGGTTGGCATTTCCAACTCTCATACTAAATTAGAAACTCCGGGAGAACAGGGGCTGAGTCAAAGCGTATTTGTTGAACGGAAATGAATGAACACATGAGCAGCCTGGTGAGACCCGGGGGGTGGGGAGGACCCCAGCACAGCTGCGGGAGAAGCCAGGCACGCCCCTTCACCACCACTCAGACTGGGCTGCTGGGAGCGTGGAGGTCCTGACCCAGAAGTCCGGAGGTCGTGAGGACCGGCCGTCCTGAGCCAGGAAGTCCCGATCCCAAAGCAGGCAGGTGTGGGAGGCAGCAGGTGTAGGCGCAGCCAAGGCGCTGCCCGCTCTGCATCCACACCTGCCCCTACCTCTTCCGGAAGCCCAGCCTTCGCTGCGCAAAGCCAGCCTGCCTGCTAAAGGCCATCGAGCCCCGCCAGGACCATGAGGTTCCTGACTGTTCCATGCACCATGAGGGCACGTGGCTCCATGGTGCGATTAGCAGTCCAAGCCTGAGCTAGAATGCCAGCAGTCTCAGGCAGGGCACTTCACTTCTCTGCCTCTGTACAACAGGGTCACTCACACCTATGCAGCCCCAGCCCTGCGGCGGCGAGAATCGAATACGACTGTAAATAAGAGAGCCCTGGTCAGCTAAAGACTATGCAAACGCTGGCTGGTATTAGACACAATAACAATAGTTTGGCTGCTGGGCTGAGTTAAACCCTTGCTGATTCAGAAGGCCCTTTGGGAGCCTAACCCCATCATCATCAACCTCAAGTACCACTCAGTAAGTAGTATTTGGGTCAAATTCTGATTGTGGGAACTCTCTTGGCATTTCAATTCCAGACAAGCAAGCTTTTCTATAACCTATCGAAGTATGCCGGCGACACTCTGGAGTCCACTCTAATCCTTTGCTGGTCCCCGCCCGCCCACGCCCTCCCCGCGGATAAAGGGAGGGTTTGTCTACTTCTGCAGAATGCATTCATGTGAGCAGGAAGCCCCGCTCTGGTGAAAAGCCAGCTCCCAGGCTCCACCCTCCTCCTTTGATCCTCCCACTGAATGCGGAGCTGGAAAGACAGAAGCAAAGCTGTTCAGATGTAATTATTTTAGTTCAGCCAGATGCTGGGAATTAGTCTCTTTTCCTTGCAAGTATTCTAGGGAAAGGCAGAACTCAGCCAAAGATGCCCAGAAGAAAAGGAGCCGACAATCTCAGGAGGAGGGGGGGCCTCCGCCCACCCCATCCTCCCCAGCCCCACACACCCCTGGCGCTGGAACAGCTTAAATCAAGGAAGCTGCTGCCCCCCTGGGCGAAGGAGAGGGGAGGAGTCGGGAGGGGAGGAAGAGGGAGGGGCCCAACAGGTATTAAAAGACCGTTTACCAAGGCCTGGAATGCTAGGCCCACAGCAGCAGCCCGCGTGGTCAGAGCTGCAGAATTTCCAAGGCACTTTCACTTGTATCACCTTATTTAATTATAAACCAAGAGAGGAGGTCGCCCGCTGGGCTAGAAGCTTGGGGGAAAACTGAATTTAGGCTTCAAGGAATTTGGATTCAACCTTTCCTAGGCACCTGTTAAACACACTCACCTTCACGATCTCCCCTAGTCCTCACAGCAACCCCAACAGCTCCAATATGCCCGGGGAAACTGAGGCTGCGGGAGCGTAAACAGAAGCTTTGTTCTACACGTCAGCTGAGTTCTCTCCCCTGTGCAAACTGCGAGGACTCGGGTTACCTGGTACTAAACATTCAGTCACACATCCCCGACAGAGCCTCAGCCAACACCTGCTGCGCACCTGTGGGCCAGCTCCTTCAGACCTTGCCCCGAACGAAAAAAAAGCAAGCCGGATGAGCAGTTGCATATGAATGGCTTTGGTCATCTCCATGCCTCCCAGGACCTCGATTCTGCCTGTTATTCTCCTGCTTCGAACCCCCAAAGCAGAGCTTGTGACACCACAGCCTGGTGGGTAAAGACCTTGCCTCTAGAACCAAACTGCCTGGGTTCAAATCTCTTCCACTCAGCAGCTATGCAACTTCGGGCAGGTCACTCAACCTCTCTGTGCTTCAGTTTCCTCACATGTAAAGGCGAGCACACTAATGAGGACCATAATACATCAGATATCATGACCCTCATGCTGTGAATCGCATTGCCTTTCACAACACATCAGATAAATGGGTCAATACACATAAACCACTCAGCACAGTGTGCGCCCCAGAATAATGGCTCAATTAATGTCGGCGAGCACCGTTAGCCTCTATCCTAGCAGTTCTCAAAGTGTGGACTGGGATCGCTAAGTGGCCCATAACTATTTTTGTAATCATGCTCAGAGTTTTCTGGAGGTTGCCTGACCGTGACATCACAACGGACTAACTGAAGCAGGTATGAGACTCAGCATCTTGTATCAAGCAGACTTTAAAGAGATTTACAAAATTGTAAAGCAAGGCCACTCTTCTCACTAAACGATTTTTGTGAGTTAGTTATTTTTCAAAAAATGTGTTATTTATGGTAACCCATAATGGGTTCCACTATTGTTATTTTTAAATGAATTAAAATATAAATTTTTTTTGTATGGGTGCCTTTATGGGTGATAAAGTTTGTTTTTTTGGTTTTTTTTAATTTTTTATTTTTTCATATTATGGGGGTACAAAGATTGTTAGGGTTACATATATTGCCCCTGCCATTCCTCTCCATGCCCCTCCCCCATAAAATATAAATTTTTAAAAATTTCTGTTTAAATTTTTAACCTCGTAAACATTAACAAGCAGCTGATGTGATGGTAGCACCAACTTCCCAGGAAGGTGAGAAAATCTCATTTCTCCTCCTCATCCTTCCTAGCCCGTAGGACGCTGTGCTGCCCGGCTTCGTTTGGGCACAGGCTCTGGCCCTCCCTGCTTCTGTCCCAGCCTCCTCCTCTTGTCCCCAGGCCCCGCCCTTTCTACCTGTGGTTCCTAATCAACCTAAGAGGCACTCAGGCCTGGTGGTTTGGGGGATGGCCTGGATTTTAGAGCCAGGTTGACCTGGATAAGAACCACAATTCTGCTGCTTATTATCCTTTGAACAGGTGACTTTGCCTCTCTGAGCCTCAGTTTCCTCATCTGTAAAATGGGAATAACATTTTAGTACCTGCCTCCTAGCATTATTGTGGGAACAGTGATAACTTACGTAAAATGCCCGTTACCTGACCAATAATAACCATCACCATTGTGGTATTTTATCCGTATTATTAGCCTTGGGAGCCCACGAGCCCCTTCGTGGTGTGCTCGGCTGCCCGGTCAGCTGTCCCCCTCTCCCGCGTCCCCACAGTCCCACAGAAGAGGCGAAGCCAGGGCTGCCTGGGACTGCAGGCTCCGACTTACACACACACTCCCTCCCTCAGCCCCACTCGGGGTGTTGTCAGCCTACTCCAGAGATAAAAGTGAAAGATGACAGCTAAATGCCAAGCGTCCAGGCTCCCGAAAAGGCCCCTCTGCTGCCAGCGTTGGTGCCAAGGCAGTCCCGGCTCAAGGACACTGAGTGGCGGCTGTGATGGGGACTGGAGGGAGCCCAGGCCCTGGCTCTGCTCTGCCACTGACCGAGGGCCAGTTCCTTCCCCTCTCTGGGCCTCAGTCTGCCCAGCTGTAAAAAGGGAAGACGCCTTCCAGCTCCAACGTCGTAGAATTCTCCCACAGTCAGGTCAGAATCGGGAGCCCTGGGCACCCTCTGTTCCCTCCAGGACACACAGGGTCCTGGGCCAGCCTGCCCTGCCACTGCCCACCCTCGCCAGGGCCTGTCGCCGAGTCCCTCTGCACTCACCCTGCAGTTGCTGAGCTCCTCAGCGGACAGGATGATGGTGCCACATTTCTTCCCCGGGACACCACTGGGAGAGAAGATGGAAGAGTGGAAAGCCAGACAAAGACAGACCCAAACCTCAGCAGTCCCTGCATCAGCCCTCCCTGTCCCCCCTTCCCTCCCCTCCAGCACATCTGCCCCCTGGTGCTCTGCTTGCTGGGGCCAGGCCCCACCCCCTGCTCCCCCGGGGAAGGGCAGCGTCTGCAGTGAAAGTCCTAGAATCGGAAAAGCATCCAGACTCACCCAGAGGCTTCCAGACCAGTGGTTCTCAAACTTTCCATCCAAAGACCACTTCTGTGGGCAAAAGACCTCGTGGGCTAGCCACCCCACCTTGCACCCAGCTGGCCCCCAGACTCCCGGAACCTTCCAGCTCTGAGCCAGTCTGATTCATCATGGGAGGGAGAGCAGCAAGAAGGAGGAAGGCAGGAGGGCTGGCAGACCCTTGGTGGCAGCTTGCCTGGGCTCTCTCCCATGGCTGCCGCCCTTGAACTCCTTGGCTGGGGTCTCCCTGGGGTGAGAGAGCCAAGCGGCTCCTCTGGGAGGTGCAACCAGGGCAAGGCCCTTGAAGTCAGTCCGCCCCAGAAAATACCCTCCCGAGGGCAAGATCCCAGGGGGGCTCCACCCAGGGGACCTGTGCTATCTCTTCCCCTGGTCAGGTAGGAGACCCTCCCCCAGGCACTAGGTTACTCTGATGTTTAGGACTAAGCCAGGGGGGTCCCAGTGTAGCCAAGGGCCGCTGGGAGGGGGAGGAAAGTGTCAGGTTGTCCAGCAGCTATATGACTTCGGGCACATTGCTGCACCTCTCTGAGCCTCAGTTTCCTCACCTATAAAAGGACTGTGAGCGCGGCATCATTTTACTAACTAACATGCACACACCTGGCATAGGGAGGACCTTCAATGAGCATCGCTTTCCTCCCTGCACCCTTTGCTGCAAAATCGTGCAAAGCTGGTACAATCCAGCCTCACAGCTCAGGCCAGCCCCAGGGCACCAGCAGGCTGTCTGTGGAGCACACTTTGAGAACCACTGATGGAGCGCTTCCCAGAGCCAGCTCTGAGAGGGACAGCTCTCAGACAGAGGAGGGGTGGAGGCCTGGGGGCTGCAGAGACAGCCCAGATCTCTCCAGATCAGGTGGGCAGAACAGGGCCCACATCTGGCATGGCAATGCCTGCCAGCTTGTGCCCCAGACTTGGGCTGCTGAGCTGAGTGCCCCAAGCCCTCCTCCACCCCCTGGTCTGGGCCTCTATGGTAGTAAAGACATGATTTGTTTGCCCGGGGAGCTAGAATCCACCTCCACCCCCTGCTTCTCCATCTGTTCCTCTCTTCGCCTCTGAGTCCCTCTTCTATTTCCGATCTCGCTTCCCTCCTCTCCAGCCCCAACCTGCTCCCACCTGCTTGGCCTCCCTCCCTCCCTGTCTCTGTGCCTCTCTCTGACTCCTGCCTGTCCACGTCCACCTGCTGCATCTCTACCTTCCTGTGTCGTGTCCACATTCTCCCCGTCCCCTGGAGGCCCCTTGCTTGTGTGCAGCTGGCCAGCGTTGCAACCCCACCTCCTGGAGCCCTCAGGGAAGCCGGGGAGCTCTGCCTACCCCCCGAGATGCCCTCCCGCCAGACCCTCAGGGCTGGTCCTCTGGCCAGATGCCCCCTGCCCTGCCCTGCAGCGGGCATGAGAAAGAAGCCAGGGCAGGGGACAGGGAGGGAAGGGGAGGGAGGAGTGGGGAGGCCCTGCACCAAGCCAGCCAAGACTGATGGTCAAGGGGGCAGAGCGAGGATGGCCCGCACACCACAGCTGGTGAGCAAACAGAAAAGAGGGCCTCAGCTGGATCGCTCTGTGGTGAGGGGAGGCTGGCATCCAGCAGTGCAGACGGTGGAGGGCGCAGGGCTGAGCAGAGGAGGGGAGGGAAGATACAGAGAAAGGGGTGGGGGTGGGAGGGGAAGAAACCAGGCCAGGGAGAGAGGAAGGAAGGGAGTGGAGAGTGCCTGGCCCTGCAGATTCCCAGAAAAGAGCCCCTACCTCTAAGCCCCAGCCTGCTCCCTGAGGGCGGCCCCCACAGGGGCTTGGGCGCCCAAGCTCTGGCCCGGGTGGGGGAGGGGCCAGCTGCAGGGGAGGGGGCCTCTGTCCAGGGTCCAAAGTGCCTGGGTCCCTCTGGGGGTAGGAGCCCCTCTGTCCCCTAACCAGAGCTGAATTCACAGTGATGGGAGCAGGGGCGGGGCCTACTGCCTGAACGTCTGAGGACTCCAAGGCCACGGGCGTCTGGCGACCTACCCATTGGACACAGCGGGCATGGGTTTGCCTGTCCTGGAGTTCAGGCTGAAGGCGCCTATCCTGTGGAGAGAGAAGAGAGAGCACGCCATCAGCTGACACCCCCACCACAGAGGCCGGAGCACTGCGCCAGATTCTTGGAGACAAGTTTCTGTTCTGGAGGCCCTTACCACGGGACCGAAAGCCACAGGCCGGGCAAGGACAGGTCTTTCTCTGGGCGAGTTACTCTACGTCAGTGGTTCTCAAAGTGGGATATTCAACCAGCAGCGTCAGCATCCCCCGGGCTGTGCTAGAAATGTACATGCCCAGGCCCCGTCCACACGGGACGGGAGAGTCCAGGGAGCGAGTGCGCTGTGATCTAGCCCAGGGGATGCCGACGGCCCTGCAGTTTGAGAACCATTGCTCTAGCTCTTGGAGCTTCAGCTGCAAAATGGGGAGATTCCTGAAAAAAATCACATGCGGTCATGGCAGGGGATGAATTGTGTTCCCCAAAACTCATATGTTGACGCTTTAGCGCCCAGGACCTCACGGTGTGGCTGTATTTGCAGACAGGGTGTTTAAAGAGGTAATTAAGGTAAAACGAGGCCCTGATCCTGTAGGACTGGTATGTTCTTCTAAGAAGAGATCAGGACCCAGACAGCCCGGGGGACAGCACAGGAAGACGTGGGGAGGAGAAGAGACGGCCAGCCACGAGCCACGGAGGGAGGACCCAGGAGAAATCAGCCCTGCCAGCGTCTTGATCTTGGACTTCCAGCCTCCAGAATTGTGAGAAAATAAATGTCTGTTATTTCAGCCGCTCAGTCCGTGGTATTTGCTACAGCAGCCCCAGCGAGCTAACACGGGTTTCACAGGCGAAACACTGACCCTCTCGTCTGGCCCAGAACGGAGCCAGGAAACAGGAGCCGTTCGCAGGGTCTGGGCAGGAGGACGACCACGCTCGGCCACGGCAACCTGCCGCGGCGGAGGAAGGTCCACCTCCCACCCGCGTTCCCGTCCACCTCTAGTCTTAGATCTCGCTTGTCCTTGGAGGCTAGCTCAAGAGACTCCCACAGAAGTCCTCCTCAATCCCCATCCCAGAAGATGTCCCCCCACCGAAGGGGGACCAGGTGACAGCAGGCAAGAAACAGACCCACATGACTAGTGGGCAGCGCGGACACACCCGCTGCGGGCGGGGCACCTCCAGCCTGGCAATCCAGGCACAGCCACGGAGGGGTGGGGGGTGGGCGTGGGGGGGAGGGCAGGTGTGGGCTGGGGGAGGGGCTGTGGTGGGAACCAAATGCCAGTGAGCTGCGGTGCTCGGCTCACACTGAAACAGGCGGAGGGGCAGACGTTCCGCGCCCCCGCTCTCACTCTCACGAGCCCCTTCCACGCTAGAGAAAGAATAGAAACTTACAGATCAAAATTGTTAGGGATATGTCTGAGGAGGGAGGGGCCCGGCAGACCTGAATGTGAATTTTGTATTCTTTTTTTGAAAAGGCCCCAAATTCTATAAGTTTCGGAGCCCTCCAAATGTGGGTGCTGCCCCGTCTCAATGAATGGTAGCTAGTACCGTTTCCTGGGAACCAGAGACGAGACCTTTCTGGGGCCCTGAAGTCACCACACAGTTACTGAGGGTCACAGGCAAGGGCCTGGAAGGGAGACTCTACACACCACACACACACACACACACACACACACGCCACACATACACACACACACCACACACACTCACACACACACACCACACACACACACACACACACCACACACACTCACACACACACCACACACACACCACACATATCACACACCACACACCCTCACACACACACCCCCCTCACACACACAACACACAAACCACGCACATCATACTACACATACAAACATCCCACACACATACACCACACACTTCCACACACAAACCACACCCCACACACACAACATACCACACATACCCCGCACAATCACACACCACACACACACCACACACATCCAACACTACACCACATACACACACACCACACACATCACACACACCACACGCCATCCCACGTACATTCACACCACACACACACCATACCCTACAAACCGCACACATGCACCACACGCCTTACCACATACATTCACACCACACACACCACACCCCCACACATACCACACACCACACACACACCCCACATCACATACTACACCAAATATACACACAGCATACAGCACACACACACCCTGCATCCCACACTACACCAAATATACACACAGCACACACACACCATACCCTACAAAGCACACACACACACCACACACTACACACACACTGCAGCTACTGATCATGCTAAGGAGACTGACGCCTGGCCCAGCCCAACCCCAACTTCCTGACTGCTCTGCCCTGTGGCCTAGACGCTGTCCCAGTCTGCAGGCCTCTCTTTCCTGGGCCCTGTCCCTGTCCCTTCCTGAGAAATAGGTACAAACAAAGTCGCCCTCGCCGCCTGGCCAAGACACCCCCAGGCCCACTGCAAGAAGTCTTGGGAGTCCTCGTCCCAGCGCCTGCCCAGAGTAACGGATTTCCCCTAGAGTCACCTAAGGTCCTACAGCGCAGACTGTCGGGGCAGGGTGGGATGGGAAGGGCCTCACTGTACACGGCTCTGGCCTACAAGCTGTGAACAGTCTAAGGAAAGTGCTGTATGAGTAGAGCCCTGGGTTCAAATCCCAGCCCTCCTACCTCCTGGCCGTGTGGCCGTGGGCAAATCGCTTCTCCTCTCTGGGCTAGTTTCTTCCCCCACACGATGACAGGGGCCGGGTGGGAATGGACTGGATGGCGTCTCAGGCCTTCCCAGGAGTACGGGGCTCTAATAACCAGCCCGGGTCCTTTCGAGATAGTGGGTTAGAGGCCCTGTCAGGGCAGGGCCCTGGGGCCTCCTCGTTCCTGACTGCCCTGCGAATGCCCGTCACAACTGCTCTCCCCACCCCGAGCCAGCCAGCGCTCAGCAGGCAGGCGGGAGGCGGCCCACCCTGGGGAAGCCACCCAGACAGCCGTGTCCCCGCACACTCACGTGAGGGGCTTCTCCAGGCGGCTCCCAGGGGACCCCACAATCTCTCCAAGGGTGCAGAAGGCCTGGCCCAGGAAGTCCTGCATATCCAGGGGACAGAAAAGGCCAGCGTTACCCACTCTGCTCAGAGTGAGCCCACCTCCCCCACCGCCCGGCCCCGGACGTGGGAGGGCTCTGAAGTGCCGGGGTGCAGCATGAGACACATGCCCCACCACGGAGAAGCCCAAGGCGACCTAGAGGGTGGCGTTCGAGAAGCTATGGCCACGCTGGCAGAACTCACGTGTTTGGATAAATCAGGGCTCTTGGAGTCAACGTCGTATCTGTAGGAATACAGAGAAAGGAGAAGGTGGCCGAGGGCAGCCTATGCAACCCTGCCTGGGTCCTGGAGTTGAGTTAGGGCCCTTGCTCCCCCAAACACGCTCTAACATACTAGATATTTCTAGAAATAACGGCTGGAAGGCACAAAAGGGAGACTTCTGGGTGCTCGACGTCTTCTGTCTCTTGATCTGGGTGATGGTCACATGGGTGTAAACAGACGTGAAAACGTTTTTCTCATGGAGTAGACTCTAAGATCATGCACTTCACTGTATATATGTTATACCTCATTAAAATTTGAAAAAATAAAATAAATGAGCCCTGCCGCCCTGGCTGGTTCACAGGTGGCTGAGCCAGCTTACCCTTCTCGCCCTGTCCCCACCTTCCCTGGTAAGGGAAACTCCTGCCCCCACCACAGGGCCCGCGGCCACCTCCCAGCACCGGCCCCGCCCAGCTCCAGCTTCCCCTTACAGGTCAAAGCGGAGGTTCTGCTTCTCCTCGAAGAAATAATCCACGATGAACTTGCGCACGAAGTCAGGATTGAGTGTGTTGTCGATGACTTCCGTGCGCCCGAACTGCAAGAGAAGACGGGGAGTGGGCCAGGCCGGCGGGGCATGCTGGGGCACTGGGCTCGGAGCAACGCGGTGGTCCTGGCTCCGGAAAGGGGGGTCCTGAGCCCCGCCGTCCCACCCGAGGCACGAACTCCCCATGTAACAATGGAATGCACGCTCGGCGTGGCTCCGGCCACAGCAGCTCTATTCCCCCTGTATCTACGCTCCACAGGAGCCGCCTGCTTCCACACCTGAGCAGCCCGCACTTTCCCGCCTGGCTGCCTCTGCCGAGGCTAAGCCCTTCTCTGCCAGTGCCACGCCCGTTCCTCCAAGGCCCAAAGTAAATGCCACCTCTTCCAGGAAACCTTCCCGATTCCTCCAACAGAGAGTTTTATTTCTCTGAGCCTCCACTAAGCTTGTGCTCACCGCTATGACCACTGTTCTGCTCCGATTCCGAAACTAGGCGTGTACTTGTCTGGTGCCCCATAGGGCATCCCAAGGGCAGAGGCAGGGACTGTTGGAGACGGCCTCCTAAAAGATCCCTACTGTTAGGGTGGGAATGCGTAGCGTGGGCTGAGAAAGAATTTTTTTGTCTCACTCTGTTGCCCGGGCTAAAGTGAGTGCCATGGCGTCAGCCTAGCTCACAGCAACCTCAAACTCCTGGGCTCAAGCGATCCTCCTGCCTCAGCCTCCCGAGTAGCTGGGGCTACAGGCATGCGCCACCATGCCCAGCTAATTTTTTTTTCTATATATGTTTAGTTGTTCAATTAATTTCTTTCTATTTTTAGTAGAGACGGGGTCTCGCTCTTGCTCAGGCTGGTCTCAAACTCTTGAGCTCAAATTATCAACCCGCCTCGGCCTCCCAGAGTGCTAGGATTATAGGCGTGAGCCACCATGCCCGCTGAGAAAGAATTTTTGACATAATGATTAGGATAGGTTTTAAAGAAAGAAGTTTATTTTGCTTTTAAGAGAGGAGAGAGCATGGCATGAAAGAAAGTAAAGAAAAGAAAGCAAGAGAGAAAGAAAGAAGTGTTGGCCCCAAGTGTGAAGGGTTGGGTCTTTTATTTGGGTTATAAAGGGTAAAAAGGGAGTTATTGTAAAGTGGTAACTGTGGGGAAGGGTCACACTTCAATACTCTTCAAGGCTGTGTAAATGAACTCTTAAAGACAACAAGTTAAGGAGGCCAAGATGGGCGGATTGGGATTGCTCGAGGTCAGGAGTTCGAAACCAGTCTGAGCAAGAGTGAGACCCGTCTCTACTATAAATAGAAAGAAATTAATTGGCCAACTAATAGATATAGAAAAAATTAGCCAGGCATGGTGGCGCATGCCTATAGTCCCAGCTACTCGGGAGGCTGAGGCAGCAGGATCGCTTGAGCCCAGGAGTGTGAGGTTGCTGTGAGCTAGGCTGACGCCACGGCACTCACTCTAGCCTGGACAACAGAGTGAGACTGTGTCTCAAAAAAAAAAAGACAACAAGTTAAGCCTCAGGTGGTTAAGCAAACAAAGGGGCAGTGTGTGCTGTAACATTTTCTACCTCTTTTCTCTGTTAGACAGTCTATTGGCAATGCCATCCTTTCACCCACCCTTCATATACACCCCCTTGCATGAGCACCTCCTCCTGAATGTGGGCCGGACCTATGACACACTTCTAGTGAACAGATTATGGCACAGGTCACAGGCTGCCACTTCCAAGATCATGCTATAAACAACTACGACTTCCATCTCGGGTGCCCTCTCTTGCCCTGTCCTGCTTGCTCACTTTGGTGAGGCTGGCCTTGGGCAGAGGATGGCAAGGAAACGAGAGAGGCCTCGGCCAACGGCCAGGGAGGAAGAGCAGCTGTCAGCCCTCCTGCCCGCCAGAACGGGAATCCTGCCAACAACCAAAGAGTGAGCTTGAAAGCAAATCGTGCCCACTTGACCCTTGAGATGACTGAGGCCCTGGCTAACCTTCCCTGAGGCCTGTGAGAGACCCTGAGCCAGAGGGTCTCTCAGCAAAGCTGCACCCGGATTCCTGACCCTGCTGTTTAAAGGTTCAAGGCCAGTTTGTTACTCAGCAGTAGCTAACTAACACAGAGACTTAATTTTCTTGGTTTCCCTTGCAACAGATACTCTATCATTTATTTATTTATTTATTTATTTATTTTTGAGACAGAGTCTCACTTTGTTGGCCAGGCTAGAGTGAGTGCCGTGGGTCAGCCTAGCTCACAGCAACCTCAAACTCCTGGCTCAAGCAATCCTCCTGCCTCAGCCTCCCGAGTAGCTGGGACTACAGGCATGCGCCCACCATGCCCGGCTAATTTTTTCTATATATATTAGTTGGCCAATTAATTTCTTTCTATTTATAGTAGAGATGGGGTCTCGCTCTTGCTCAGGCTGGTTTCAAACTCCTGACCTGGAGCAATCCGCCCGCCTCGGCCTCCCAGAGTGCTAGGATTATAGGCATGAGCCACTGTGCCCGGCCACAACAGATACTCTAGAATTTTATTCATGATAGGTACTAAATAACTGAATCCCATGAAAGTTCCCAAATTACTTTACACAAGTCACTCCTCATCTTTGGGCATCAGCATCACCTAGAAGACTTATTAAAATACAGATTGTAGGCCTCACCCCTAGAGGTTCTGATTCAGCAGGGCCAGAGCAGGGCCTGAGAATCTGCACTTTAAAAGTCCCCAGGTTGGCTGAGCATGGTGGCTCACGCCTGCAATCCTAGCACTCTGGGAGGCTGAGGCGGGAGGATTGCTTGAACCCAGGAGTTTGAGACCAGACTGAGCAACAGCAAGACCCCCATTTCTACTAAAATTAGAAAAATTAGCTGGGCATAGAGGAGAGCACCTGTAGTCCCAGCTACTTGGGAGGCTAAGTCGGGAGGGTCACTTGAGTCCAGGAGTTTGAGGATGCAGTGAGCTATGATGACACCATTGCACTCTACCCAGGGTGACCGAGCGAGGCTCTGTCTCAAAAAATAAAAGTAAATAAATAAAGTCCCAGGTGATGCTTCTGCTGCTGGTCCAGGGACCCCACTTTGAGCACCACTGGATCAGATCATGGTCCACTGGCCGAGTTCCTTGGAGGCTTCCCGTGCCATGGAGGGGGGCAGAGTGGGTATGATTCCAGGCCAACAACTCCATCACAACGGTTCTCTTTTATATGTGTTCAATACACAGACATTTTTGGCAAGATTTTGTTTCAAAACAGGGATAGGGAGCTAAAAGATAAAGTATAAAACAGTGCACCTACAATAGAATATCATTCAGCCTTAACAGGGAAGGAAACCCTGACACCTGCTACAGCATGGATGAACCTTGAGGACATCATGCTGCGTGAAATAAGCCAGTCCCAACAGCACAAATAACGTAGGAGTCCACTATGTCAAGTATCTAAAGCAGCCAAATTCACAGAAGCACACAGTAGAATGGCGGCCACCAGGGGCCAGGTGGAGGGGGGAAGGGGCGTTGTTTAATGAGTATGGAGTGTCAGTCTTGCAGGAAGAAAAAGTTCTAGAGACCTGTTTCACAACAAAGCAAATATATTTGTAACTCTACTGACCTGTGCACTTAAAAATGGTTATGATGGCAAATTTTATATTATGTGGGGTTTTTTAAAAATCATAATTTAAAGACAAAACAGCAAACCCTGCTGCACTGTATGCTCCATGAAGGCAGGGGCCCGGTTCATTACAATATTCGCTGGAGTCTCGAAATGAGTAAGACGGGCAGGTGCAAGACTAAACATTTTAAATAGATGGTTACTCTCTCTTAATACACTAGCATGCTCTTTTTTTTTGGCGGGGGTGGGGGGGAAGTAATTGCCAAAATAAACAATTAGTCCCGGCATCAGTCTTCCCTGAAGGGGCCCTGCAGTCCAGGAAAGTGCCAGTACGTGGGCCCCTCGCCATGCAGTGGGCATCACCCTGAGTTAACTGGGACTTGTCCTGCGTGTCCCCTTCTATCCTGAATTAAGTTAGAACTTGAAAAGGGAAACTCCCACTTAGGCAGTGTGGGGTCACCGGAGGAGCACTAGACTTGGAGTCTTCTTGTCCTGAGCCCCTCATCAAATTAATCTCTCATTCCAGTCAATCCCCACCTCCTCTGCTGTGGCCTCAACCACCGTGACAGCCTCCTAGTGGGTCCCCATATGGGCCAATTCCTAATGCTTGAGGCCTCAGTGCCCTAGAAGACCTGCCCTCTGGCTCCCCACCCCTCCCCTGCACCCATCATCCCCCTTGCATCCCTAAGGCTGCACTTACCACGTCGCCGGATAGGGACCCAATGAGTCTCTTTCTACCCTCTCGACTGCCAGCTTCCCAAGCAGCAGGAGAATCCAAGTTCTCTGCATCTTCGCAGCCCAGGACCCGACACAGTGTTTAACAGTCACAAGCTCCCAGTTGCAGATGGTCACAGGTAATGTTTACTGAGCACATACAGTGCACCAGGAATGGTTTTAAACACTGTGTGCCACACTACTGTGCAATGCTTTCGTGGTAGGCTTCCACATTGAACAGATGAGAAAACGGAAGCACAAAAAAGTTAATTTGTCCAAGGTCATGCGGCTAATGAGCACTGACTTCCAGGCAAAAGCCAGGCATGGGCTCATGCTCTGTAAGCCATGGTGCGCTGTGAGTAAGGTTGGGAGGGCAAGGACTGCTCGCTGCTTCTGCTCACTGCTACCAGGGACTGGTGCACAGTAGGTACGCATGGATTGTTGAATGAATTAGGGTTGAGTGAGGAAATGGATGAATGGTTTTAAGTCCCAATTTCATCACAAGTTCACTGTGTGATTTGATCAGAGCCTTTCAGAGCCAGTTTCCCATCAGAAGATGGAGAATAATACTACTCGTCATCATTCAAAAGCCATCATTCAATTCAATTATTAATTTAGCAGTTTTTAAGCACTTATTGTAGGCCAGGCAGTGTGATTGGTACTGAGCTACAAAAATAAAAGAACATGAACACTGTACTTCAAGAATTCTCCATCACAGGTGGGACGACTCACAAGCAAATAACTACAATACAGCGCTGT